ATGTTCTAGCCAATTAATCTGAACCCGTGTGTCTTTTAAATTCATGTTTGAATCCCATGTAAGTTAAAGTCGATAAAAGTATTGTTGTTTTTTTTTTTTCCGGATGAGAAGCGATAGAGATTTCATTAATATGATCATAACAAGTACAAGGTGATAAATGAGTATGTATTCTGTAATGATTAATTTCTGGATTTGAAGTGAATAACAACGAAGGTAAGGAGAAAACAACTACATCAACGTCTGCAGATCCTTAAGCCAGTTGGTCTATATATGTTCAAATCTCGTTTCTTGTAAATTAAACCAAATTAAAAATCGTTTTTGTTAAATAAAAAAAATTCATGCCAATGTCTCAGGCCCTAGAACTAATGACTAGAATCCAAGTTGAACAAATATCCAAATTTTAAGGGTGGTGCTTTCACAGCTTTCTTTTTAACCTTTCACACAATTAATGTTATTTTTTGTCTTTTAATTTTTTTCAAGTTATTTGATCCGACGTTTGAAAATTAAAAGAGATATATAAAAAGTAAAAATAATATATGGATAGCCGCACCCAATCTTAAATCATGTTACTTTCTAATCATATTCTCTTTATTATAAGTTACAATTAAATGTGAGATGTCAAGACAGTGACTACTATTAATAATAATTCAAATTATGAAAAACGATACCACTTTTTAATACAATATTCTAGAATTTTACTATGTTATGTAATTTGTTTAGGATGATTGGAACATGGGAGGGCCACATCTAATATATAATATGAGATTATAAAATACTAATTCTCAAAATTATCAACCAGAATTGTTGATGTGGCCATGGCTCACAATCTAACAAAAAAATAAAAGTATTTTATAAAAGTGTGGAGATTTAGATGAAGGTTTAGAGGATTAAATAATGATTAAATGGTTGTTAACATGGAGAGTCATATCTTTTAGGTTTCCCAAGGTGTCCTCAGGCAAAGCCTGGGACTAATCCTTCAAGGTATGGTTGGGCGCATATGCGGAGACCGCTCTTAAGGGCTCGAAACCGAGACCACTTACTTAAGCGACCAGAGTCCCTTCCACTTTGACCAACCTTTATTGGAGAGTCATATCTTAATTGTTGATGATGAAATTGATGAGTTTTCAATTTGGGTAGACAAAAATAAATTTTTTTATAGCTGGCCCGATCTCATTCTGTCCCATCATAGAATCAAAATGGACTTCATGAATCATGAATGTTCTTTGTTAACTTGTTCAATTCCTTTGGTGGTTACAACGGAAGTATCCTCCAAATCATAGGTACTAATATGCTCATGACCTGTTAGGATTGTTTTTAAAATGACTAAAACGCTTTAACATAATTTGGACAGAAAAGGTTAACATTCAAAAGTTTTTCTGTATTATAAGAACACGATTTAGTGTTTTCTATTGTGGTAGGTGTTTCTTCGGTAAGCAATTCCAATTTTTAATAAAATCTTCAACGTGTTTGATGTTTCTAATAATAGTGCTTTCAACAAAAACAATTATAAGCAGAGGTGCTTATAAGCATTCTCAAATTGGCCATAATCTGGTGGAACAGTTATTTCGAACGTTGAAAGATGTTCCAAGTTTGGATCTCCTCTAGACGTCGATAAGAAAGATTGGTGACGTGAAGTATGAAATGTTGCAGGTCTAGTGTACACATATTCAACAGGAATGAGGCAACATTTGTATGTGAACAACCCAGAACTAGTGAAGGAAATGAACCAGTGCATGAGTTTGGATTTAGGCAAGGCTACTTATGTAAGCAAGAGACTTGCACCCATGCTTGGCAATGGAATTGTGAGGTCCAATGGCATTGTTTGGTCACAGCAAAGGAAGATTATTGCCCCTGAGTTCTTCTCAGACAAAGTCAAGGTAATTAAACTCGCTTCCAAATCAAAATTCGAATGGTTTTGCCGCAAATAATTGTTTCATTGCATGATTAATTTGTAAACTGAGACTCACCGTTGACATAATGTGGCAGGGCATGGTGTCGCTGATGCTGGAGTCAGGACAGACATTGCTTAGAAAATGGGAGGACTTAATCGAAGCGCAAGGCAGCGTGACAGCGGAGATTCAGGTGGACGAGGATTTGAGAGATTTCTCTGCAGATGTTATATCAAGAACTTGTTTTGGAAGCTCTTATGTAAAGGGCAAAGAGATTTTCAAGAAGCTTAGAAGTCTTCAAGAAGTAATATCCCAGCAAAACTTCCTCTTTAGTAATTTTGGGTACGAAAACTTTCCATTAGTTAACAGTGTATGCTAAACAGCAGACCTGAGCGTAGCCAGGTTGATAGTTTAGATTACATCAGAATATCGCTACCCATAAAATTTTAATTCATAAATGCTTGTTTAACAATGCAGTGGATTGAAGAAGCAAAATGAGAAAGGCTTGGAGAGGGAGATAGAAACTTTGATTTGGGAGGCAGTGAAAGAAAGAGAAAGTTCATGTGACCAAAAGGATTTGTTGCAGAAAATACTAGAGGGAGCCATCAATGACCAAACCCTAGGTAATGGTTCATCCAAGCAGTTCATAGTTGACAACTGCAAGAACATATATTTTGCAGGCCATGAATCCACAGCTGTTGCTGCCTCTTGGTGTTTGATGCTGCTCGCGTTACATCCTGAGTGGCAAGCCCGAATCAGGACGGAGTTGGCACAAGCTTGCCCGGATGGCCTGCCAGACTCAAACACCCTCCCTCAGTTGAAAACGGTACAAGCGTTTACATTGCTCGTTATGTTAGTTAATTAAGTTCGAAATAGAGTAATGTTTTGATGCCATACTATATTGTCACTGTACATTCAAACAAAATGCTGATAAATCGGCGATCTTGATTGATAGTGTGACAATATAACTATGGATTGTCTGCCCATTCAAACAATATTCCACCTCACTAGTAACTCGTATTCGCAATCTAAAAACATGACATGTTAAGACTGTTTGACCATGCAGATGGCAATGGTGATCCAAGAAGTCCTGCGCCTATACCCGCCGGCTGCATTCGTGTCAAGGGAGGCACTCGAAGACACCCAAGTGGGAAACATGACTTTCCCAAAAGGCGTATGCTTATGGACATTGATCCCAACACTGCACAGAGACGCAGAAACTTGGGGACCAGATGCAAATGAGTTCAAACCAGAGAGGTTCACTGATGGAGTCTCAAAGGCATGCAAGTTTCCCCACGTCTACATCCCATTTGGGTTGGGGCCTAGGACATGTTTGGGCAAAAACCTTGCCATGGTTGAACTAAAGGTTGTGCTATCCCTTGTTATCTCCAAGTTTTCCTTCACTCTATCTCCAAAATATAAGCATTCTCCTGCCTACAAAATGATCGTGGTGCCTGGAAATGGTGTACACATTCTTATTCAGAAAATCTGTTGACGGATTCAAAAATAAGTCAGCTAGGTGTCTCTTGATCGGAATTACAGATAGAAGATAAGAAATGTCATGTTTGCAAAATGTGGGATAGTGGAATGTAGATGTAGGTTTACTTATCTAAAACATTTTTTTTTTTTGCTTTGGTAATATCTAATTTGTATGCACGTGTTAAGTTATGATTTTTCTATAATGAAAAATGACTCGGCATGTATATAGTGACAGATGTACATTGAGATCATGGTGGTCCCTAAACCACAAGGAGCTCGGGAAATATATATATATATATATATATATATATATGTAAAGTTCTTTCGAGGATCCTTCGACTTTTTGGTATGGATCCATTTTGTTCACACCAAATGTTTGATGTAATTCATGCTATGCATATTTCAGCATCACTCAGCAAGTTGCGCTGAGAGCAATTGACAAATTCTCTTGATATCACTCATCATATTACTTTGACATATATCAATATTTGTTGCCATGTGTGCAACATAGTTCGGCTGACGACAACATGTCCAAAGTGTTCAACGAAATGCCTCGAGGGAAATAAATTGTGCACGCTTTGCGCTGTATTTCTATTAAAAAAAACCCTAAGACCTTTAACATTGGGAGCCCCCCAATGTTCGAATTCTGAATCCGGTATTGCATATATGAGGAGTTGAAAATTTCTCCCAAGTCCTAGTTTTTCATTCCATTTCACCGGAAATTTTGCAATTTAAGTCGTTAACAACATTTACTTATGAAATCAATCATCAGTTTCATAACCAAATAAATGATAGGGAAATTAAATTCATATATAACTTGGAGAATTTACGTCATCATTCCAATTGGCAGATAATATACATCCAAAAGAAATCTGGGAATTTACATCATCATTCTAATCTACCGATGTATGCATCCAAAATAAATTAATACCTTACACATAGATAAAAGGAATTCACTCAAACAAAGTCCTCAAACACCTTTCTCTAATGTACAAAATGAGAAATAAAGGAGGTTTTTTTTTTTTTTTTTTTTTTTTTAAGTGTTAATAACATTCTTTTTGTAAAATCGTGAATACATGCAATAGAAAATAGTGAATATTTGGATTGTTAACAAAAATTTGATTGTGTAATCATACAAGGTGACATAATTCTTTATTTTAATTCCTGATAATAAAAAACAGTAAGTATTCTCAAGTTTATCTTGAACCATTTTTGTCATTTCATAAGAAAACTACCAATTTTAATCCTAAATCCTAAAGACCATTTCTTTTCATTTTCACTGTCAGAAAGAAACTATTGGGGAATTTATGTGAGGAGAATACTTGGGTACTCACTTGAGAGGAGAGATTTTTCAGTGTGGCCGTTACATGAGATGATACATCACGTGCCATTATATAAATGGTGGGATATGTGTGTTAAAAAGTTAATAAGTTAAAAAATAAAATTTCTCACCACTTATATAAAAACACGTGATGTATCATCCATATTCCCGTCACAACTAAAAGTTTCTTCGTTGGAGAGTACCCAATATACTGATTTTATTATATGGAACAATTAAATAGCGACACATGTTCATTTGCACACATATAACCAATTAGCCTTTATTCTTCTAGCCAAACATGTGTTATTGTGCTATCCAAACACGGTGGAAACACTACCCAGCCGTCCATCCCAATCCACCATCTTTCCCCACCACCACCAACCAAAGTCGCCCAATCCACCATCCTTTAAACACACCGATTCATCTCCTTCCTTCCTCCCTTGATTTGGTGCTGCCATGGCAAATCTACCATGGCTGCCGGCAGACCCACCCCCGTCCCCTCTCCACGCACTCGCCACCCTCATCACCAACGTGTTTCCTCTTCAATCCCTCTCTTCTCCGGTGAGCCATAACCAACCTTTCCCTTTTCCGTCGACCCCCACTCTCTCATGCTCTTCGACGGTGATGTTTGGTTACAAGAATAGTGGGTTTATTTAATTTGTTTTAAAATAACATGTGTCATGATATTACTGGGCCAACTAAAAGGTTCAGTATATTGGATACTCACAAGTGAGTACCCAAGTTTTGTCGTCTATGTGACGGCAGTTTGGCTACAAACCCACCGAGTTTATGCTATGTGGATCTGTTGTCCCATGGAAAACATCACTTCTTAATCGATTTAGCGACCATTTGCAAAGCGCAGTTGTATCCAAGCTTCTCCACATCCTCCTCCTTCACCATGTTTCCTGAATTTCGCAGAGGTCAAAGAAATAGCAGCGTTTCAGCACCGTTTCAGCACCGTCTTCTTTTACTGCAATGGCGACAGTGGCGTCAGATTCCGACCCAGAAGGAGTAGGTCACTGCAACCCCTCAAAGTTATGGACTATTGGGGCTCTCTTGATCCTCCCTTCATGCAAAAAGGCGGAGAAATTTCCCCAAAAGATCACAACTTTGAGTGCTCCGGCTGCTTGGAAAATCTTCAAAGTCGGCAAGAACATCTCATCAGTCATTTGGATCCTACGATTATGGGGTTTTCATCATTGCTTGCAAATTCGAGACTGAATCTTTGTAAGAAAACCCAACATTTTCTATGATTCCTATCTCTATATCTTTTGGGTTTTTGTTGATTTTCATAAACAAGTTTATGTAAGTGATGAATTTGGTTTTTGTAGTGAGGGTTGATGATCCAAGAAATCTTCTTGGCCACTTCGGATTGCTTCAGACCACCATAACTGGGTTTCCAATGGTTTCAGAAATTGATACTGGTATGCTTGCTTCTGCAGTTATCGTGTTTATTGAAGTGTTTTCTTAACAAATATTTAATATAATTGATTTGTTTTTTTAGCTTTACCTACCTTTTTCAGTGTGGTATGTGCTATATGAACAAGCCTTATCACATAATTGATTCGTGTTAAAGCATTGAGCACAAGGCATGACCACAAAATAGATATAGAAACTAATGTGCTTTAATCAAGAGCATCTAAAGGTCCTATAGTGTATTCGTTCTAAACTTTAAAGAATGATCTATATTTGGGAAACACGTAGGAGTTTGTAGGCATTTGTCAAGTGGTTCGTTCACTGATTTAGTCCAAGATTTTCATAACAGATGGCGCATTATTCAGAAATTATATCTAAAGCTAGATATGTGTTTTTATTTTTTGTTCATGCTTCAAGAGAGTTACTAAGAAATTGCCATAATAGTGAAGATTTGATTTGTAAAGGCTTCTGAGAAATCAATTCAAAATCACACATGGAAATGAAACAAAGTAATCGTTTGTAACTCTTCATTTTATTTTCATTTACATTACTTTTAGAAAAATAAAGCTCTTATTCATTTCAATCGCTTTTGTTACCGCACTTTAGAGAATGAATTTGAGTTTAACCGCTAAGTTTTGTTTTTTATTTATGCATTTATTCTTGATGTGTTTTGCCAGATGTGGCAAATGCCACTGCACTGGTTAACTATAACGCATTTGTCAGGTCAAGTGCTTCATGCACCGGGTGACCCATGCTAGTCATTATCCGTTCATATCCAATCAAATCCACCAAGCTTACCTTAAATGAGGGGTGGAATTTATTGAGGCGCTTTATAAAATGGCCTTCATAGGGTTTGTTTGAGCAATGAGGATTGACCTTATCGCGGCGGAGGTCTTGTAAATACTTTCGCTGGTCGGTTTCTTGAAGAAGAGCAATTGGTAATTCTCTATCGCTTTTATTTTTTTAATGCAAGTCTTGATTGTTGTCTTCAGTTGTTTTTTGATGGCCGAAGGAGAATCTAAGAACAAAAATTGCAGATCTTGATTGCTCTTAGATAATCTTCCTATGTTTTTGTATATTCACTAATCATTTTTTGCTGTCATGATCAGGATATAAAGGGATCGAGGGTTTACTAGTGGTGAATCGTTGAGTAGATCAGTTGCACGGATATCACATTTACGATAATCGAGGTAAGCTGCTGATAGGCAAGTCCTGCTAAAAAGAAAGAGTATTTCTGATAATCAGAAATATGAGTGAAATTTTTTTTACCCCTTCCCAAAGGGCTTTGTACCTTGTTGATTCTTTAATTGTTTTTATATCAAGTGGTATTTTTGACATAATTGGATATAATCCTATCATTTATGTTGTGGTTGTCATCAATTTATGATATTGATGTGTTAAGATTTTGTCTCTTAGAGAAGCTCTGATGCCGAAATGGTTGTGATTGGTAAGAATTGAAGGATTTGGAGTAGTATTGGAAGTTCATTGATGTCGAAAATGTTGCGGCTGGTACAAAAAATGATAGATTTGGAGTAGGCTTGGAACCATTTGTGTTGAAATCAGACCTTCAAGCACACTTGCTTGATATTAAGCTAAACCCAGAGTCATAATATTTTGGAATCTGAGCTTGGTTCCAACACCTGATTGCTTATCAGATTGTTAAACAGTTGATGCCCAAAGGGGAGAAGTCAAATGGATGGAGGAAGGGAAATATTTATATACTCTAGTTTGGTTATAAATTAGAATGTCCAAGGATTTTAGGGTTATGCGATGTCCCTAATTTGAATCCGAGTCCAGAAAATGGGTTTGGGGGATTTCTAGGTGTAAAACACAGAAGTTTTCCTCATAAAAAAGAAAAAAAACAGGTCCATCAAATTAGCAATATAATGAAGAAACAAACAAGGAAAAAGAACATGTACCATGTTCATTATGTAGCCTGTCATTGAGTGTGTATTTCTCTTCATGTGTCTTCTTTTGTGGAAAATGCCAAATAGATGGTGGTAGTAGTACTCATTAATGCAAAAACAGGTTGCATGTTGTTCTTTTGGAATATGTATTCTATTAAAATTGGACTCGAAAATTCACTTGCCTTCTTTTAGGAGATTGAATTGTGAATAAGAAACTTATGAAAGTTAACATAATTACTCATATTTCATTCTGCAGAGTACAAGACGATTGGGGTTTGCTTTTTTTGGTTTGCATTTATTGTAAAACTGGCAATGTTTCAGTTGAATAATGGTTGAATTTGTGTTCTATCACATTGTAAATCTGAGATCGGGTGGCATCAGTTCTTTCAAATTTTTCCAATTTTGCTTGGTTGACTATTATGCAAATCAGATTTTTTAAATTGAGATAAAAAGGGTGCCAAATCTAAAGAAGTGAAAGATGTGATGGTTTCCTATCTAAGAGCATGTGAGAGAATATGAAAATTCAGTGAGTTTTCTAGTAAGAAGAGCACTGATCAACATGGTTTTGTGAAGTTTGAGAACCTCCCCACAGATTAAGTTTAGGAACAAATATATCCGATGTCACCCTTACTCTTCCACTAAAACTATTTCTTTTTTGTGGAATCACTAGGAATTTCAGTGCCTTTTATTTTCTGACACCTTTACTTTTCCAAAATTGAATGTATTATACATGAACATCTCATAGTCTTCTTGAAATTACCATGCTTCATCCTGATATTTATCACTTGATTTATGGATTAGGAGACTGGAAAATAACAAATAGCAGTAACTATGACGTCAGACGGAAATAGACGTAAGAGCGCAAGGTTACTGGATGCGGAAAGCAAGGGCAAGAAAATATGTTACGCTGAAGAGGATGTGTCTTCTGAAGAAGATGATTCCTGCCAGACACGGAGAAGAAAAAAGGTTCAGATTGGACCTGTCCAAGATCCGGCCGCAAGCAGAAATGAGAATAAACTGAAAACAAAGGTGTGTACTTAATAATGCTGTGAAAACTGGAACGGTTATTGAAGTGGGAATGTCGAAGTGTGTTGACATAATATGTATGTAAATATACCTTATATAGAATAATATCGGACCACTTGACGATTAATTTATTCTTTTGAGTTTTTTATTAGTCAAGCATAATTTCTGAGTAATAAAATCTGGCAGGCACTCCACATCTTTTCTACATACTTTATATTTATTTAAGTTAATTTATTTTGAATGTAAGGACATGATTGTTTATTGTGAATTTTGCACTAGAGTCGTGGTTTTTAATCTTTTTTTTTTTGTGTGTGCATAAATTGCAGGTTGACAATACACATGCTGGTGATGGTCTGTATTTTTTTTCTTTAAGATTTAAATTGCAACTTACTATATATATGCTAAGAATAAAAAGACTCGGTAATTCATTTTTATTGTATTTAATCAAACAGCTGCCATGCCATCAGAGACGCCTCTACCAGAATCATGGAAGCTTGAACTGCTTCTTAGCTTTCTGCGAAAGTAAACACTGGGTTATGACATCTTTTCTTAATGATTATTTACAGTTAGCCACGCTATAATATTTAATGAAGTGAAATTTTGTTTTCTTTTGCTCGTATAAGTGATTAGTGTCTTCTTTAGTGAATTCCTCATTGAGAAAGTTAATGCCTTTCTATCTGTCTCCAACTTTAACTACAGGAAAGACTCTTACAATATGTTTGCAAAACCAGTAAATCCACAAGAGGTTTGCCCTCTTTATTTATGGTCTTTCCAAGTGTATATACTTGTATAGTTGCTAATATATGGTTCTTCATGTGAAAGGTTAAAGGGTACAATGATATCATTAAGGAGCCAATGGATTTCGGCACGATTTCAGAAAAACTCAGTGCAGGAAGCTACAGAACACTGGAAGAATTTCAGGTGGTTCTCTACTTGTTTTTCCTTTCAGTAAGGCTCGGAAGAGAAAACTGGTCTTTGAGCGTCTGTATTTAACTCCTCTCTCTTTTTGAGTTTGCTGAAAATTTTGGGTCAGCGTGTGCATAAACATTTGTTTTGACATAAACAGGTCATCTGGGGTTGGTTCATAAGTTTCCTTATCAAATTTTAATTTTCGTTCTACTTTATGGTTGTAGGATTGAAACAAACTGTGTCCCATCACATTTGTGATTGTAACCTTAATGGTGGATTAATTGTTAATACTGATACACAAGTCTGGTGCTTTAGTTTTGATGTTCATTTGGTCAATGTACAGCATGATGTGTATTTGGTGTCAGCCAACGCAATGTCATACAACCCCCCATCCTCCATTTTTAATAGAGAGGTCAGTACATTAAGCACTGTTATCATCAAAGTTGACCAACATTTTATGCTCTTGGAATATCCATTTTTGCCTGAACTATATTCAATTTACGGCTTTCCAGGCTCGTGATATTAAAATTATAGCGGATGAGTTGTTTGGTGCACTGAAGAATGACCTCAAAAGCTTTGAAAGTGTGCGTTCCTCAAAAACATCACGAGCTGGTATGAGGAGCAAGAACATCACGAACAGTTCTGCTGATAGGTCAACTAATGGGATGCCTTCAAGGGGTAGGTGTAAGTCCAAACTACGCATGCCCTAAGTTCAACTTTGAAATTCACATTTTGGCTAAAGTGATTATACAGGAATAGGCTACCCTCATTTCTTATGAGATATTGATCAAAGACTTATTCAGTATTCTGCATTTGCTTGTAACAGCGCAAGGGGTTGCCGAGCAGAAGTTACAAAAAGCTGAAGTTCTTAATCCTCAGTTTTCAACTTCAAACTTTCAGCGTAGAGATCTAGATCTTAATGTGGCATTATCTCATAATGGCATCAATAATTCTCAATCTTCAAATATCCTTCTGAGTTCCACCCCAACTCAGTACTGTGGTGCACAAACAAACGTTGGGCGCCATAATGGTCAGTTTATTGGGACTCTGCCCTCAATCAAAGCCTCCTTTAACAGCAGCATTGGAACTGATGTTGGTAGGGGTAGGGGTCCCGTTATAACTAATCTGCCTGCTTCAGAACTAAGGAGGCAATTTGAAAAGGTTTATGGTCCATCGCCATCTTCTTCCAGGTGGTGCTGCCCTCAGGGTAATTCAAGTTGGACTCCAGCATTTTGCTCCACACTTGGGCTGAACTCAAATTGTTCGGGAGGTGAACCACGTCAATTTCAACCTATGGGTGGTAGAGGATGCACACCGTATGGAACTAATAGTTCCAAGCAGGCAAGCGAAGGTCTGAACCGGTTGAGGCCAGCGCAGATAGGGCCACAACGACCTGTCTTCCAACCATTCGAGCAGCAAGGGCAAGGCTGGAGCACACCAACCTCTGGAAGCCAAGGTCTGAATCCATTGAGGCCAGCGGAGATAGGGCCACGACGACCTGTCTTCCAACCATTCCAGCAGCAAGAGCAAGGCCGGAGCACACCAACCTCTGGAAGCCAGGGTCTGTACCGGTTAAGGCCAGTGGAGATAGGGCCACGACGGCCTGTCTTCCAACCATTCCAGCAGCAAGGGCAAGGCCGGAGCACACCAACCTCTGGAACCAGCATGAGGCCTATAAATTTGTCAGACGTAGATCAATGGTTTGGGCATCATTGGAGTGGAGGGGTATCAAACACTGGAGCTCCTCCTGCAAGCTCACAAGGGCTAGGTGCTGCGGAAACAAACATGTTTCCTTTGAACTCTCCGCACTCAGGGGGATCAAACACTGGAGCTCCGCCTGCAAGTTCTCAGGGATGTGACTGAACCCGTGGAAATATCGGCCATGAAGGTTGTATGAATATGTTGCGTGAACAAGCATGTCAGTGTGCTCGCGGTTCTGTTTTATCGTACCGTTTCCATTTCGTCAGAACATAAGAGTTTGAAGTTATGCTTTGTTGTTTTTTTATGAAACTGCTGAGATGAACTCAACTTTTGGCTTTGGTTTTGGTTTTTCCTAGACAATTACAATCCATCTTCTGCTTGTTGCATGTTGCTTCTGTGTCGGAGGTTTTAAGTTCAATTTCTCGTTAAGTTCAATTCCCGCTACTTCTGTAGTGGGCCTAACTTGTAATGGGCCGAATAAGAGATAGTCACATATAGTGGCCCAATGGATCCTAACAATCTTAACCCTTAAAATACTACGTGTCCTCGTGCTGTTTCCGGTGAAACCTCACCGCAAGCAACCTGATTCCCTTTCCGGCAGTAAACGATAATTTGAATTTTTTAAGATTCTGAAAATTTGATTAAACCCGATGTGTCCTCATCTGTAAAAATGCAACGGACTTAGGGGCCTTTAGTGAATAAGGAGAAATATATAATGTCGATTTTGCCCTGTTAAATTGTAAAAAGGCAAGGGTATAATCGACTTATTGGACTCCAGTTGTGCTGTTTCTAATCTATCACTAGATTTTGGTACGTATACCCATTATCTTCCACTATCGACGCAGAATAAAAGCAGAGGGAAAGAGAATGGAGGTCAGTGCAGCGGTGGCTACGGCGGCTGCCGCCATGTCCGTCAAGAGCATGGAGTTGAAATGGGTAAGCAGCAGAGGCAAAACCCAGATGGAAAAAACCATAAAAACGCCATCAAAGTCCAAATCGCCATTTCCTCTGCAAGCCATGGTCCCAATTTTCATATCCACAAACCCATCTCACGTACACCCATCTGACCTCCGAGACCTCTTCACCGCCTGCAAACTCTCACCCCACCGGTTCCCCAATTACGGCGACGACGGCGGCGTTGAAGCCGTCGACTTGCACAAGCTGCGCATTGCTCTCTCCCACAGCTCAGTCCTGGTCTCTGTCTTCTGCAAGCCAAGTGATTTAATTGGTGATTCATCATCGTTATCTTCTTCCATCGAAGCGCAGCAGCAAAAGAGGAAGAAGAAGAAGACGGTTGGCTTTGGAGAGTTGCTTCATAATGCGGTGACGCCTGTTTCACCATCTAACGGTCAGTTGGTCGGCTTTGGCCGCGCCGTTTCCGATCTCGGACTCACCGCCTCCGTCTACGATGTCATGGTATAAATTAACACCATTTTTCCAAGAGAAAATGTTGAAATATGGATGTATTGGATGAAGATGCTTCAGTGTCTGTTTGTCAGGTGATTCCTTCGTTGCGGGAAATGGGAATCGGCAGGATGATTGTTAGAAGAATCATAAGGTACTTCAGTTTTCTATCGTTCTTGAAAACCGACTTTTCGTAAAGTTTTCAACTTCATCTTTTCCCTGAATGGTCCCTTCATGATATGTTCATTTAGCTCACATTGTTAAGTAACACCGGGATTTGCAGACTTGGGCGTAACTCAGTTGGCTACCCAAGTTCGAATTCTCTTCCTGTAGTTTAGATGAGATTAGAATATCGCTCCCATAAGAAAAACGCAAGGATTTTGTGGTGTGTGAAAAGCTTTCCATTACTTGTTGCAGAATACTCACAAGTAGAGACATCTATGACATAGCAGCCCTGTGCTCAGAAGATGAGAGGTAACAATTACACAGATCTCGCTTGAATGCCGAAAAGCCTCAATCTTTTGGTGAAAAAAATATCTGCTGTGAATCTTGATTCAGGTCATTCTTCAAAGGGTGTGGCTTTGGGGATGACATTTTGGCCTCCACTGCAATGATGTATACAAGGAGTAGTATTTCAACTGATCCTGAAGGCAATCAACAGATGATTAAACGTGCCGGTCGGAAGCTATTGCTAGTTCCACCCCTCTTAAGTACCTTAGGATGCAAGAAGACTAGGAAATCGTAAAGCCCAGCCCCGATATACCCTTGGCTGCAGCATCTAGATTTGAGACCCAAAACGGACTCTTTTCTTCTTCTCTTTTCCTGGAGGGAGGGAGTAAGCTAGTTTACCTGTAAGCTTTTGATCAAGTAAACTTGTGTAAAAAATAGTCTCACTGTTATATATTGCCTTCATAGTCATATTCCCTACAGTATTATGCTGTGCGTTTTGTATTTTAAATCACAGATTCCTGCCCATCTGTGGTGCACTTTTGGCAGGGAAAAGAAGTCTGACAAAAGGGGTTAGCCCAAAATGTTGGTAGGGCATAAAAATTATCTCACCTCCAAAGTAAAGTAGCAATTTAGATCATGCTAAACAGCTTCCCTTCTTTTTCTTCAAGAAAGTTGTCTCTCTCAGCTTCTCTCTTTCCTTCAATTAGCCTGGCATGGGGAAACTCTGGGTTGAAGTGTGCCTGATATCCGCTCGAGGGCTCACGCGTTCCTCTTCGTTATGGAAGCTCCAGTGGTATGCTGTTGGGTGGACTAATCCCAACAACAAATACTGCACCAAGATTGATGCATCTGGAAATGCAAATCCGGTTTGGAGAACCAAGTTTGCTACCTTGGTTGAGGGCTCAGAGGCGGACTTGCAGGATCTGGCGCTGCATATTGAAGTGTACAGCAGAGAGCCTATATTCCTCGGAGAAAAGCTTCAGGGGACGGCAACTATTGTCCTGAAAGAGTTTCTGTCTAAGCATAACAAGAACTCTGGGGCTCCAAGGCAAGGAGCTGAAGAAGTCGGGAGCTACCAGTTGCGGAAGAAGAACTCCAACAAACCTCAAGGGTTTGTCGATGTTTCAATACGGATTTCCGAGGATATGGAAGCTCGAAGCTCGTACACAGGTTCATAATTTATCGAAAAACTTTGAAAGATCTTTGTATAAATTGAGTTTCGAATTTAATGTGATTAGACTTCACTTCTGTTTTTTATAGGCAGTGAGGGAGGACCTATGGATCACAGCAATACCATCACCTTGGCTACTGGAGACGGGTCTGCACCGGCGATACGACCTGTAGCTCGACAACAAAGGCCAGAAGATCAGTTCCGTATCAACTCCCCATATGCACAACCATTGCCTTTCCCTCCAAACTATTCCAATCCATCTGCAGTTGGACCAAGCTACCCACCAGCCAGCGCCACAAGTTACCCACCAGCAAACGGACCAAACTACCCTTCAGCAAGCGGACCAAGCTACCCACCAGCAGGCGGGCCAAGCTATCAGCCGCCTAGAACTCCACCACCGCCTCCCCCACCTTCTAATGTTGGCTACATACCCACTTTTGTCCGGAGAACAGATCGAATGGCAGAGACCTATATCAATATGCCATCATCTGGAGCACCGCCTGGTCGCAGAGGAGCAGCTGGTGTTGGAATGGGAATCGGTGCTGGAGCGCTGGCGGCTGGTGCTGTGATCTTTGGTGATGACTTCATGTCAGGATTCGACGTTCCTTCTGGCTTACAAGATGCTAGTCTTACTATATCAATTGATCCTCCTTTCTGAGCATGTTTGTAATTAGCATCAGATTATGAAATGAAAATCTGTTAATTACTTGTTAATTACAACTATAATCATCCAAACATAAATTTTATAATGAAAAGTATTGTGTTATACTTCAATTTACAGGCATTTCCCATTCCGTTGCTGAAAAAAAATTCACGTCCTAAGAACTTCGCCTGAGCACATTCCGATGTTAATTTGCTTGATCAAACCCGTCATTTATGAGACAAGCGTCACACTACAGCTTGTATGTGCTGCTCCTGAGAGTCTCCCAAAGCTGTTTGCAGAAACTTCTTAACTATCGAGACAAACTCATGAAATTTCTCTTCATGTGGCAAGTGACCACAGTGCTTTATTACTTCAAGGTAAGATCCGGGTATGGCTTGTGATAGCCTCTTGGCATTCCACGAGGGGACAATCCGGTCAGTATCACCCGTAACAATCAGAACTGCGTTTCAAAGAGAGAATGATTAGGATCAACATTACATGTTTCCTCTCCAACATAAACGATAAGACAGTGTCTATTAGCAGAGCATAAAAGGTCTTGGCTAGACTAAAAGTTCATGGCTCAAACACACTAGCCAAAACTAGAATCTGGTTATTTGGCTCGGGGAAAAATATATGGTTAAACTGTTACCAGGGCATGAGATTTCACGAAGTCTTTTCGACAATGGTGGCTTCGACTCAGATGAAGTGTCAGTGAGCATTGCTGCTGTGTACTCCAGAAGTGCCTTGTCCCAACCCTTAATCCTCAATGGCTGCATGTCATACGAACGTCCAGGTGAGCACTATGCTCCCCCGAAACCAAACACAAGAAAGAAGGCAAAACTATTCAAGATGATAACCTTTGTATAACCTTGTATGACATGTTCAGTGACTTGTTTCGAGTCATACCACGCATTCTTAACACCAGCAACACCAAACTTATCAATAACCATCCTCACCTGAAAATCGTATGGTAAGTTACTGTCAGATGTCAAAAAAAGAAAATACCAGTATATCTTGTCCAGGGACATAACTAAACAACCATTGTACTGAACTAATAGATTTTTCAAGCCAGAACTTAGGACATTAGGAGAAAATGTTTTCGAGACAATCTTAAACGTTTGATCTTTTGCTCTAGTTCGCTGGAACACTTGATCAATTTACAGTAACTGGAAAAATGAAACCAAATGCAATGTAAAAAAATTGAGAGAGGGAGATCCTTACGAGCATTGCAGCAAAGGCAGAGCGTAGAATAGCCAATAAGAATTTCTTGTACAAAGAGTTAAGCATGCCAACCATTCCCTTCACGAGTCGCATTACTGCGTCTGAAATAAATTTGGTAAACTTGGACAGAGTCTTGAAAAACTGGATAAATGGATTTCCTTGATTTACAGAATTTGAGGCATCTTCTTCAGTCTGGTTATCTTCTTCCGGTTGATGGCCCTTAGCAACCTTCTCAATAGCCCTTGGGGCAAAAATTGCTGGGGAGATAAGGATTAGAGCAGCAACACGCTCTGGGGATTCAAAATATGAATCAACTGCTACAAGACAACCAGCGGAATGCCTGATTTAAAAATTCAAATCATAGTGATGAAACGATGACAATGATTGAGAAGCTTTACTATCTCTCCTAAAACAACTTATATATAGCCCAAAGGCACTAAACGAGACTTAATCTCAATGGGAGTACCAAGAAAATGTCAGCATAACCATTTTTTTTCCTTTCTCAAGACTGATTTATAGGGTGCAGAATTTGCCCGTGTTTTCTTCTCTTCTAGATCAGCGAATATCATATTCAATGCTTGCATAGATGGTGCTAGTCATTTTGATTCGGACACAACAATAAAAACGGCTAAGATGACTGGCCACCCGGTCAGCAAATTTATATGTTTCATTGAGGATTTAATTCAAGTTTATCCAACATCTACTCAGGGTAATCCAAAGTACGAGCTTTCTTGACACATGCATGTTTACTAAAATTGCAATCTCCAGAATAGATAAATGAAAATCAAGGATTCCCTTAGAATAAAAGGCAGATCAAGAGAACGACAATGTACATACCCCACTAGAATCGCCTTCTCAGCTGCCAGAAAATCCATGAAGTACAAGGTAGCAAGCACTGCAAACGCCATGGAGTACGGATTCAAAGGCTTGGATTCCCCATTTTCAAAAGACAAATGCCCAAAAGCGCTTACCCTTGATGTCAATCCAAAGGCTGGTCTATCAAAGGCAAGAACTTTGGAACCAGTAGCCTCTGCCAACGGCTTCATAACTCGACTGAACGAGAAAACTGAGGCTCCGAAGCCATGTAACAAAATCATAGGAAACCCAACATTCTTAGTCTGGCTAGAGAGAGCCTCAGCCTCATGTACCTGTGATTGTGCATCATATACCTTGTGGTGTATCTCCACTCCTCTAAACTCACAAAAACAACTATCCGGGTCAGCTAAAAGTTTCGGATTCTCCAGTTCATCTTCTTCAACCCCAGCTATTCCCCTCCTCTTCTGCTTTGTTTGCACATCCAGCAATTGCTCTGGTGGTGATTTAAAGTCAGAAATAAAATAAAAAAAAATAAAAAAAAAAACAAACAAACAAACAAACATACACAAAAGGTGAAGGGAAGTGATTTCCACACACCCCTTTGTCTCCTTATGCACGTCTCTGTTTAATTCTAACTTACGCAGAAGGAGAAATCATTTCCTAACGTATACTAACAACTAAGAACAACCCAATAAGGCATAAAGCAAAACAGGAGCAAATAATTCCAATGATGAAAAGTTATCCCACTTCCCAATTCCAACGGCTAATTAACATGATGAGCGGAATAACGAGTATCGATAATAAAACACAGAAAGATAAGGAATTTACGCTTACCAGAACCGGAGTATTGGGCGCCGCCGGAGCCACTGACGGAAGCAGCAGAAGCGACCGGAAAAGACTTGAGAATTGTGTGGTTTTTGGCATCTGAACCAAATCTTGACGGAAAGCTTAAGCTGATGGTGGTGTTGCCGCCACGAAAGCTTGATACTTCGCTGCAATTCTTGAGCAAGGAAAAGTCCGGAGGAAGCACCCCAACTCCTGCGCAGCTCCCCATTGGGATTTTGGCGCCTTCAATCTCTACCCACTCACCTGAACTTTACGTAGTGGCCTTGAATCTGTGAAAAGACTTTTATTTAGGTGTCAAATTGTAATATAACTTGCACTTTGGGTGATTCAATGTAAAATTATTAGTTCGTGAGGCAAATTCACAAAAATAAAAAAATTCAGGGGCCATTTCTGCAATTCTTCTTTTTATTAATGTAAGAATTGGACAGTCTAGTTGAAATTCCCGAGGATGACGACGATGGAGGCTGTGGTGTGCCGGAAACTGGGCGACCCGACACAACCCATATCAGACGGAGGAGCGGAGAAAGCGATAGTGGTGGAGAAGAACCACCCAATTCCGGAATTGGGTTCTCCGACATCGGTGAGAGTGAGAGTGAAAGCTACGAGCTTGAACTACGCCAATTATCTGCAGATACTGGGTAAGTACCAGGAGAAGCCGCCCCTCCCTTTCATCCCCGGCTCCGACTACTCCGGGACCGTCGACGCCGTCGGACCCGCCGTCTCCAAGTTCAAAGTCGGCGACTCTGTTTGCTCTTTTGCCGCCCTCGGCTCTTTCGCCCAATTCATCGTCGCCGATCAGAAAGAGCTGTGAGTTCACTTTTCCCCTCTCCCCTCCTCTCTCTCTCTCTCTCTCTCTCTCTCTCTCTCTCTCTCCCTCTCCCTCTAAATTACTGATGTGGGATTGTTGAGGTTGGAAGGTTTGGAGTGCCGGAGGGGTGTGATCTGGTGGCTGCCGGTGCACTGCCTGTTGCATTTGGGACCTCACACGTGGCACTTGTTCATAGGGCCAATTTGTCCTCCGGTCAAGTACTGATCTTTCTGATAATCTTTCTGTGTTTGTTTTTCTATGTGTTTGTTCGTGTTTGATTTATTGTGTTGTGTGTGTGAATTTGTAGGTATTGCTGGTTCTTGGTGCAGCTGGAGGAGTTGGCCTTGCGGCCATACAGATTGGCAAGGTTGTGGGAGCCATTGTCTAGGTACTTAAACTTGTTTCGATTTGACTGTAATGTTCGTTAGTTTTGCTTTTGAATGCATTTAAGAAATGGGATTTTTTTTGTTGGGTGCTTAATTTGCAGGGGAGCTGAGAAGGTGGAGTATTTGAAGCATTTGGGGATTGATCATGTGGTGGACTCGAGCAGCGAAAATGTTATCCAAAGTGTGAAGGATTTCTTGAAATCCCGAAAGCTTAAAGGGGTTGACGTTTTGTATGATCCGGTTGAAGGCAAGCTTACGAAAGAGGCCATGAAGGTTTTGAGTTGGGGAGCCAACATTTTGGTCATAGGCTTTGCAAGTGGAGAGGCCCCTGTCATTCCTGCAAATATTGCACTCGTTAAGGTACAATTATTGATTGTTTGCAGTCCCAAATATCGCAATTGTTGGCGGCAATGAGTAATGCCGGCTTAAGATTCGATGGTTAGAGAAACATGGGAGTATTTAGGATTGATCAGTGGATAGGAATTGATCACCTGAAACTCTTACTTCCTTTTTCCAAGTACTGATTGCAGAACCAAGTCGATGGTTTAACAGTAACTACGACTTCAATCATATAGCCTTTAGCATCTGTATGTGAAGCGATCATTGCTTGAAATATATGAGAATAATGTTGGAGAAGGCTGAATGAAAATATGAGTATAAAATTGTGTATCTAACTTACGTGGGTCTTACTTATATTTTGTCCCTGAAGTTTTCGTTCAAGAATAATGCGCTTATGCTTGTGTGTTATTTGCACCAGAACTGGACGGTGCATGGACTTTACTGGGGTAGCTACAAAATACATCAACCAGGTGTTCTTGAAGAATCACTCAAGGAGCTACTGTCCTGGGTGGCAAGAGGCTTGATCAGCATCCGCATTTCTCATGCTTATCGCCTGCCCGAGGTTAGGAACTCGTACTCTTTTTTAACCTCTTATCAGAGCTACCAGCTCTGGCTTCTGAGTTTTCAGTACTCTGTGTGAGTAACATTATGATTTGGATGATGGTATGAAGACACATCCTATAGAACTGATCAGATATAAGTGAACGATATTTAGAATAATTCTTCAAGGAACTCCGTCTAGTATTGTCCATGTGATTAGGTGATTTGTTGCTTTGACTTCAGTTTACTGCGGAGATTGATTATCTGAGCTGTTTTCATTTGCATGTAAATGACAGGCCAATCTCGCTTTCTCTGCCATCAAAGATAGGAAAGTCACTGGAAAAGTGATGCTTGTTCTCGATGACGAGAGAAGTGCAAGGTCAAAGCTTTAACTGGATCAGAGTTCATCCGGGATGGCGGAGCCTTGTAATCGTTGGCACTTCAAAACCAGAAACATTCGTAATGTGTTAAGCGTAGTTTACCATTTGATCAGATGATGATAGAAAATCAAATAAGATCTGTTTGATCATATAATGATAGAAAATCAAATAAAATCTGATGGTTGGGGCCCGTAGTACCAGTTATGTAACCTCTCTGTTTTATTGACCTGCCTCTGTTTGTCCATTTTTGTTCATTTGTGAATGCACAATGAAGCCAAGCTTTGAATTTCGTGGATGGCAAATTAAATTTTAATTCAGTTGCCCATTGTGAGATTTAGCCGAGCTCTCCTTCCCATTAGTGTAAAAATATCGATGTATTAAAAAAAAAATTGAAGCCAAGGTTTATTTGCGAATGCGAGATCAATTAATTGATGCACTTCAATTGAGATTACAAAAGCGATATTTTATCACATTTTTTTATTGATTAAGATAAGAGAGTATTAACGAAAAGCTCACAGTACTGTTCACTTTAATGAAAAACCATATTTTTACACTAAAAAGTCAAACCTGTTACTATTCACTTTATCTTTTATTTTGTCTTTATCATTAAAACTCAAACTTTTCAAACCATTTTTATTAGTTTTCTTTAAAATAATTGTTTTTTATGTATGGGAGGGAAAAGAAGGCAAAAAAAGAGGAGGTTTGGGTTCCACCAATGAGAGGTGATGCAAAGAGGACGTGCTCCTAATTTGTTAAAATGTTTGTTTAGCCAAGAAGCCCATGTTCCATGTTATTCTCTTTTTTTGGTCAATGCATTTGAGGGCATTTTTGCTCACCATCTTATTTATTACCGTTAGATGAATTTGAATTTTATCATTGTTAGATGAGTTTGAATTTTAAAATTTGTGCGTATCTACTACACGAATCTCGAAATTTCCCAAGAAAGAGCCGCCGTCAACAAGCTCGTGTTTTCTGCACCAGAATAAGGCTCCGTTTCATCAAAGATCCGTTCTTTTTCGTTTACATTGTAATGATCAAGGCGTTTGGCAAAGGGTAGTTTCAGAAGCGCCGTTGAGCTCTTCCAGCGGCTGAGGGAGGACGGATTGTGCCCTGATAATTTCACCAACCCATTTGTTTTTAAAGCCATTGGAAGAGGTTCAGGAAGGTCAAATGGTTCATGGGTTTGTGCCTTTGTAGTAAAAACTGGTATTGGGTTTGACGCGTATTTGTAACTCGCCCATTGACATGTATGCGGAATTGGGCATGGTTGAGAGTTTCAAGCAGGTGTTTGATGAAATACTTGAGAGAAACAGGCTTTGTTGGAACATTACGATTTTGAGGTATATTCAGTGCAGGAGGTTTGAGGAGGCTTTGGATATGTTTCGGAGGATGTCATGTGCTCCGTTGGGAGCATTAGAGCAAGGGGAATGGATTCACGGGTACACCGAATATAACAGAATTAAAAATTGATGCAGTTGTTGTTGGTACCGCGGTTACAGAAATGTATGCAAAACGTTGGAGCATAGACAAATCTTTCGACTCCAGTCATTTATGGGCTTGCAAGGAATGGCAAGACAAGCAAAGGAATCGAGTTGTTCACGAAAATGGTACAGATTGGCATGAAGCCTGATGATTTCACCTTCATTGTTGTCTTATGACTGCATTCACGGAGGGTTGGCAAATGAGGGTTGTGAGTTCTTGTTCTTCAACTCCAAGAGAAAGGTATATGGGATCGAGCGAGGTTCGAACACTATGGTTGCCTGATCGACCTTCTTGGCCGTGCCAGACTGTCAGACGAAGCAGAGGAGTTGATAGAAAGGGTTCCAAGTGAGATTATAGTCCCGATTTCTACGTTTGCATCCATGGTCAGTAACTGCACATTTCAACCTAAAATTTTGATTTAGGACCGAAAAGGTCGAAGTATGATGCTAATAATTTGGTTCCACAAGAGAATATGAATATTTGTAAAGCATAGAACAAGTAACAACTGAACAACTAGTCAATATGGCAAATGAATTGTCAATAAAATGAGGAACAAATCATCTGTTGGATGCGATCAAATCAAATGTCCGAACAAGGGAGCTGGGAAAACAAGAAAGACAGCCGACCTGGTACTGGACTTGACTCATCATACAACCAATCCGGAACTGCTTCAGATTCATATTCATAGTAATAATAATCACCCCTACCAAAATGCTTGTTTTCCTTCAAAGGTTTGTCCCATACAAGATTTACCCCAATTTTCTTCACCGTACAAGAATAATAACCCTCTAAATGAATAACAATCTTGTCCCCGCCTTGCAAATTGAGCTTGAGCTTATCGTTCGATAATTGTACCTGCCAAAAATAATCCTCTCTTCCTCCCGAAGTAGGCTTAGAGACCCTCGAAGTAGTACGCTTGGTACAATTTACAACAGTAAAGGTAACCATTCCAAATTGGAATTGGGAGCAAACCAAGCAGAGTGTCAACCCTTTAAAATTACGACCATCACATTGAGGAACATCAAAACTGACTTTATTGCCGTCACCGACAAAGTCAAACCACTCCGGAATATCATAAATCTCATTCAGAAAAATACCACCACCTCCGCAAGAAGTCCATCCCTATAACATACATACCATGTAATATAGTGTCAAATACTTGTACATGTGCGATTGTGTTTGTGTGTGATTGACAGAGAAAGACAAGAGTAGGAGACAGAGATAGAGAGAGACCTGTAGGATGTTGTTCCTAAACTCAGCTGTGAGATTGGTGCACTCGCGCATACAAAGCTCTGTCATGGAGTTTAATGATTTACCCAAACCTAAACCTGGAACCTCTCTTACTTTGGGCGAATTATCTAGGCACAGTTGTCTCATGTTTGACATTTGCGAAAAGTCTGGCATTGTTTCCAATGCAGGGCAAAAATCTGCTTCCAAGACTTCCAAATTTGTTGGTAAATTGGGGATTGCACGAAGATTCTTGCACACAGATAACCTCAAAGATACAAGATTTGAAAGACCACTGAGGCTAGGTAGGCTACGACAACTATTGTCTCTAAGTTTCAACTTTTGTAAAGAAATTAGACTCCCAAGGTCGTTGGGGAATTGTTTTATGGCTGTACTAGTTACATAAAGTTTTCTCAATGATACCATCTCCCCTAAGCCCCCAGGCAGTTCTCTTAATGAACTGCAATCATTAAGTAGAAGAGTCTCAACAGATTTCAACTTGCAGAATTCCCCTGGGAGACACCTAAGCTTTTGGCAGTATTCAAAATTTACCAAAGTGAGTTTTTTAAGTTGACCGATGGATGGGTGAATCTTGGACAAACTCTCACAGTATGAAAAATGCAGTTCTCCAAGATTTCGGAGCCCTGAGAAGTCTGGTGACTTTTTTAACCGAGGGGAATCACTGAGATCAAGGATTTTCAAATTTTCGAGCAGCTGCACAAACCCCAAAGAAAATATTATTCAAAATCCAAGAAGAATATGGCTTAAAAAATAAAATCAGAAGCTAAGGGTGATTGTACCTTGGAATTCTTCCAGCCTTTTCTGAGTTTGCTGAACTGCAGGTCAAGAACAACAAGTTTTGGCTGATTAAGAAGGTGCTCTGGCATGTACTTGAAAGGGAATTGATGCCAGCACAACCATCTCAACTCTTTCGGAAAATGTTTGAAGCTTCCAGTGAGCTCTACATAGTTGAGCCTTAGCAATCTCAGTTTTTTCATATTGACAAATGCTTTTGTACTGAAACTAGCCATTTTTTTAGAGCTTGGTAAATCTAGAGATAGTGCTTCAATTTCTTCAGATCCCTGTTAAGTAAACAAAAGGACATATGATGAGTAATAAAAGGGTAATTTGCGTCTGAAAAATGATTTACTTACAAACAATTGCCATATAATCGGTTGGAAATCGATTTAATTGCTTCCATTTCCACGTGAAGGTTTATTGTACTTATAAATGTATTTCTAAATATCATTAAATGTAAGCAGTTGCACTAGGATATGATTTAGCGAGCATTAATATTAAACTTTGTTGGGAATCTACTTACAGATTTATTTGTCAACATATCTGTTACGGCTTTAGGGTCCCAGAGTCTACTCAATCTTTCAGGTTGAGTAGGAGATTTTTCAGAAATGATTATCTTGCCCATTTCTCGAATCAAATCATGCATCTTCAGCTTGCCCTGTTCAACAGCTACAAGGCACCGTTCACGAAGAACACTGATTCCTATTATTGGAGATAACCCACATCCATCTAAAATTTTTGTGACATAATCCTTGTTCACATAACCCTGGCCGATTTCAAGAAAGAAACATATATCAAGGAATATAGCCTTCTCTGTATCGTCTAACCCATCAAAGCTTATTCTTAGTTTTTCAATAATGTCTTCTTCAAGTATTCTTTCCAATTTCTCCAGATAGCTTTCCCACTCTATTTTGGGTCTGCCAATAAGAGAAGAGCCTAAAACTTGGAGTGCTAACGGCAAACCCCCACAATAAGAAACTACCTTCTTTGACAATTCAAGATATTCTTCATTAGGGCAACTATTGCCAAATGCATGCCAACTGAAAAGCTCAGGAGCTTCCTCTTCATTCATTCCCCGAGGTTGATATCTCATATCCACTCTCAGTTGATTTAGTAAATGCTCATCTCTTGTTGTTACGATAATTATACTTCCTGGACCAAACCATTCACGACTTCCAGCTATCGCATTTAGTTGCTCCACTTTATCTACATTGTCAATAATGAAAAGTACCCTTCTACGTTGGAGGCGTTGTCTTATAACAGGGATCCCTGCAGCAACGCTACTAATAATTTGAGGCTTGGCATGTTTTAAGATGTCAGAAATAAATTTTCGTTGCAAACAGAGCAGACCATGTTGGCTTGTACCATGGTGGCAAACATCTTCAAGGAAGCATTTGAATTGGAAGCTATGATGAATTTTGTTATAAATGGCTTTGGCAACAGTTGTTTTGCCCAATCCACCCATCCCCCAAATTCCAACCATTTTAACGTCATCTGATCCACCACTTGAAATATCACTGATAATTGGTTGAACACGAGAGTCGATTCCAACCGGGTATTTGGCCACGTGTAATTCATCTGTGCTGGGAAGCAATTCCCTAATATTCTCTTCAACAATTCTCCTAATAAGCTTTGCTTCATGCCTGAAAACTCAATTAGTCAGCATTAACTCAATGAAGGATTACTAGAAGCTATCACCTTCACTCAATTAGTCAACATGAACGACATGGAGGGTGATAATATAGCCTGACTTCTTAGACTTTCAACAAAGGTTTAAGAAATTACGGTTTGGGATTTGTAAGAGTTATTGGGTACATGTGGGATTTAGAATTTGAGAATTAAATTATATTTGTAATCTTTACTTTGATCAGTAGTGGAATTTTCTTGCTATCTTCGAAATGCATATGAGTTTAAGCCGAACGAGTATAAATCTTTATGTCATTTTGGATTGTTTCATTTTTGTTCTATTTTTTCATATTAGTTTATTGATTTCATATTTGACACTTTCACACAACATATTATTTCTCATTGGTGCAATTATATACATATACAAATCGACTAAACTAGCATATATCTATTTGATACACTGATTTCAACCTATAATCAACTTGCAATATATAGGAACTTAATTTTCGATGCGTGGACTTGGGAGTATTGTATATAAATTTCAATCCCAAAAATTTCATTTCAGTAACATAAATTGAAATTTAGATGATATAGCCTGTAATCTTAAAAAGCACAGATGTTTGATTAAAAAACAAAAACTTCAAGTTTTAGGCGCTTAAATATAATCAAACTTTTGTAAAATATATTTAAATAGGTAGTTTCCTATCTCGTGAGCATTACTGAGATTTTATCTTGCAAATCTTGATGTTTCAATCAATGAAAGTATTTTTCCTGTGTGCTATTTGCCTAACAACCATTCATTAACATGTTTCAGATCAATGAAAATGGTTACCCGTTATTAAGATCGTGGCCAGACAAATTTGCAGCTTGAGTAAGAGCCTCTTTCCACTGCTTTACCCTTTCTTTCTTGGCTTCACGTTCTTTGTCATCTTTTTCTTCAAGGATGCTATCTTCGTGCTTCTTAAATGCTTGGGCTAAACAACCTTGCTGCTTCCTCACATGTGAAGGATCGACGTGATAGAATATTGGCAAAACCTTTTGCCCCAACTTTTCTCTACATTCCATGATCTTTACCAGCTCGTCAAGACACCATCTTGATTCTGCGTAACTCTTTGAGAAGACAATAACCGAGATTCTGGACTCTTCGATTGCCCGCAACAGTTCGGGTTTTATTTCTTCCCCTCTTTTCAGATTATCCTCATCAATAAAGGCATCGAAGCCCCTGTCTTGTAATGCCGCGTGAAGGTGGCCCGTGAAGCCATTGCGTGTATCTTCGCCTCTAAAACTCAAGAACACGTCGTAATTCCAGAGTTTTGAGGAGGAGGCTTCATGGGATGTCATGGTGTGGTGTTACTGTTTACGGCACTGGAGTGATTCCAATCCAGCGAAAAAAATGGCAGTAAAAGAGTATACTGTATATATGATACTGAAGGGACACTTTTTGTTCTTTCCAGGAAGCATCCGCCCCAAGTTTTGAAGAAAACCAAGAACGTTTCCTGTGGAAAACCACGATGTTCGTGGCCTCACGATCTGATCACTGGACGCCTGAGATTGAAGTTTCGGAAAAGATCGGGAAAAAAAACAGCTTCAATGAAACCGCGCTCAACGGAGTAAAAGGACACGAAATGATGGGACTTGAGTAGGTTTTGCAGCTTTCAACGCGGACTCAGATCCTCTCCTGAGCCGTTGCCAACGGGGCCTAGGGATCAATTGATCCCAGCCCTTCAAATTCATCCTGCGGCCAAGAACGGCCAAGTGGCTTTCAAATTTTTTTTCACGCAACCCAAGGCAATTTAGTTTGCCTTTCCCTACAATTCCCTCTCCCTTAACCCATAACTCCAGCTTCCTACGAATCCATATCTAATAATATTAACTACAAACAAATCAGCTACACACAGGACTCTAATCCCATCTCTCATCACCGGAAACCCACCATAATCGCCGGATAATTTAGTCAAACCCGCCGGGCCGGATTTGCATGCTCCGACTTCCAACCCCGTCAACGACGATCTCTCTCACAAGGCTATTCCCACACCCAAAGATCTCAGCTTTCGCTTATCTTCTTCCACCTCTCACTCCTCTCTCTCTCTCTCTCTCTCTCTCTCTCTCTCTCTCCCCCCGTTTCTCCCTATTTTCAACTGTCTCCTTTTTAGGCCGCAGGATGAATTTGAAGGGCTGGGATCAATTTATCCCCAGGCCCCGTTGGCAACGGCTCAGGAGAGGATCTGATCCAACGCGTTCAACGACGTCAAAGGACACGAAATGATGGGACTTGAGTTGGGTTTGCAAGTGCTTTTTACTTAGTTCATCTTCAACCGAATGATCCAAAATATTAGAAGGTCGAAAATAGTTTGAAAATTATCTCTAATCAAGGGTTAGACCAGAGAATTCTGAAATCTGAAAGGACCTCACAGAATCAGAGAGGGTTGGCCTTTTTTTTTTTTTTTTTATGTTGGATTTCCTGTATATTATAACCGACAGGAATACATTGTATTACTAAAATAAATGTATTACTGTCGGTTATAACCGATAGTAATGCATTTATACTAAATAATACAAATGTATTTCTTTCGGTTATAACCGACATGAATTATTTGAATTTTTTTAACATTTTTATTATTTTTTTTATTTACAAAAATTTTCCTATAACTTCTATTTTTCATATTTTTTTTCAAATTCTATTTTTTTTCCTATAACGTTTATTTTAAAATTTTGTTTCATATATATTTTTTTTAAATTTCATTTTTTTCCTATAACTTCTATTTCACAAAATTTGTTTCATTTTATTTTAAATTCTATTTTATTTTTCCTATAACTTCTATTTCACAAAATTTGTTTCATATTTTTTTTAATTCTATTTTTTTCTATAACCTCCTAAGCCATTATACAACATTAAATTAAATTAAGTAACATGAAACAACATTAAACAATATTAATAACATTAACCAACATAAAAATTATACAACATAAAAAAAAACATTTAACAACATGAAACTTAAACAACATTTAAGTTGTAGTTTTTAAATAATAAATTATGTTTGGCCCTCGGTTGGAAATGATTTTTTGTGGCTAAAACGAGTCATCTGGCCCTCGATTGGAGACGATTTTTTGTGACAGGGCTAAAACGAGCCATCTGCCCTCGGTTGGAGACCGAGGCAAATATGGCCTTATACTGTTCATTAAAATATTAATATTTTAGAGAATCTTGGAGGGCCAGAGGACTAAAACGAGTCTTCTGGCCAGCCCTCGGTTGGAGATGGCATTAGTCCTCTTTCAGAACTAATTGGACCAGGATCCCCTCCTGAGGGTGGGGATCTTTCTAACCAAGCTCATCGGATCGTTGAAATTTTATCCAACGAATACAATTATTATAATTTTTAGAGAGATTTCCTGTTTGTAGTCGTTGAATAAAATTTTTAAAGGAGTTTCCGATTTGTACTCATATTGGTGCTAGAGTAACTTGTTATGTATTTTCGTATTATCTACTTGTTCTTTGTTTGAGTGTGAGCTATTGGTGTATGTGGGATTTCGGATTTGAGTATGAAATCTATTTTTAAATGAAAGTATGATCGATTTTTTAAAGCTATTTTTTGACCCCATTGCTATAAATTTCTGACTCCACCATTGCATCGACATCTTGAAAAGCTCGGATATTCGAAGCTAAACGAAGACGATGAAGGGGTTGCGGCGGAGGCCGAGATCTAGGAGGGAGCTTCGGCGAGCTCAGAGGAGCGAAGTGAAATTTCTACGACGTAGCAATGCAGAGAGAATGGTGTTGTGGAGGAATAGCATTGAAATTTCTACGACGTTGAGATTTGGTTCATACAGGGGTTTTGTGGGGGAGGGGAGAACGTGGCATTTTGAAGACTTTTTGATTATTTAATTGGGTAAGATTTATTTAAAGTCTGCTCTGATTTTTTGATCTCCTACAGATTTTGAGTAATTTTATTTATTAGTGATGTAACTGTGAATATAATATCCCACCAAAAATTGACAAAGTCGTCAGATAAAATTTTCTCCTTCTTTTACGGATAAAAATAATTTTCTATTTTTTATGTTTTGGAAAATAATTACGACAAAAATGATAAAGAATAAGAAATGGGAAAGGAGCCAAGAAAAGAGAACGTGAGGCCGCGTCCTAATTTATTAAAGGAGGCAGATTCTATGTCCTTCTATTTTCCGTGCCCTCTTATTTTGTGTGATTATAAAATGCTGACATGGTTTAACCGTGATCACACAAATAGAAAGACACGGAAAATGGAAGGCAGAGAACCTACCTTCTTTATTAAAAGATTAATCTTAGTTTAGTGTAATGAAGTTTCTCGATTTTCAATATTTAATATATGAATTTTTTTTATTCCAAATAGTACCTAAAAATCATAATTTTAAAACATTTTCATAAATTCCTTAACTTTTCAATCAGAATCTCTATTAACCGATGATATAATATCGACGTAAACAATTAGGGGGCGTTTGTTGCGCCGGACTATCTCAGACTGGATTAGCTTCAAGGATTAAGCTGGACTGGCTTAGACTAGACTAAACTGGACTAACTTAGTGAAGCATTTGGTGCAGTATTGAAATAAGAAGCTGGATAATAACAAATTCTAATATTATATTATTTAATATATAAATTATTAATATTTTATTATGATCTTATCTTTTTCTTCATCTTTTCCTACCATTTTTGTCCCACTCTTTTCCTCTTCTTTCATCGTCCCAACCTCTCCCTCTTTTTTTCCTCTTAGACCTCTCAATTCATGTCTTTTTTTCATTCCTGGTCAAACTCCTTATTGATACCAGTGTCTATTTCTCTGTCCTCCCTCCCTCTCTAGCTATGTGTTGTTCGAATGGAACCTCACGGCTCCAATTTTTCCGACGAGTTGCAGGTTTCCCGATGTGTTTTCCGGCCAACCCTCGTTAAATTGGATGAAGTTAGCACCGCCAAAAAATTCATCACCATCCCTAGACCGAGATCTTAGCTTTGAATGCTCGAATCTGTCATGGATTTGAAGAAGCCCAAACAGGCCGAGACTTCCAGACCATTTTCCAGCCACATTCGACCACATTTTGGCCTCTATTTAGGTAAAATCGTAATCTTGTCACTCCCAGCTTCAATTTGGTATATTTTATATGAAAGTTAGTTGTGAAATGGATCTGAAAGGGAGTCGGAAAGTTAATGATTGATCTAGGTGACCGGAGATGACAAGGAGTTTGTCGGGAGTGGTCGTTGAGCATGACGAGGACGAGAAAGAGAATATAGTCTTAGCTAGTCCCATGGTTATTGGGGGGTCTCGCTAAGACCTCTTAGTGAAAGGTTTTGTCCATACTAGTCCCCTTTAGTCTCATTAATGTTAGTCCCAGCATGGAACAAACACAGTATTGGACTAATAGCTAGTCCAATCCAGTCCAGTCCAACTTAGTGAGAGCAAACAAACGCCCCCTTACTGGACGCTACGTGTTAATATGAAGGATATTAATAAATGAAAAATTTACAAGGGCACTTCCTCCCTTGCTCCCCCTCCCATCGTCTTCCCTGCAGTACAAATCTGCGGCGGGGAGCGTCGTCTCTCATCCATATTTGCACCAGTCCAAACGACGAGCCCGAAGTCCATTCTAGCACAAACACATACACAATCAACCTCCTCTCTCATCCAAATCGACAACCTCCCCTCAATTCCCCAATTTCCGCAGATTCAATAATCTCAAAATCACCACCAAATTAAGAAATTTCAACACAAATTGAAAAGGAAACCCTTGAAACTTTGGAGAAATCAAATTTCCAAACCCCTAGGATTGTTCAAAATTTGAAATTGGAAATCCTAAGCTCTCTTTGGGCACGAGAGATCATTAGAGGGCCGCAGTGACGGTAGCAAATCGGAGAGAAGTGGAAAGGAAGTCAATGAAAAGAGAGAGAGAGAGAGAGAGGAAAGGAGAGGAGAGAGATGATCTCCTCGTTAGTGGTGCGGGGAGTCGAGGAGGGAGGGGGTGGATGCAGAAGAGAGAAGGGAGAGGATGAAGGGGGTAGGTGCAGAAGAGAGAAGGGAGAGGATGAAGGGGGTAGGTGCAGAAGAGAGAAGGGAGATGAGAAGGGATGGAGTGTCGGGGAGGGTATCAGGGATAGGGAAGGTGGGGTGGCTGATGGGACGAGATAGAGCCCAGATTTTAATTTTTAATTTTTAATTTTTAATATTTTTAATATCCACATGGATGCATATTGACAGTGACGTACAATGCTAATTTACATTGTACCGGCAACCTTGACTGATACAAGAAAGGGTCATAAAATTATGACACTCTGAGATGAAAAGAACTTGTACTAAATATTGAAAACAAAAAACCTTTCAAGTAGTAAAATGAGCTTACCCCTTTATTAAATGTTTAGCCAAGAAGCCTATGTTCCATGTTCTTCTCATTTTTTGGTCAATGCATTTAGCACTTCTTATTAATTTGTTAAAAGTTTCAAAGTCTGGCTAATATCACAATCCTTGTCGGTTCTTTTGCTCTAGTTCGCTGGAACACTCGATCAATTTACAGTAACTGGAAAAATGAAACCAAATGCAATGTAAACAAATTGAGAGAGGGAGATCCTTACGAGCATTGCAGCAAAGGCAGAGCCAACCATTCCCTTCACGAGTCGCATTACTGCGTCCGAAATAAATTTGGTAAACTTGGACAAAGTCATGAAAAACTGGATAAATGGATTTCCTTGATTTACAGAATTTGAGGCATCTTCTTCAGTCTGGTTATCTTCTTCCGGTTGATGGCCCTTAGCAACCTTCTCAATAGCCCTTGGGGCCAAAATTGCTGTCAATTACTAACGTATCCTAACAACTAAGAACAAACCGGAGCAAATAATTCCAATGATGAAAAGTTATCCCACTTCCCAATTCCAACGGCTAATTAACACGATGAGCGGAATAACGAGTATCGATAATAAAACACAGAAAGATAAGGAATTTAGGCTTACCAGAGCCGGAGTATTGGGCGCCGCCGGAGCCACTGACGGAAGCAGCAGAAGCGACCGGAAAAGACTTGAGAATTGTGTAGTTTTTGGAATCTGAACCGAATCTTGACGGAAAGCTAAAGCTGATGGTGGTGTTGCCGCCACGAAAGCTTGAAGCTTTGCTGCAATTCTTGAGCAAGGCAAGGTCCGTAGGAAGCACCCCAACTCCTGCGCTGCTCCCCATTGGGATTTTGGCGCCTTCAATCTCTACCCCCTCACCTGAACTTTACTTAGTGGCCTTGAATCTGTGAAAAGACTTTTATTTAGGTGTCAAATTGTAATATAACTTGCACTTTGGGTGATTCAATGTAAAATTATTAGTTCGTGAGGCAAATTCAAAAAAAAATAAAAATTCAGGGGCCATTTCTACAATTCTTCTTTTTATTAATGTAAGAATTGGACGGTCTAGTTGAAATTCCCGAGGATGACGACGATGGAGGCTCTGGTGTGCCGGAAACTGGGCGACCCGACACAACACATATCAGACGGAGGAGCGGAGAAAGCGATAGTGGTGGAGAAGAACCACCCAATTCCGGAATTGGTTTCTCCGACATCGGTGAGAGTGAGAGTGAAAGCTACGAGCTTGAACTACGCCAATTATCTGCAGATACTGGGCAAGTACCAGGAGAAGCCGCCCCTCCCTTTCATCCCCGGATCCGACTATTCCGGGACCGTCGACGCCGTCGGACCCGCCGTCTCCAAGTTCAAAGTCGGCGACCCTGTTTGCTCTTTTGCCGCCCTCGGCTCTTTCGCCCAGTTCATCGTCGCCGATCAGAAAGAGCTGTGAGTTCGCTTTGCCCCTCTCTCCTTTCTCTCTCTCTCTATAAATTACTGATGTGGGATTGTTGGGGTTGGAAGGTTTGGAGTGCCGGAGGGGTGTGATCTGGTGGCTGCCGGTGCACTGCCTGTTGCGTTTGGGACCTCGCACGTGGCGCTTGTTCATAGGGCCAATTTGTCCTCCGGTCAAGTACTGATCTTTCTGATAATCTTTCTGTGTTTTCCTATGTGTTTGTTCGTGTTTGATTTGTTGTGTTGTGTGTGTGAATTTGTAGGTATTGCTGGTTCTTGGTGCAGCTGGAGGAGTTGGCCTTGCGGCCATACAGATTGGCAAGGTTGTGGGAGCCATTGTTATCGCCGTAGCTAGGTACTTAAACTTGTTTCGATTTGACTGTAATGATCGTTAGTTTTTCTTTTTAATGCATTTAAGAAATGGGATTTTGTTGTTGGGTGCTGAATTTGCAGGGGAGCTGAGAAGGTGGAGTATTTGAAGCAATTGGGGGTTGATCATGTGGTGGACTCGAGCAGCGAAAATGTTATCCAAAGTGTGAAGGATTTCTTGAAATCCCGAAAGCTTAAAGGGGTTGACGTTTTGTATGATCCGGTTGGAGGCAAGCTTACGAAAGAGGCCATGAAGGTTTTGAGTTGGGGAGCCAACATTTTGGTCATAGGCTTTGCAAGTGGAGAGGTCCCTGTCATTCCTGCAAATATTGCGCTCGTTAAGGTACAATTATTGATTGTTTGCAGTCCCAAATATCGCAATTGTTGGCGGAAATGAGTAATGCCGGCCTAAGATTCGATGGTTAGAGGAACATGAGAGTATTTAGGATTGATTAGTGGATAGGATGTGGAAGTTTTTAAGGACACCAAAGTCTTAGTGAGAATTATAGTTATTTGGAATTGATCACCTGAAACTCTTATTTCCTTTTTCCAAGTAGTGATTGCAGAACCAAGTCGATGGTTGAACAGTAACTACCACTTCAATCATATAGCCTTTAGCATCTGTACGTGAAGCGATCATTGCTTTAAATATATGAGAATAATGTTGGAGAAGGCTGAATGAAAATATGAGTGTATAAAATTGTGTGTCTAACTTACGTGGGTCTTAGTTATATTTTGTTCCCGAAGTTTTCGTTCAAGAATAATGCTCTTATGCTTGTGTATTATTTGCACCAGAACTGGACAGTGCATGGACTTTACTGGGGTAGCTACAAAATACATCGACCAGGTGTTCTTGAAGAATCACTCAAGGAGCTACTGTCCTGGGTGGCAAGAGGCTTGATCAGCGTCCACATTTCTCATGCTTATCGCCTGCCCGAGGTTAGGAACTCATACTCTTTTTTAACCTCTTATCACAGCTACATGCTCTGGCTTCTGAGTTTTTGGTACTCTGTGTGGAATAACATTATGATTTGGAAGATGGTATGAAGGCACATCCTATAGAACCGATCAGATATAAATGAACGATATTTAGTATAATTCTTAAAGGAATTCCGTCTGGTATTGACCATGTGATTAAGTTTCATGCTCATTGTGCATGATTTTTTGCTTTGACTTCAGTTTAATGTGGAGATTGCTTCTCTAAGCTGTTTTCAATTTCGTGTAAATGACAGGCTAATCTTGCTTTCGCTGCCATCAAAGATAGGAAAGTCATTGGAAAAGTGATGCTTGTTCTCGATGACGAGAGAAGTGCAAGATCAAAGCTTTAACTGGATCAGAATTCATCCGGGATGGCGGAGCCTTGTAATCGTTGGCACTTCAAATCCAGAAACTTTCGTAATGTGTTAAGCGTAGTTTACCATTTGATCAGATGATGACAGAAAATCAAATAAGATCTGTTTGATCGTACGATGATAGAAAATCAAATAAAGTCTGATGGTTCGGGCCGCCAATTTCTGTTCATTTGTGAATGCGCAATGAAGCCAAGTTTTATGAGCGACCGAGCTCAAGATTGTTCGAGAGTAACCAGATTGTTAGAGATGGGTAGCCAAGCAAGTTATGGGACAGGTTTGCTTCTGGCAATGTAGCTATAAAGATTGCTTTATTTTACGAGATGCGGTAAAAGGGAACACAACACTTCCAAATATTTACATCCAACGGATATTCCGAATCAATATTTACATAGGATAAACGAATGTATAGCTCCACGACTCATTCGAACAAATTCTAACTTGGCCGCCTGCTTTCGGTTTTCAGAAAGCGTACATATTCCTGCTGCACCATCTCACCTCCATTCATTGGATCAAAACTGCATTTGTAGAAACTGAAAAACCAGAAAAAAGGAAGCAGTGAGCAGGGGTGGGAGACAGATGAGTTGGTCCAAAAAAAGGCGAAAAACTAAAGGGAGGTCGAACTAAATAATCTTCATTCCGTTTATTTTCTTTGTTCTTCAGAAAGGATTCAAAATCTATGTATATGAATCTCGATGAAACTGTTGAGGAAGAATTACTCGAATATTTCCACAACTTTTAGGCTAGCGGAAAATGCAAGAACAAATAGAAACACACACATGCATACACAAAGAGAGAGCATACCTCCCATCCATGCCAACAATGATGACAGTGTTTTGAGAACCAAATGCAGTAATGAATTGAGTGTCTTCTGGCAAGTGGAACCGAGCAAATGACCGTTCTGAGCTAAAATATTTAGGTAAAACCCCTGCAAAATTGTCAGAATGATTATTTTTAGAACACTTATAAAACCATTCAAGGGCAAAAAATTACAGAGAAATCCAAACCGAAGTCCCTCAAACACTTAAAATGGAGAAGCGTAGTATCCAGGCAGATGACTCGTGGTGGTCTTGAAAAAAAAGTTTGAGCACAATTTTATTACCTCCCATGAAAGACAATGATGAACTAGAATTGGCACCGGTGCTTGGAGAAATAAGAGGATCCAGGGAATTTGAAGAGTTCTGCTGAAACATTGCTGCCCCTTGAGCAGAATTATGAGCAGAAAGAACCTCCCCGAATACTCTAACTCTGAGGCTGAATATATGCACAGTGCCTTTATCACTCGATGCTGCCAACCACTGAACATTTGGAGAAAGAGCAATACTGTAAATTTCTGCTCTGTCCACTCCTCTGCGTACCTACACAAAGGCAATAGATTAATAAAACCCTCATGAAACACAATTACTAGTGGGCGTCATTCCTCGCATCCACAAAAGAATAACATTATAAAAGAAAATTTATGGCTAAATACGAATGACCTTTGTTCTTCTATTTAGTAATTCACAACATGTTAGTTTAAAAGATTAACTTTCTCATACAGAATCTGAAGCCATTCATCATAAACTTGAGGAACCACCATAATATATTACTAAAAATTCACATGCAATATGCTACCTCTTGCAAGCGAGTCCCATCCATTGTGTTGAAGATTCTTATCAAAGTACCCTTATTACTAGCAGTTGCAAGAAGCAGCCCGTCCATTGTTAAGGTCAAGCATGCAATATGAGAATCATGAGCATTGATTAACTTCGTCAAGTTCAGCCCAAAATGTTCAATTCGAACTTGTCCTCGTTGAAGGCCTGGGCAAGCCAGCACAGATGTATTTGGATGGTGTGAAAGGCTGCACAATCCCCTAGGATTTGCTACAGTCTCAATCTGATGCAGCAGCTTCAGATCCTTAAAGTTGTAACCATATATTTTGTGCTCAAGAACCACAACTATGCGATCACGCCTTAACTTTACAGCACGAACCTCAGATCTGAATGAAAACTCACCAATACATCGACTCTGATGATCATCCCAAATCAGAACCTTGTTAGGCGGATATTGTGAATTGTCCCCGCTACCAACAAGTACAAGAATGTTGCATCGGAATAGCATCTCCACAATTTTGAATCCCCCACTTTTCAAATCACGTCTAAAAGTTTCTTTGAAAGGCTCGCAGTTGTAGATTCGAAAACCATTGCTTGTGCCTGCAGAAAAGCAACCGTAGTCCTGATTCCAAGATACAGAGAGCAACTCCGTTTCACTGTCATTGACATCTGGTTCGAGCGGGCTGAAAGAACCAGAAGCCCCAGAATCCGGTGATTCATGCATGCCAAGCCTTGCGGGTGAATGCATTCCTCGAGATGTTGACACTGTTGAACTCATGATGGAATCAGGCCCACTTAAAACCAATTTCCACGATCAATAATCGTGCGAAACGAAAGATAACCCGAGCACAAAAAGATGGATAACTCCAAGATTAATTCTGTCATTCCATGAAAAAAAATTAAATCAATGTCAAAAATTTCAAATAAAAGAAAACCAGTTTATATCAGTTACTAAAGCTGGGGGAAGAGTACCAGTTACTTATAGGGAACAACAATTTCAAACAGAAAGTATAAACTTAACAAGAATATCAAATCAACCTTGTGAAGAATGCTAAATCCAACTAATTCGAAACAAAAAGTAACCAGAAAGAGAGAAAACTTATAAAATTCTATATAAATTATCATCCTTTAGAGAAAAATCTCCGAAACCCATCACCAAATTAACCTAATTGTACCAAAAACCTAGCAAATCTCCATTAAAATTAGCACATTTAGCAGTAAATTATCCATCTTTTCTTTTCACAGTAAAGCAATGAGAAGATCATGAGCAATCAATAACCATAATTATAAATTTTGCCAAACTCACAGTTGCTACAGCGTTTGACAACGATCAGGCATATACTGAATCTTTCGTGGCGCCGCAGATGCTCTATCAGAAAAAAAAAAAAAATGAAAAATCGAATTAATTGATTAAATTTATAGAAGAAAGAGACAAGAGGGGACTGGAGGGGAGCAGCAGGAAGGAGACGAAATCAGATTCAGGGTTTGAGAGTCAATTGCTGAATTTGGATGAACTGACCTTTTCGATCTGAGATAGGCCATCAGCACCAGACGAGACGAGAGGAGACGACAGCGATACGTCTGTCTTCCCTTTTTCTAATTTACGAATTCTCTGTTTATTTTCTTTCCTCTCCTTGTTTGGTTTTTTTTCTTTTTGTTGAAAATAATTGTCGCTCAATTGCTCGTTTATTTTCAAAATGGTTAAAAGCGTTTTTATTGAAATATTTTTAAATAAAATTTTAAATTAAAATGTAAGTAAATTAGATAAATGTTTTTTTCTAAAAGATTAAAAGTGTTTATTACTACAATTTAGTATTATTCTTTTTCGCTTGTAAATGAGGGGTTTTAGATTCGATTTTTATCAAAGATGGAATTAGACCACATTAGTGCTAGCCCGTTGTGAGATTAAGCTCACCCCCTCTCTCTTAGTGTAAATAATATCATTTGTTCAAGAAAAAAATAACGCTTCCAACAGGTCCATAATCTCTCAACTAAGAGCTCATTTGCAAGTGTTTTTTTTTCTTTCAAATAACTGAAAACACTTTAAGAAAAAGATTGTATAAATAAATAGTTTTAAAAACACTTGCATATTTACAAAGAACTGATTTTAAAAATATTTTCACTAAAAACGCTTTCAGTTATTTTACAAGCACTTTCAAACAAGATTAGTTGATCAAGTTGATGTTGATCCCACTCAATAATAAAAAGGGTTTACTTGTGATGCCAAAATTCATTTTTAGGAAGCGTAATTTGTCATTATTGTCCCACTTTGTCTTTTATAGAGATTATCCAAATAGCTAAATTTGTTTTAAATTTTATTTTAGAAAAATTTAAAGTTGTTTTTTTTTTTTCCTTCACTGAAAAATACCCTTAATGACATGAGCATCCTTAATGAATTCGTTAACGCTCAAAGCTTACAGGTCAAATCCAGATGGGTTTGATGAGTGAACACTCACAAGTTATAAGCTCAACAAACAAAAATCTTGAACCCTTGATAGGTTTGGGATGTAAGTAGTAAACCCCTCAAATTGGTCTAGATCCATTGTGTAGCACAAATTCAATTAACTGCAAGATAACGCTCGAGTAATACATGTAATTTCCCATTTATACAGGCCCTTAGAAAATCCTAGTGCTTTGCATCCCTTCCATTGGGCATTGATTGTGTCACCAATGTAGACTAGCCTCGTGACATATCTTTTCACTTGCCAACTTGACATTCGACGATGAAATGATCATGGGTGGGATGGGAATTATCTACCCTCCACTTACCTTACCATTTCCATCATTTCTTATTTGAGTGATCACGATTAAATCACATTAATATTTTATATTAATTTTTTAATAAAGATAATAAGATAAAAAATAATATAAATAAAAAATATTGATGTTACTTAACCATAACTGCTTAAATAAAAAGAAATGGGAAATAGATAGTAAGTGAAGGGCAGACAATCCCCATACTCGTGGGTGTCCAGCTGAGTTTACACACAATCCCAGAGTAAAGTGCGCTATTCTTCTCGGTCAGTCTCAATCGTTCAACCCAATATCTCCGAGCGCTTCTCGGTCAGTCTCAATTGTCCCATCCTGGGTCCCTGTAGTTAGTTGGCTTCGAGTCACCAAGCTACGCGATTGACATCTGAGTAGACCTTTCCTTAGAGAATCGCCACGTGCTCTTGTTGGTCAGCAGTTAATGCATGACATTGACCAGCGATCGGCCTCTTGTGATCGGGCGTGTTCCACCCTACGCTTCTCATACCTTGGGCGTCTTGGTCTATGGGGCCTTCGCAGCTTCGCCTTGGACTTTTTCATGAGTCCTTTCCATTCTGCTACTTTCAAATGAGCCCAAAAGTCCCATTAACAGAATTTTCCAACCCCCAAACCCTAAACTTTCCATGTTCTTGATAACTGCTGCGGGATACATTTGAAACTAACGTAAAACTTGATACAAGAATGAACGCAGTAACGTATTAAAATTTATACAACCGACCCACTTAGTAAGATAAAACTTTATTGTTGTAGACGACAACTACTGCCTTCTAATTGAATTACCACGACCCCTTTGTCATTTATCATGCCCCGAGAAAAACACAAAAAAGATTCGTGAAATGGTGAAAATAATAAAACAAGAAAGTCGAACTTGATCCTAACAAAATAAAGTACTCGAGCTGCACCATTGGAACTTGAAACTCCTGAAAAGAAGGGAAAAATTGGAACTTGAAACTCCTGAAAAGAAAGAAAAAAAATTAAAATAAACGGACCACAGTGCATGCTAGTATAGGTCACTCTGCACCACATTTTACAAATATTAAAACGTCAAGTGAAGGAGCTCCAAGCTTGTCTCTGCGATCTGCATTAAACAAAAGCTGATTTCCAAAAGAGGACTTAAGGCACATCAGCTCCAATCAATTCCAAATATGGAAGTATATAAACTCACCACATCGTCAGATAAAGCCATTCACCGTCCAGTTTCAGAAATAACTTAAAAATATAACCCGACTCCAACAAAAGATTATATAAAATGCTGGCTTTAATTTCCTTTTCTGTTCAACAACTACGACCATTATTTATAAAGTATTTGGTTAAGTACGGATTAAGCATCTGCTATGTTACTAGAGAAATTGCTCTAATTAAAAAATAAAATAAATCAACGAATGACAGCATAGAAGACTGGATGGCTCAACTCCAGATGAATTGAAAATGCGACTTAGGGTACACCTTTCGATGAACACATGCAATGCAAGAATGAGAACCGAGGCCTTCTGCCTGCATATATATATATATATATATAATATAATACATATACATATACATCTCACACACACACACACACACACAATAAGTACTTGGCCAATATTGCAGAAAACACAGTTTCTTTAGCCTAAGGAAAGGAGCACAGTTTCTTGAAAATTTTTGGTAAAATGTCATGAATGGTGAGTGCATGCATGCTGCATGTTACTGGCATGGCCATGCCCACGATTTGAATTTTGAAGTACATGAGAAAAACTGCAAACTAAACCCAGAACCTTCAGTGTTCTTTATTAGCATGCACAATATGGAGAACCTACAGATGACACATGTTTTCTTTGAGTATCACAGGTGAGAGAGTGGGGGAAAAGGGAAAAGTTACTGAACATTATTTAAAAAGATGGGAAAGTAAATAGAGATAAAAGCACCTGACCAAGATTACTTGTCGGGTGAAAAAAGTAGAGGAAATGAAGTAAAATTATTAGAGGAGGACAATGTGAGAGCTGTGATCAACCCCGTGGACAAGAGAAGGCACTTGACGTAGGCCCCTTCTTCATATGCATGGTCATTGGTACTAGCTGGAGTACACCTACTCGTAACTAGTAACCCATGAAATACAGAAAAGGCTTTTTTGCTTTTACAACAAGCGAATTGATTCATCAAATGCTTATGAGGGGTGCATATATGCGATGGCTTATGTTGCTAGATTGTGAATCTAAACATATATTTCTTAACTTATGTTACTAGACTGTGAATCTAAACATATATACATTCATAACTTGTGTTGCTAAACAACACGTTTCAGTAAGAGAACTACACATTACTTCTTGCGAGAGAAAACCAAATGCTAACCATCAGTCAACTTAAGCATGTAACAGATGGGAAAGAATGATGATGATGATACTATTAACTCTTCTCTAACTGATATATAAGCATATGAAACTAATTAGTAGTAACTAAGTTTTGGCACCTAACTTAGTTTAGTGCTCCTAAACCTTAACTGAGAGATGGAGAAAAGTGGAGAGAATGGAAAGGAGGAGCTCCCTTCAGTCCAAGCGCAGAGCAAGAGGGATGTAAAATATCTCCCGCTTCATTCACACAATCACAGTAGCAAATTGTCTGCGTTTACACTCCTTTAATCTCTACTGAGTGCTTGAGTGAATGAGTCGGCAGCTACTTCAACAACCCTTTCAATTTCTATCCATGAGTGGACTGAAGAAAGCTCTCTCTCCCCATTTCTTCAATATTCACCATATAATTTTTATACCTAGCGGATATAGCATTGTAAATTTGTATCCATAAATCAAGTAAACCCCACCATGCAACTGCAGTAGTACTGGTAGTACTGTGCACCAGTTTCACACTCCAAATCAATGAAAGCAACTTCAACATCTGCAAATCATAGACAATGACATATTGAATTCTTAGTCCAGAAAAAAGATTCCGAATTCATTTATTCAATTTTTCAAATACAAGAAAGTGCTTTTTCATTATATTGAGAGCTTTTTCCATTAAGAAAATGCCCAAAAATTAGCTTAATTAAGAGCAACCCTATTCCTTTCCATGGATTCTTTAAGGAAAAAAGAAGGGAAGATCTAAATAGGTAAAGATATATCTATTTACATATTCACTAAATCAATGGCTATATATCACTACCCAAAAGATTTTCATATTCATTGAGTAGCTAGGAATCATCAAACACATACAAGTTGATTAAACTTTTGTTTGGTCTCAGATTCTCATAAATCCAAGAAGTCGAAAATAAATTAAAATGTCTATTTCAGAAATCTAGAGCAGTACTGATAAGACCCCGAGTTTCATTATGAACATATAATTTACAGTTGGAAAATCAATTCGTTAAGTTAGTTTAAAAAGGAGCGCATACACATATTACAGTTGAAAAAAAAAAAAAAAAAACAAAAACAAATAAAATTTGGTTGTTTAAGGAGGCTAAGGTAACAAGTGAATCTTTAGCAAACTGAAAAACAAAGACGCTCTAATATTCATACTATAGCTTAAAACGAAGAGGCTAATAATCATATAAATTCAGAGACTCAAATCTTACAAATAAAACCCACTTTCTGCTTCAGATTAAATCAATTAAAACAAAAATTAAAGGACCAAATACAATACCAGACCAAAGGACTGCAGCTAGAAGAGGGGGGTAAATTAAACCCCCCCAGGGCACACAGTATGAAAAACTAACAATATATATATATACACACACACACATAGAGAGAGAGAGAGAGAAGAGAGAAGAAGAAGAAGAAGACATTGACTCACTAGTTATGAACCTTCCAAGCAGTAAGTAGTAGTATCTTCGTCTGCAGAATATAGGATCCACAAATAGTGTACAGAATAATGGAAGATACCGAAACCCTAAAATCTTAGTAATTAGAGGCGTTCTTCAAAACCCTAATCCATATTTTCCTGGCAGGAGAAGAAGGAAAGGGAGTTGCAGGAGAGAGAGTTTTATATTTGTGATGCAAATAGAAAAGATGGGTCATTGTCCCCATGGCCATATGAAAGTCAGACGCAGGAAAGCGACTCAGGAGCTTAGCAAATCTAAACGCAGGAGAGAGGGGGGTTTCACTTTTCTGCTTTCAGGAGAATTTTCACTAGAAGATAATTATGAAGATAAACAAGAAAGGGTTGTGAGAGATAATTAATTCAGGAGTTTCTCTCTCTCTCTCACAGACGCACACTCCAACACGCACATGTAAACAACACTTTAGCTGACCCAATGAAAGGAGAAGAATATATAGACATGGTCTTGAATTGGATTTGAGTTTGCACTGTAGCATTCTTGGGTATCGGAAGATTAAAATTGTAAATTATATTTACAAATTAAATAATTTATTACTAATAAAGAATACTTAAGTAATAATTTAATATTAATATTAACATTATTTTGTTTACAAAATTTAATTTAGAAAATTTTAATCTCTAGCATTACCCATACTAATTTTACAAAAAAAAAAACATCAACGCTAAATGATTTCCATTAATAAATTTTTCTTGTTGATTTAATTTTAACATAATATTTTCGGTTGTATTGAAGGGGATTGAACAATGAGTCTATCCTGATCCAAATTCAAGATACTCTTTCTTTTATTATATTTATTAAAAGGAATCCAACTACGAACCAACGTATGATGATTCTAATTTAATAGATTGAAAGAACGTTTCTCACAGTCCCACTGCAACTAACATTAGATATTTTGATACACTTAATTACCATGATTAGTCGAGAAAAACAATAACATGCACTTGTATTTTATGTGACGACTGTTAACTTAAAGTTCCGTTTTATGGGATGACTTTTAACATAAATTTAACTGTGTATGATAATAACGGATGCAGAGCAATTTGTTTGTCCACAGCGGTAGTTAGTATGTTATATAATTAGTTGTTAGGAGCAGTGTTTAAAATATTAGTATCGGTAGAAATATTGATAGGTAAATTTGTAGAAATATCAATTGATATGTCAAATATCATCGATTGTCTTCGATACAAATGATGGAAATTTGTTTAAAAATATGGAAATTTAAAATTATTTTTTAGGGAATGTCATATGAAGCCACAACACACGTGTGAATCAATAATTAATAATTAGATATTGTGTAAATAATAAGTATGTGACATGTAAGAAGAAAAACTTCCTTTTAATGACAAATAATAAAATAAAGCATTTCACTAGAAAGAATAAATTATACATAACTTAATTGAAATTTTCGTCACAAAAGCAGCACAAGTTTTATTGAAGTAAACTAATTCCATAAAGAAAGAAATTAAAAAAAATAAATAATGCATAGGCTCATGGATATTTCCTGCAAACTTTTTGTAAATTGTCTACAAACCCTGAATATTTCCTTAAAATATCAAAAATATCAAGGAAATTGACTGATTTCGGAAAATATCGCTGATATGGGCTCCTCTTTCCATATCATTCCCTGAATTTTTGGATATTTCTGTGGAAATATCGAACATATCCAGGATATTTCAAACACTAGTTAGGAGAGAGAAGAATAAATGAAGACTGAACCCTCATCAGAATGTATAGATAATTGATTTTTGTCACTGTGATTGTTATGTAGTGTAAAGCAATTTATTTGAGGAAAGATAATGAAATGTAGTGAAAAAAATGATAATGCTAAAGAGACCAAATTTTAAATTAAATTTACAAATTAAAAAATATGTTACGATTAAGAAATAAGCACGTTAATCAACATTTTCAATTACCAACGTCCACATCATTTAAATTATAAAATCTAATTTAAAATTTTGATAGGAAAAAAAATATTATTGAACGGGGACAACCGACAGCCCACGTTTATCTCTGAGAGTATACTGTGTGCACTCTCATCACAGTCCCACTCCCACTGCAGCTACCACTTTGGGATTTCTTTTATAATTCTCTGCGCTCAATCAATGTATGGCTCAGTTTCTAAACAAGTAGACACCACAATGGCACTAGTAGTGGTAGTGGTATCCTTTCAGCCTTGGGGTTGGGGTTAGGGAAGGATCCTTTTGGGCGGTTAGGGTTAGTATGTACGCACAGGACACAACCAAACTCATGCGTCATGTCCATGATGTCCTTTATATCATTTTTTAGTGAGACAGATTTTACTATCATCCTGTTTCGCATTATGTAATTCTATTCTGCGACATGCTTAAACAATTTTCACCCCAGGCACTGTTCCTTTGGGAGGAAAGTTTTGGATAAAATGACAAATTTACTGACAGTTGTAGCCGCCCTCGCCGAGTGCATTCCATCATCGAGTTCGGACCTAGCTTTAGCTCTAGATTCTGACTGTGTTGGGTGTTAACGAGGGGATGCACGCATTCACGTGGTTCTCTACTGTTACCCGTTCTCGTTAAAATCTTAAAAATAAAATTTTTACACAATAATATAAGAAAAATAGATAAATAATTGTATACAATCAGACACTACAAAAGTATTCATTTCGATCTGGGGAATAGCTTGCATGGCTTAAAAAACAAGGGATGCACACAAAACAATTTAGAAAAAGTACATGAACAATCGGCCATGAAAGGTAACATAACTTTCATACAAGTGTTCCTAATTTGATGTGCTAATTAGGGTCATGAGTGGCATAGAGTGCTTATGGAAACCAGACGGGCATCTGTGCATTTTTTTAGCTAGTCCTGTTTGCCATCATCATACTGTATACATATCTAAGCCTTTGAGAGACTGGATATTGCGATCTTTTACCACTACATACACTCATTGATCAATGGGAAAGTGCGCAAGAATCAAATCAAATGCTAAGGGACAGGACCAGTCCTGCATTATCATAGCCACCACCAAAGACCAGATGGTCTCAATTTAGTGTCATGGCCAACTAGCAATCAAACCATAACGGGACTGTTAGAATCGCTTCCATTAGATACACGTTGGAAATTTTGTAAGAAATACTGTGTTTCACATAAACGCACTTCTACGTTTTTTATGTCAAATGGTGTTATATATGAACGTGTTTTTGGTTTCCTAATAACACTTTTAATCCTTTCAAAATTGTTTTTGGTAGAAGTGTTTAAAATTTCAACATGTTTACAGCAAAACACATGGAAATGTTGCACCTAGTTGGTGTTTCTTCATAAAATGCTTCTACAACCCATAAACTCTTTACATTTTCTGCCGCACGTAATCAGAAGTGTTCTTAATTAGTTGTCAGAAAGAACTTTTAACCCTTTCAAAAGTAACCTCAAACATATCTTTAACCATTAAATCTAAATAACTCTCAGTTAGGCCTTACAGGTTACATATACAAGTTACAACAAGGAAATAGATGCTTTGTTAGTAAACAAGCTGAGGAAACCCTAGCCTTAATTTGGTCCAGATATTCTTCGAAGGCTCTATTGCTGGTAAACATGAAGGGGAAATATGTAATAAACTGAAAGCAGTCAGAAACTTCCAGTGCCCAAGAAGCCAAAAAAATAACCAAATGATGCAAATTATAGGAGTCAACACCTCAGCCAATGATCCATGATGCAAAAACAAATAAATGGTTTTGCCAAATTGTGGTCCCAAAAGGCAGAAGTTGAAGCTATTTGAGTAGCAGAAGGAAAATGAACAAGTAAAATATTGAATTATTAACCAAATGCGTGAATGCATGAGCTGTTTTTGTATTACTTTTTTAGCACTATAAAGAAAGACATGAAGATTGCAGGGCTGACGATGGTACGACTTTGATTCCACAGCCATCGACTATGGGGAGCAGCAACAGCAGGCGAGGCTATGTCACTGGACCACAAACAGTTCTGGTTCCTGCTTTTTCTTGTTAGATTCATGTCACTCATAAAATATACACCACCTTATAAAGTTTATTGACTTGGAATGCAAAAGCTAATGGACCACTTAGGTTTCTTATATATTGCATTTCACGGCATGCAGCAACGTCATGCATAGTAATGCTTAGTAATGCTATTTCAGAAAAATACATGCATGGTAATGGTATGTTTAGATGAGGAATTTTCAAACAATGAGTTATTTGGACTCAAATAGTTATAAACGAGGCCTACAAATGATATTGGTCATTCAGATTCTTGTTTTGCGCATTTACTAAAAGTGTGGTGTCATTTATACACCTCTTTCAATTTTCAACAGTCAAAACGAAGGAATTGAAAATGATCAAATGACAAAAATTAATAGAGTGTGTGAAAAGTAAAATGAGGTATACAGAATCACCCTTGCTCAAAACATGAGTATTCTAGTTAGTCTAATTTCTAACTCTCATGTTTGCTAACATATGAAACAAAAACAAAAACAAAAAAAAAGCGAATTTTTGTTTTAAATTCGTAATCCAATGCATGAAAAATTAAGAATCAGATCAGCTGGGAGGGATGGATGGTTAATCTCATCCTCATTCCTTCTTTCGTGGATTCATGACTTCACACACTGTATGAAAACATACGGCCATTTAGTACTACGGTCTGGTGGTATTCCTTTTCACTTGTAAGTGAGAGGTTTTAGATTCAATTCTTGGTAAGGGCATAGTTGAACCATATTATTATAGCAAATCCGTTATAAAACTTAGCTCACTCCTTAATGTAATAATATCGTTCGTTAAAAATAATAAAAAAAGTGTGTAAACATACCAAAGGATTAGCAAATTACTTCTTATTTATGTCAGCTAAAGGTTATGTAGTGTATTTCAAATCCAACAATTTTTTCGTTTTTCATTTTTATCAAGCATTTTTTTTATTAGTTTCTAACTAATTTGTACTTGATCTTTTGTTAGATGTGAATCTCGTCCAAAATAGGGCAAATTCCTCACCTGTTCATCACTTCATCTTTTGCATAAAAGCCCTAATCGATTTCTCTTTTAAGGATGGCAAAACCAGTTATCGGAGTCGAGTGTGACCAAAATACAGTATCGGTGAGGATTTGTGTCTGCGGTCAAACAGAGATGCGCGAAAAGATCTTGTAAATATTAGCGAAGAGGGTGAAAAGATGTATCTATACAAAGGAGAAAACATATGAAAAGAGGACCCCAAAGTAACCAGAGGCCACCATTTTGTAGCTGAGAAATGGCATGGCAGCTTAATAATCATGTCATCTACTGTTTTTCATCATCCACAGGGATCATGGATGACCTCATGCTTGCAGCATATTGACGTCATGTATCTCGTCTCATACCTTCCATCTGGTTACCTGGAGGCAACCTGATGACGATACAATGCTGTTGGACATACATTCATTTTTGCCTATATAACAAAACAAAACCGAGACACTCAAGAACGCTGCTCATATAGCTAACGCTCCAGAAGGAGAACACTCGGAGTTCAGAACAACTGGAAAATTAAACTCGTTGATCCGTCTCCATATGTTCGCAAATCCGCAGGTTTTACTAGTGCCCTGCATAGAGGGCAAGTTCTTTCTCTCTCAAACCTGAAAGGGTTAAGTACTTGTCAGTTAGTCGAAAGAGTAAAGTGACGAACATAAACAAAGCACTACTACATTGTAAAATGGTTGAAAAATAAAAAAATAAAGCTGCAGCCGGTAGGGACCTAGTAGAATTCTTGTTCAATTACGCAGCAACAACGTCCAAAAAATGTGCCATGCAGTTGATCCAACTAGCAAATAGATGGGTCCCAAACTTGGCACAAAGCAAAATTGCCGGAGGCAGAATTTCGTCCAAAGGCCACGACGCTCTTAAAGAGACTTACATTATGGCATTTTAGATCGAATCCTTCGTATTTTAGAACTTATGAGGCTCATCATTAATCCTCATGAACATCATGCAACGAGCATTACCAGGCAAACCATAAGAAACTCATATTCCAATGTCTTAACTATAATATCGTGACGATTCTAAAACTCAATGAGAAATATAAGGCAAATACACTAACCATTCAGAGACACAATCCTCGCAGAAAATATGTTTACAGCGCAATAGAATTGGAGCATGCATCTTCTCCTGGCAAATGGCACAAAGGTCTCCTGCTGCATTTACCTGATTAAATATACGCGTGAGCTAGAATGCATAGGTACTTCAGCAGAAACACAATAACAGTATTCACTATGTAAAATTAAACATGCTTTGGTGCGCACAGAAGCAAGGGAGGTAGACGTGGACATATATTGATAACAAAGCTTTAAAGCTGCACCCAGAAGGATCTAAATCGATTTTATGGTTTTAACAGAAAGGAATCCTCTAAGCAATCTGAGGTATTTCTCCGCATCCTTGCGGCCTATGAAAAAAAAGCACTACCAGACTTGAAACCAAGGCAACTTGGAAGAAAACCATTAGGTGTCTCCTAGGGGATGAGGACAATTACATTTTGCACCCCTCATCCAAAACAACATACTCGTATTAACTGTGCAAACACAAAATTGCTAAATACTTCATTACCCACAAAAATCAAGAATAAAACATCCACCTTTCAAAATGACAAATGTTAAGCTCAAATTGACCATTTAATAGATATGCTTATATGCGCATGCATAGAATATCATCATTGTTTGTTAGATGAACTCTTAACATGAAAAGAGACATCAAATTTCTGATTTGAGCAAGGAAGAAGCCTCAAAGTTGTTCCAGAAAACAAGTTCATCAACAAAACTTAAGGATAAGGAACACCAGGATGAGGTTATAATTTATATTTTCGAAATATTAATGTAGCTAACTATCTTTTAATTTGGTGACAGGACAAGAAAACCCGAGAGTAGTAGGTTAAAGATTAACATTAAACAAGGATAAATTAAGGAAGGGTAGAGCCAGTTTTTACTTGGGTAATAGAGGATAATAACTCGAGGCAATAACAGAGAGAGAAAAAACTGATCTCTACAAGAAAAAAAAAAAAAAAAAAAAAACTTGATCTCAACCCTGTTGATCGAGCTTCCAGAATCCAAATAAATCAAATAATTCAGTTCGATGTCATACCTGTTCCAATGTTGCATGAGACCCATAATGGATATCCTTCCGTGACAATGCCCTTATGGAAGCCAAAAAGGATTGGACCTAAAAAGCAATAAAATAAAAATAAAACTAATGGATTCAATTCAAGCGTCACAACTTATACCATTATCTTCCAGTAAAACAGCTTACTATATATTTGACTTACCTTCTCAACAACAGATGTTAGCTTGAAAGTTAAATATAATCCCGTTGTGAGTGAGGAGAAGAGGCTCCCATTGTCTTTGTTCAGGAAGAATCTGTACCAAACGGGTGCTGGTAACAAGGCACGGTACAGCAGCAGTGTATACTCAATGACAGTTAACATTTGACCCTTCAAAATGAGATAACAGCGTTCAGAGAGATCTTCCAAATTATGAGATATGGAGATGATATGCTTATGGAAATTTATAGTGCTCGGATCATATACCTGCCGACGATAGTTATGGCCTCTGCCATTCTTGTAGTATATAAGCAACAAACACTTGAAAGCCATCGCTGCCTGTCTCACCATGGTATCTGAAAGCAACAGAAATTAGCGAAACTCTCCCACAATTTCAAAGGAAGATAAGTATCCACTATAATTGCAGTGGCATAGCAAATAAACAGGCAACATTAAAAGGACAGAGGACAGAAGCATGAATTGTATATAGCACCAGAAAAAGAGACTGCTCAACCCTACATTAACAGATAGGCGCTAAGTTGACAAATAGAGAGACAATATGCTTAACAGAGCCTGAACCAGTCGGACAGACTTGAAAAATAAATTGAGGATTCAAACGCAAAACTTAAAACCTATTGTCATTCTATCCCCAACATCCACCGCATCCTTTTCCGATGGTTGCAACAGATCAGCAGTCTTCTCTATATCTAATGTATTAGTAAAACAATTGTATTCATAAAACAATAATAATAGCAAAAAAGACTGTCTCCTTACCATTTACCAAAATGATGAATATGGCATGCCAGAAAGGTGGTATGGTTTTTGGAGGAAGCATTGCCAATGGGTATAGAAGATCATCACTTCGATACCACCAGTAAACAACAACTACATGAAGCATAAAAGCACCAGCAATACTTACAAGAACAGAGATTTTCCTATCTCCCTGCAAAAACCAATAATTGTTTGAGATATTTGATTTGGCATTTGAGCAGATTTTAGAGTGGAAGAATGAACAAAATAATCTCAAGGAATTAACGACCGTATTAAATCACCTTTAGAGAAGTCTGCTTCTTAACAACATCATTTGACCTATACATGACAGCTGATACCCATATAGTGACAAAGAAACCTGCAAGTTCTCAACCCAAAAACAAATGAATACAGCACTGCAGTGAAAAAAATTTGCAAGATAAGTACGTCAAAACCAATTAGGTGAAAAAGTGATCGCCAGTCATCCACATATACATTGCCATAGAAGGTTTAATCATTCTATTTATGAGAAAGGATATTTTTTTAAGCACCAGAAAAGCTTAATATTCAGACTGAAGTATTGTTAGGACTGAAAAGTAATAAGTATGTGCCTGGTGAAAGAAAACTCGTTCTCAAGTTTGAAGTGTTCATGTGCGATGTTACAGCCGCTCACATTGGTATCTCTATGATAGTTGATGATAAGAACAAGGCACTGAATTTTCTAAAGCTAGCATTTCTATTTTGTGCCACCGACTATTAGAAACAGCTTCTGCATCTTTAACATCAACCGTTAACATTAGCAAAGAACATGGATGAGACTCAACTCCAAATGGGCCAAGAAAATCCTAGCTCCATCCAAATTGAAAAACAAAGAAGTACTAGAGAAGTAAAGCACAGGCCCTCTAAAGTAACATAAACAGAACCAAAAAGACTAGTGCCCCGCAATAGCTCCACACTTACAAAGCAAAGGCTGAATTTTCGGGTACCCATTAGGTTAATTCAAACTTAAAACTAAAGCCAAAATCCAAGCAAAATTATAGCTGGTTGCAAATTAAGAACAATTATAATAACCCACAATCTGCACTTAGAATTTGAAGTAAGCAAGTGGTGAAAGTTAGTACCTTGCAAATGCTGACGAATGAACACAACGAGTAAGAGCAACGAAAACGGAAGAATCTGCTCAATCCACCTAGCTATCTGCTGAATATCATATCTCTGGTAAGCAGAATCCCTAGAACTATCCTCCGCGCCATTCCCAGTATCCCCAGCGTGTGTGGGAGACGACGAAGCCACCAAGGGGACTCTCTCGTCCGACCCAACCCCATTGACTGTACCCGCCAGATCATCCAACGATTGAACCCTACCCGGCGACCCATCATTCTCCTCCCCTTGAACCGGCACCGTCGCACCCCCGTTCCCGCGGTCCTCTTGCTCGCCGGCGCCGATAATCCGAATCGAAACCTCCCCGGTGTTGCTCGACCCGGAGGTGCAGGCCGTAGGGGAGTGGGGCTGAGAATCGGCAACGACTACAGCGTTGACCACCGGAGCGTCGGAATCGCGGCGGGAAGAGCTGGGAGAGAGTATTCCGGAGTAATCCAACACGAATGAGAGCGGCGACTGGAAGAACCGGAGGGCGGGGAACTGCATAGACCCGAACGACGACGTATTGCTGCCAACCCCAGTGGCTCCCCCAGTGGCGGGACTACCATTTCCGGAAGATGCCTCCATGAAAACCAAAAACCCTAATTTTTTTTTTTTTTTCTTTGGGGTTTCAGAAAGAACCGACCTTTTGTAGGGTTTTGTGCCGACGAAACAACGACGGATTCAGAGACGGCGGACCGTTGAAAAAGAAAAAGTCAAAAAACGACAGACCACACTGAAGAAAACGGAGCCGCCCTATTTACTGAGGTAGCTGGAACCGAAAATTCCAAGCTTGAACCACAAATTGGGGATCAAAGCTTCCGTTTTCTTGTTCGAGTAAGATGAACGATAAGCTACGCGTCGTCGGCTTCCTCTGGCCCCCTTTCTTTTTCTTTCTTTTCTCTTGATTTTATTTATTTATTTATTCATCGTCTTTGCATTGGCCATTGTCATTGCCTGTCAGCTGGAACGTGTTGACTCAGTTACACCTTTGGAGCGTTTGTTGCGCTGGTCTATCTTGGACTGGATTAGCTTCAATGACTAAGCTGGATTGGCTTAGACTAGACTAAACTGAACTAACTTAGTGAAGCGTTTGTTGCAGTATTGGACTAAGAAGCTGGATAATAACAAATTATAATATTATATTATTTAATATATAAATTATTAATATTTTATTATGATCTTATCTTTTTCTTCATTTTTTCCTACCATTTTCGTCCCACTCTTTTCCTCTTCTCTCATCGTCCCACCCTCTCCCTCTTTTTGTCCTCTTAGACCTCTCAATTCATGTCTCTTTCTCATTCCTGGTCAAACTCCTTATTGATTCCAGTCTCTATTTCTCTGTCCTCCCTCCCTCTCTAGCTATGCGTTGTTCGAATGGGACCTCACGGCTCCAATTTTCCCTACGAGTTGCAGGTTTCCCGATGTGTTTTCCGGCCAACCCTCGTTAAATTGGATGAAGTTAGCACCGCCAAAAAATTCATCACCATCCTTGGACCGAGATCTTAGCTTTGAATGCTCGAATCTGTCATGGATTTGAAGAAGCCCAAACAGGCCGAGACTTCCAGGCCATTTTCCAGCCACATTCAACCACATTTTGGCCTCGATTCAGGTAAAATCGTAATCTTGTCACTCCCAGCTTCAATTTGGTATATTTTGTATGAAAGTTGGTTGTGAAATGGATCTGAAAGAGAGTCGGAAAGTTAATGATTGATCTAGGTGACCGTGGATGACGAGGAGTCTGTCGAGAATGGTCGTTGAGCATGACGAGGACGAGAAAGAGAGGATAGTCTTAGCTAGTCCCATAGTTATTGGGGGGTCTCACTAAGACCTCTTAGTGAAGGGTTTTGTCCATGCCAGTCCCCTTTAGTCTCATTAATGTTAGTCCCAGCATAGAACAAACACAGTATTAGACTAATAGCTAGTCCAGTCCAGTCCAGTCCAACTTAGTGAGGGCAAACAAACGCCCCCTTAATTTGGTATCGAATTTGCCATTTACGAGATTCGAACTTAAGATCTCTCACTTTTTAATGAATAGATTTCATAGGATTTGATAGGATTTGTATACGGATTTTTAAATATTTGCATGGGCTTTGTTTATAGATTTTGATGGATTTTCATAGACATTCTCTAATTTACCTAATTAATTTTGTTGAATTATCTATACAAGAATTTTAATCCTAACCGAGTAGCCGTTCAAAATAATCTAACGGCTCATATTGTGCTGCATCCCATTTCTTCGTTCAATGACTTATGTCTTCCACAACTTGTGTACTTCCCACAGCCATGGACTACTTCTATTGATTTCTAATCACAAAGACCAAAGTAAAAAGTTATGCTAATCTGAGGGACCATTTTAGCTAAAAAAAACATTTACTTTTTTATGCACTTTTTCTTGAATGTCGGGAGTTCGAGAATCCAAGAAAAAGATGAATATGAAGTTCTTGAATGCCTGAAGTTAGTGGGATGCTTGTTTGATAGAAAGAATCTTCATCAAATTCATTAGAATCCACCAAAATCCATAACTTAATGAAATCCTACAAAATATTTAAGTTTTTTAATACACATGAAATTTGCATGGACTTTAAAATGTCAATTAAAATCCTAATGGACTACACATGAATTTGAATAGATTTTAAAATGTCATTAAAATCCTCATTGACTACTCTATAATTTTAGGGTCTTTTAAAATAATTCAAGATGCTAATTTGACTATCACCTCTAAGCTTAACAGCATCTCCAAAGGAGAAGTAAAAATGTCCACATCAGCAATAATAGTAAAAAAAGACAGCTTCAATGTTTTTCAACTGAAATGTCAATTTCTACGCGTCGTGGGCTTCCTCTTTCCCCTTTCTTTTTTTTTTCCCTCTTGCTTTTATTTTATCTATTTATTTATTTATCGTCTTTGCATTGGCCATTTTTATTGGCTGTTAGCAGTAACGTGTTGACTTTGGTACAACTTTAGAGTGGTACTAGTATGGTCGAACTTACCGAACCAATTAGTTTAAAAATGATTGATCGGTTCATCAGATTGGTTGGTTTGGTTTGATTTGATTTTGATAAGATGTGGAGTAAGTATGGAACCAAACCGAACCAATATCAAAAAGTGCATTTTGAACCAATATCAGAAATGTGAATTTTGAAGTTTGCTTGCTTGTTAAATTTTAGGATGGTTTGCTAAATAAAGGGTATAGTCAACTTAGGATTTTTGAGGTTTTAAAAGACTTTAAATGAATAGATTTCATAGGGTTTGAAGAATTTTAAGGATTTGTATATGGATTTTCAAGGATTTGTATGGACTTTGTTTCTAGAATTTGATGGATTTTCAAAGACATTCTCTCATTTATCCAGATAAATTTTGTTTTGAATTATCCATACAAGAATTTTAATCTTAACTGTTCAAAATAATCTAAAGGATAATGTCATGCTGCATCCCATTTCACCCATCTCTTAGTTCAATGATTTATCTCTTCCACGGCTTGTGTACTTCCCACAGCCAGGGTCCACTTTTTTTTATTTCAAATCACAGGAACCAAAATGAAGAATTACGTTAATTTCTCATGAACCATTTTGGCTAAAAAAGCCAACTACTTATTCATGCACTTTTTCTTGAATGTTTGGAGTTCAAGAATCCAAGAAAAAAAGATGAATTTGAAGTTCTTGAATGCTTGAAGTGGGATGCTTGTTTGATAGAGATAATCTTCATCAAATCCACTAGAATCCACCAAAATCCATAACTTAATAAAATCCCACAAGTTTTTTTTTATACACATGGTTTTGCATGGACTTTAAAAAGCCAATTAAAATCTTAATTGACTACACATGAATTTGAATGGATTTTAAAAATGTCAATTAAAATCCTCATTGACTAATCTATAATTTTAGGGTCTTTTAAAATAGTTCAAAATCCTAATTTGATCACCACCCCTAAGCTTGACAGCATCTCTAAATGAGGAGTCAAAAAGTCCACATCATCAATAACAATAAAAAAAAACACAACTTTAGTGTTATCCAACCAAAATGCCAACTTCTATGTGGCATGACGTGGATTATCATCAAAGGTTGTTGATTTAAATTTGACAACAACTTCAATCTATTTTTAGTAATTAATAAATATTTTTTTACCATTTTTATTGTTATTTTTTATTCTAAAAATCATCTCCAACTCTTGGGTTAAAGCTTAAAATTTTTAACCTAGAAAATTTATTTTAACCAATAAATAGATTTTTTGCTCCAACCATTATGAGTTAAATTTTAGAACAAGATTGTAAAAGAATGAATTTAGGCTAATTTGTTTAAAGTAACCTTAAAAAAAAAATTATGTAGACTATCCTAATTTAATTTTATGAACATTTTAACCTAAAAATAATAGATTCCGATAAATATTGAAAAATCACTAAACCGACACCATGAAACTCATGGAACACTATGAAATATTTTTTTTTAATTATGTTAGCCATTAGATTTAAATTTGGGCAGCGAGATCTTTTTTTTTTTATCTTTAAATTTGATCATATTAAATCTCAACCGTTGGATTCAACAAATTTATAAATATAAAACTTTAAAAAAAAAAAAAGTGAACCTAAATCGTTGGATCATAAAACAGTACAATGATCCAGTATCATCAGATGAAAGAAAGAGTCATTGAGCTCATTATTGTGGCCTAAGATGGCCTAAGAAAAAAAACCCCCAAATCAACTTGTCCAAAATTTTTTTGATTTGGTTCGATTTCTTCGGTCATTTTTCAGAACTAAACCGTGCAATTTTATTATAATTGGTATGTTCTTAATTTTAGAGTAAAACGAACTCAATCCAAATTTCGAGTTTGAACGATGCAGTCCACCAACGACTCCATTTATTATTTCTCCTTTTCTGAATTGCTTTACGTAGGTGCCGTATGCTTTTATTTAATTTTCTTTAAAGGGGTCATTTTCGACAAAAGAAATTTCATAATTTGATTCGAATTATGAGTTTACTTGTTGGAGAAGAAAAGGCAACTTCACTTTGCAAGAGGGCCAACCTATAATTTATTAACAAATGAATTTGTAAGCCCTCTCATGTGGTAGGTTGGCCGATATTCAAACGAACCACTTTTAGTTGTCAAGCGTCCTCGCCAAAGAACATTGACATATGTTTCACACGCTGGCCCATCCATCAAGTAACAATCACAAAGATATTGGGTTCGTTTATAAGTGCTTTTAAAATGATTAAAAGCGTTTTTAGAAAAAATGTTTTGGATTTTAAAAGTACTCTAAGTATTTTCTGCAATAGGTAACAGTTATGTGCTTCTTCTAGAAAGCACTTTAAGCAATAATTTTTTTTTTTTAAAGAATTAACTTGCATTTTTACTAAAGATTGGTTCAATAAATATTTTCACTAAAAACGCTTTCAGTCATTTTAAAAACACTTTCAAACAAGCACAATGTCCTTACGTTACATATATAAGCTATGCAATCTCCATCCCCATTTCTGTTGCAAAGAAAAATCGAAAGCAAGATGACACGAACGAACCCTTCCAATTGCCCTTTCGTTGCCTTATATCCCGTAGAGCTTCAACGGCAGTTTTGCAACCGACCTTTTCCTGTAAAACAAGTACATTTTTCTGCCTAAGGAAGTTGTGGTAGATCGGCACGGATGAAAGGGTCTGTCTTCATCTCTTCCTCAATGGTTGAAGGAACCGTGGGGAGACCTGTTTCCCGTTGCTTCTGTCGCATCATAGCTTATGCTTTATCTTTGCATTGTGCGGTTCAACTTTAACTAGTAAATTTTTGTCAGAACTCATTGAACAGACTCGTAATACGACGTGTCTTATGCTTTCGTGAAAAGTAGCTTTCAAATGAGATGATCGAGCATCCCTGCGATTAATGTGGGAACTTCTTTGAATCTAAATGTCACATTGTCTAGTAATTATTTATATACAATCGGTATTCATTTGCATTTGTATGTGATAAAATTTTTCACTCATAGGTCATAAATAACGAATTTGATAGCGAAGTATTGTCGATTCATTTTGTGGCTTTCCTTGTAAAACCCAACTCCGGGTATCGTTTGGGTCGACCAGGACTAAAATGCTCTGGGCCTCTTTAATTGGGCCTTTGTGATGAAACCGTATAGGCCGGAGTAGGGATTCCGCGGGGTACCAAGTATAAAAAGCCCGCGACAGGGTTTGTGACGCGTGTTCTTCCCGGTAGCGTAAACAGGAGAGAATCTAAGAGATCGCCATGGGAAGGAGTGAGTTCTTCTCTCTTGATTTTATTTTATTTTTTTCTATAATTATTTCTTCATTCTTCGCACATCGATGTATTATACATGTACCTATCGAATTTTATATATAAAGATCCAATCGACTCTACCATTTTGTTAGTGCTGGATGGATTTTGTTGTCGATCAAACCTTATGTGTTTGCAATCGAAACGATTTTGGTAATATTTATCTGAATTTTGTGTTCTTAATCTGGTGAATTAAACGAACTTTACGTGGATGTCGGTTTTTGATACCGAAATGGATTATTTTGTACGTGATTAATTTTGTTAATACTGAGATTATTTGTTATTAAGATGCTGTATTTTCGGTTTGGTATGATTAATTTCTGTGTAGCATGTGGAATTGCTTGGTTGCGTTAGAAGATCGTGTTTAGATTGGATATTTGAATACAGTTTTTTTTGCTATAATCATGTTTTTGTAATAATTTGGTTCTGGTTTGTGATGTTTTAGGGCCTGCAAGGTGCTATAGGCAGATTAAGAACAAGCCATACCCGAAATCGCGGTTCTGTCGCGGTGTCCCTGATCCCAAGATCAGAATTTATGATGTTGGAATGAAGAAGAGGGGTGTTGATGAGTTCCCCTTCTGCGTCCATCTTGTGAGTTGGGAGAAGGAGAATGTCTCGAGCGAGGCGCTTGAGGCAGCTCGCATCGCCTGCAACAAGTACATGACGAAATCTGCTGGGAAGGATACTTTCCATTTGAGAGTGAGGGTGCATCCGTTCCATGTGCTGCGCATCAACAAGATGCTTTCATGCGCTGGGGCTGATAGGCTCCAGACCGGAATGAGAGGTGCGTTTGGCAAGCCACTGGGAACATGTGCTCGAGTTGCTATCGGGCAGGTCCTCTTGTCTGTTCGCTGCAGGGATAGCAACGGTCAACATGCACAGGAGGCCCTCCGCCGTGCAAAGTTCAAGTTTCCGGGCCGCCAAAAGATTATTGTCAGCAGAAAGTGGTATGCTTTTTGTTATTTTCTGCATTTCAAATTCAAGCATTGATGCAGTATAGGCGGGTTTTTATACATTTTAGCTTGGAAATCTATTGATTAAATTATGCGCCTGCAATGAAGCGAGAGAGTGTTTTTTCATTTGTTCAACGACAATAGTTTAAGTTGGCATAAATTTGTGTCGTCTTCTTTCACTATTTTGAAAAGGTGGAACCTCAAAGTAATGATTTATTGGAACGGAGAGTTGCAATTAGTTGTTAGGGACATTGTTTACGATATAATCCTTCATTTTTCATCGCCGATGTTTCTTGTTATCCTTTCTCTCAGGGGTTTCACCAAGTTCAGTCGTGCTGATTACGTGAAGTACAAGAACGAAGGCAGAATCCAGCCAGATGGTGTTAATGCTAAGGTAATACTTGTGCTAGTGTGTTGATACATTTTCATTATCTCATACATTCTGTTATTTGTTACACAAGTTACCAAAAGTTGAAATATGTACAGATACTGTCGTCTTCTCAGCATCCCGCGTAACTAATGAGTTCTAATATTTGATTGTGCAGCTTCTCGGCTGCCATGGTCCTCTGGCTAATCGTCCATCGGAAAGAGCTTTCCTTTCTGGACCCGCCTCGTCGACTGCTTGAAATATGATACTGCTTATATAGTAGCATTTATTTAGAACTCATGACGAGTCTATCTTTCTGGGGTTCGTCTAGTTCGAATAAAACGAATATGGTGAGTGGTATCTGCGATGTGTGAAGGCGTGTTAGACTTATCATAACTTGGGATCCAAGACTCTTCTCCTCTTGTGTACAATAGCCTAAACAGTTGTAATTGCTATATCTTGAGATCATTACCGTATATAGTTTGGTCAGAGAACCAAGCAATTGGTTTTCGTATCGGATTCGAATGCGATGTTTACTTGCTTGGAAGGAGTACATATGAAATAAAAAATTAAATTATGCGAGTTCACAATATGATCTTTAATCTAATACTTCAAAAACTAAATTGAAATTGATTAGAATATAATTGATAAGTGGTGAAGTTGCATATGCATTTTATTTCGGACTTCTTTGATTCATAACCGACGAGCATGTAGGTTTTATAGAAATCGACAATAGACCTAATGTTTTTGGTAAGCAAAAGTTTGGGGAGAGATATTCAAGGATTCCCTCATGACAATTAATTGTCAAATGTTATCGGTACATATTAATGAGAACTGCTAGCAATGAGATTCGAATTTTAATGGGCCGACACACAAAGCAAGAACCTTACCAACTGAGTCAACCCTTGTTGCCGACAATAAACCAATTATTTAAGTTCAAAATAAGCAGAAATTTTACATTATCACGATGTATTCAGTAAAACGTAAAAATAAACAGGTGAGATTTATAAAAAACCTTCATCACTGCTTCAGCTTCTCACACTATTGGCCAAGAGTTTGACCGAACTCCCAACTGAGCTCTAGTCCATCTGCACTTTTGCAGGGTTTTTCATTCCCATTGAAACAACGGTTATCTACCAGAATCCATGGCGACTTCCCAAAAATGTCTTCACTGAAGAGAGCATAGAAAATTACCAATTTTTAATGGTGGAAAATGCGGGCAGGTGAAAAAAGCCGTTAAATTTCGCAAATCGAAAGCCGAGTGAAGTCTGTGTGTTTGTTTAAGCTGATTTCAAATCCCTAATCGAACCCCAAATCACACAAACCCACAAAATTCAAATGTCAAAACCCTCGTCTCGGATCTTCCAAGGCCTGCTAAGATTTCACCGCAGCCAAATCTCAAAACCCTCATCTCCGTCTCCGCCTCCGTTGTCCTCCGCCAGGAGGAGCTACCACTCCAGCAATGGGCCTCCTCCCCAATTTCCCTCTCACCCGAAAACAGTCCCCGGAGGTGGGGTTGGCAGATACTCCGGGCCGGGTGTGGGCCTGGGCATGAGGTTTTTCTCTTTCAAGCCGTCGAATTTCAGCAAAATCGATGCTAAGAAGGTGTTTGATAAGCCGCTCTCCGCGGCGTCATCGGCTTTCTCGCGGTACCAGGAGGCCATTGGGTTGCAGATTGAGGCGTTCTGGAAGAGGAACAATCTGGTGCTGTTGGGAATTGGGGGACTGCTGGTGTGTGCTTTGCTATGGAGGATGATGTTTGGGATTGCTAGCACCTTCATTGGACTCTCTGAAGGCATGGCCAAGTATGGCTTCCTCGCCCTTTCTACCGCCATTGTCGCCTTCGCTGTAAGTTCCTCTGAATCTTTAGCTGATCTTGCAATGACATAGAAGTAGCTGAGAATGCACAAACTGCTAGTCAATCTAATGATTTAGAATTATAAGTTTATAAGCTCTATTGGGGGATGTATAATGATCGAATTCAGATTGCCTTCTGGTGGGTTCATTTTATACTGTTTTCGGGAATCTATGTATGATCGAAAGTTGAAGTCTTTACTTATAGGATAGTAGGAACTAAAATCTTGATATCTAATTATGCAGTGTATCTGAATTTCATGTTAGTGGACAATCTTGCTTTTGGTTATAGACTACTACCTGAGAGTTATGTGTTCTATTGGTACTTTTAGGGCCTTTACATCCGCTCGAGGTTCACAATCAATCCTGATAAAGTTTATCGAATCGCAATGAGGAAGCTTAATACATCTGCTGGGATTCTCGAGGTTATGGGTGCTCCTCTCTCTGGATCAGAGCTAAGAGCTTACGTAATGTCCGGAGGTGGAGTTACTCTGAAGAAGTTCAAGCCAACTTTTAGGAGCAAGCGGTGCTTCCTCATTTTCCCTGTGCGAGGTTCTGAGAGGAAGGGCCTGGTTAATGTTGAAGTAAAGAAGAAAAAAGGCCAGGTTTGTGTTCGTGCTATATGCTATGCTGGATGCTTCTAAATTTTTCTTTTCATAAGCACGTGTTTTTATTTCAATATCTTCCTTGATCTCCTTGTGTGTACCAAATGGAAGTTGAAACTAAACTAATTGCATGCCATGGTTGATAGTGTGGAAAATGTACATTGCAAATATGTTATTTTCTGTACCTACTATTGTGATGCTTTAGGTAAAATGTTTCCTCGTTAAACAACACTGAGTGCCTTTCAAACGGAGCAGATTGAGTGCAAGGTCTGGGACATGACTAATCAAATTATGCTATACATTAGTTAGTATGTGGGGTGTTGAAAACCCGTATATTTAGGATCTTATGACTTGGAAGGGTACTTGGATGGCCAAGTTTTCCTCATTCAAGGGTGTTGTCTTCTTATGCAGTATGACATGAAGCTACTGGCAGTTGACATTCCCATGGCATCAGGACCTGACCAGCGCTTGTTCCTGATTGGCGATGAAGAAGAGTACAAAGTCGGTGGCGGACTAATAGCTGAACTTAGGGATCCGGTTGTGAGAGCAATGGCTGCAACCGAGGAGTTCGATAATCTTGATCAGATTGAAGAAGAGGAGGATGCTGAAAAAGCACTTGAGGAGGCAGAAAAAAAGCATCGCGAAGAAATTGAAAAGCTTGAAAAGAGCGGGTCACAGTGATTGTTTCTCTAGTTTTTGTTCAAGTCCCTTCCATTCTCTTCTGTTTTGTTTTGATACAGGAGTTTGTAAATAACGCGCAAGTCTTCGGCCATCAGCTCAGATTGTTGGTGTAGGTTACCCTTGCATTGTTTTGCAGAGTTGAGTTTTACTGGTTTAGTTTACGTTTGTACCGCAAACAGCCAACTTTGGAAATTTCAGAGTTATGATGGCCCCAACGAGGGAAATAAAAATGACAGACTAACAGCTGAAGCAAAAAGCATGGCTTTGATTATTTGTTTCTCTGATTTGTAATGTTTCAAAACTTTGTGATCATCTCCGTTGTGTAATTCTCCAGCATTTTCGATTCGAGCTTTTGCTCAGTCATCAAATATAATTGATTAGATTATTCCTTTGAAGTTATCGTTACTTCCATTTGTGAAGGAGTTACGTTTTATGTAAGTTGCTCTCTCTGTTGGTATTTTCTGCCTGCAAAGAATTTCCTAAAGCTGTTGGGAGAGGCCATGAAGCACTTTTAATTTTTTTCATAAAATCAAAAAGGTTTTTGAACCGGCCCATGATCTTATAAAGTCCAATCTTAAATCTGCTGCTGTCATCAAAGCTCCTATAGTGTTAAACCTTAATACAAGAAGCTGCAAAGACTAATATACGATTAAAGGTAGAAATATCGCTTGTATTAAAAAAAAAAAAAAAAAAAGGCATCTTCTAACATTTCGAGTTGAGAATTTTCATCACATTTTTTCATTCAGGATTTTATGTCCTCATCGGTTCTTCCCCGCGTTCCTTTTATCTTGTTTTTTTACATGAAATCCACACTTTGACACCTAAGATTATTCTAAAGTTGGAGAAAATTTTCATCTTGGACTTTTAGACCACATGACCGTAAAACTAAGGTTCTAAAGTTTAGAATAAGAACATCGCTTGTATTTACAAAAAATTATTCTAAAGTCGGAGAAAAACTTCAGGCTTCCGGACAAGAAGCTCCATCCGCCGGAACACAAAAAATATCCCTCCCCTCCTTATTCTGCCCGTTGTCCGTATCCTTGGTATCTATTGCCGTAGTGCGGCAACCCTACTGAATACTCCCTCCAAAGCAAGCCTGCAACTGCAAGTAAAATAACTGTCCCGCGACGTGAGCCTGTCCATCGCACGGGAGCGGTGAAAAGGCTCCTGTAATTTGGATGGAGCATATCATTTGTTGAAACGACAGCCTAACACCACCATACTATACGTCGCAGAGAAGGACATGGAACATCCTACGGGAAGGACAACAGCCAACTACTCGTATATTAAGGTTAGTCTTGTACACTGAGATCGATTTCAGTTTCACATCCCTTTCCTCGTCTTCAGTATGCTATGTTTCTCTTCACTCGTAAGTTGGACATATGAGGTTTAGGCTTTTAGCTTACTTGAATGACGAGTTCGATACTTGATTATGAATGACGTGTTTGATATCTCAGTTCTACTCGTAGAACTCCTAGTGAAGTTGGTGGGAATTACCTACTATACGAAGAGACAACTTACCATGGTATGGTTTCTGTTAAGGGGCCATGTTTTCCATCAGAAAAGTTTCAGAAATTAACCTTTGATACTTTATCAAGGACCCTACTACCATGTGAGAGTTGAAGAATTTTCGTTGTTTATGTATTTGACATAATTAGTGTTTTGAATCTGCTGGTGCTGGGTTTGAAGTCAAAACAGGGGATAATTATAATTATCATGCGTGATAATTCATCATTGCAAGCCAGATCAACTTAACAAATTTCCCTTTAGTAATTACAAGGGCTAGGTTTTAAGAAAATTTGTTCTCTTTCTATCTGTAAGGCTTGTTTATAAGTATTTTTGAAATAGTTGAAAGCATTTTCATAAAATTAATGACGCTTCTTATACTGTTTAAATAAGTATTTACCGGATGCTCTTCGTAAAAACTTCAATTTTTAATGTAAATTTTGGCGTGTTTCTAATAGAAAAGCTTTTTGAAATGGTAACTGAAGGTGTGTGACCTGAAAAAGTTTTTGAAGGTTTTGTTTGTGGACAAGCCTTCTATAGGATAAGAGCTTGGTTTTTTTTTTTTTTTTTTTTTTTTTTTTTTGGGATAGATAAAGGCCTGAGTTTTGTATTTTAATCGCAACTGACCCTCCCATTTATTTATTCAATGTAAGAACTGTCATAATCAAACAATCATGTCGAAAGTTCTCTCCTTGCGCAATACGCGAGTTTTGTGCCAAAAATTGTGCAACAATCATTTGTCCCAACTCCTAACCAATGCTAAATAAAGTGACAAGTCAAGAGGCAGGACAATGAAATGAAAGCAGTTGCTCTCCGGTCCCTATCCACTCTACACTCTCCTCAGTCCTTAGAGTGAAGCATGCTTTCATGGTCATGGATGCTGCTCCCCAATGCACTATATTTATATTTATTATATATTAAATCAGCATTTAGCTTTTCTGGTTGAGAAATGTTCTGATTGCAATTTATATATGTAATTGCCAACGTAAATGTTGAAGAATAAATTGAACCCTTTATTTAAGTATTCCTACTCAAAATGCTTTGTTTCTAATTCATAGAATTTCATATTCACGATGAAAACTATTTGTATTATGAATCATTTTATAAATATCACTTTCTGCAAAAAATTGGTTAAAACTAAGATCGTTTAGTCATCGAACTCTATAATAATAAATAGATGAAAATGGTAAAAGCATTACGAACAGTTTATCTATTTACCGCTACAGTTGATTGACTAAACGATATTAGTTTTAATATCAATTTTTTTTTTTTGCATATATGATATTTACAAAGTGATTTATAATATGAACGGTTCCAATTATAAGCACGAATGTCTGTAAAAATCGGAGAGGAAAATTTTTGACAAACTTTCGTCATCCTTGAGTAACCAAACATTGTTTTTTTTATTTTTTATAATTATTTTCTTTTTAGTCCATACCTGACATTTTTACTTCATAACTCCTACAATCCAATCACCAATTCATTAAAAAAAAATTCCGTTTCTCTATCAATTATTGTATATTTATTATTATTTTCATTATACATTATAGGGAAATTTAAAAAAAAAATTATTCCCGTTGTATTCAAATTATAAATTCATTGTCTTGTTTTCAAATTATAAATTCATTGTCCTTTGGTTTTAGTCTCTCACCCTCTTTAACCTCTTTAACTTTGCTAATTTTCACACACCTTAACTTCCAAGTAGCACAGAAATCTGTGACAAATTGCTCAGATTTTCAGGTAGGTTTTTTCTGACCCTCATGGGATTAAATTTTAGAGATGACTTCTTCTTTTTCACAGTTCTATGGCACATCAGTGTATTTGTATATTTCTGGCATTTTTCTTTCATGAGTATACTTTTGTTTTGACAGATCTGTAGTAACACTTTGGGTTAAAATGCATGAATATTCATCGGAAGTCAAATTTGTTTGATACGAACTTTCTTTTCATGCTTCTACAATTGCGTATCCGTATTAGCCTGTGATCGACAATTAAGAAAAAAAATGACTCGTTACTTATATGGAAATTCATATTATATATTCATGTTCCAATGTGCTTACTTTTGATTATTCAAGCATGAAACCTGCAACAAAAGGCAATTCAAGGCTTGTTTAGAAGTGCTATTAAAATGACTGAAAGCGTTTTTGGTGAAATTTTTTTTGAAACAATCCTTGGTAAAAAATCAATTGGATCATAGAAAAAAGCACTTAAGTGTTTCTTACAAGAAACACATCTAGTGTTTCTTTCAAAAAGCACCTAAAGTGCTTTTGAAACTCAAAATCAATTTCACCAAAAGCAAATTTCAATAATTTTAAAAGAACTTCCAAATGAGCCATAAATCACGTAAAATTTTTGTATAATACCAAAGAAAACCTGTAACACACAAAAATACCTTGCTCTTGTACATAATATTGAACTTTTTTCTTTTTCTTTAGGAAGATTATCTTCTTCTTGGATTCTTTGTCCCCACTTTGCTTTATGTATTTGATTGCTTTTCCCACTTGTTTTTTAACTTTTAAGTACATAATTTTCTTTTAGGGAAAAAAGTGAGCTTTTATTTTGGTTACTAGTCTCTCTTTTTTTTGTTTGGCCTCTCATTATTTCTTTTTTCTTTTGGCTAAAGATAGTGTACTTTGCTTTTTCCCAATTACAAAAGTTGGTAGGGATGCATTTTCCCTTTTCCCTAATATTTTTGAAGAAATTTTAATTCATTTAAACCCATGATTAATCCATCTAATGACAAAGATTATTCTTCACAAACCCATTTTTTGGTTTTAATCTTGTATTTTCCTAGTGAGTAAAATCAGTACACACGCGGAGAATCCCTATTTGGTATCATTTTCTAAAGCAATAAGATAAACAAATTTGATGAATTTATTCTCTTCAATTAGGGTGATCAAGACAGGCTAACTAGAGTGTTTATTTGTCCCTAATGGAATCTGTCACAAGTTATGTGAACTTTGCATGCTGAGTGGGTTGTCTTTTGTCACCTTTTTGTTTGGGTTGTGTTTGATCCAAAGTTTGAAATCGCTAAGGCATAAAGGGAGGCGTTTTGTCAAGCACAGCACTTTTCAAACACAGTTATGATCGATCCTCTTGAATTTCCCCAAGTCATTCAGTGGTTCTTCGCCACTCTTTGCCTTCCTAAACCCGAAATGTAGTCGAATTTTTGCTGCTATCTGCATCCTATCTGCATGTTTCGCTAACTTTGTTTTCGGGGTTTTCTAATTGTACCATTTGCATTCTGAGCAGATAACCATGAAGCTTCAGGTCTTCGTTCGCGCGCTTATCTTCCTTTCCCTTGTTACGCCTTTCCCTTCCTCGGTTTTGTCTGACCTGAACTCAGATGGACAAGCCCTCCTCAACTTTGCTGGCACAGTTGTCCACACCCGAAAACTCAACTGGAATGCTTCCATACCAGTTTGCACCTCTTGGGTTGGAATCACTTGCAATTTAAACAAAACTGGAGTGACTGCTATCCATCTTCCGGGAATTGGACTTTTCGGTTCCATCCCTTCCAACAGTATAGGAAAGCTTCGTGCTCTTCGAGTACTCAGCCTCCACTCAAATTTCCTCTATGGAAGTCTTCCTTCTGATATCCCATCCATTCCTTCCTTGGAGTATCTTTACCTCCATCACAATAACTTCTCAGGGATGCTTCCTGCCTCTCTGCCCGCCAACCTCATTGTATTAGACTTCTCCTTCAACTCCTTTTCCGGTAACATTCCACCAAAAATCCAGAATCTTACACGCCTCACTACGTTGCGCCTCCAAAACAATCTCATCTCTGGAGCCATCCCGAATCTGAACCTCCCCGCGCTTAAGCTTTTGAATTTGAGCTTCAACAACTTGAATGGCTCAGTTCCATATTCCCTCGATAAATATTCCAACTCTTCATTTGTTGGGAATCCTCAGTTATGTGGGGCACCTCTCAACGACTGTTCTAAAAACACCTCCATGGACCCTTCTGCATCCCCTGCTTTCTTGCTACCCTCGCCAAACATCCCTAAAAATCACCATGCTACACCCATAAAAAAACTTAGCCCGGGCATCATTGTTGCGGTGGCAACTGGGGGCTCTGCAGTGTTGGTTCTCCTAGTCCTGGTGGTTGTCATATGCTGTTTGAAAAGGACTAACAAAGTAGGTGGCGGGATGCTGAAGGGGAAGGCCTCAGGAGATGGAAAGGGTGAGATGCCTAAAGATTTCGGGAGTGGAGTGCAAGAGGCAGAGAAGAACAAACTATTCTTCTTTGAAGGGTGCCATTACAATTTTGATCTCGAGGATTTGCTGAGGGCGTCAGCTGAAGTTCTTGGTAAAGGAAGTTTCGGGACGACTTACAGAGCTGTATTGGATGAGGAAACAACGGTTGTGGTGAAGCGGTTGAGGGAAGTTGTGGTGGGGAAGAGGGAGTTTGAGCAGCATATGGAGGTGGTGGAGAGGGTAGGGAAGCACCCGAATGTCCTGCCTCCTCGCGCTTATTATTTCTCCACGGAAGAGAAGCTTTTGGTGTACAACTACATGCCAGCAGGAAGCTTGTTTGCACGCTTGCATGGTAAGATACCTAATCTAAATCCTAATGTCTATTTATAGTTACTTTAATTTGTAACGTTCCTATGATTTTCCCTTTTTTTCAATGGATTTATAGGAAGCAGCGATGTTGGGAGATCTCCACTAGACTGGGATTCAAGAGTAAAAATTTCGCTCGGAATTGCCAAGGGACTTGCTCATATTCATTCCGTGGGTGCTAAATGCAGCCATGGCAACATAAAGTCCACAAACATTCTCCTCACCCAAGAACTCGAGGCTTGCATCTCGGACGTAGGGTTGAGTCCTCTAATGAGCTTCCCTCCAGCCATGTCCCGAGCCATTGGATATCGCGCTCCAGAGGCAGTTGACATGCGGAAAACCACTCACAAATCAGATGTTTACAGCTTTGGTGTGCTCCTCCTAGAAATGCTGACAGGCAAAGCCACGCTTGAATATCTGGGGCATGATTGCGTAGTTGATCTCCCGCGTTGGGTTAAGTCTGTTGTGCGCGAGGAGTGGACAGCTGAGGTTTTTGATTTGGAACTTCTAAAACACCACCACATTGAAGAAGAGATGGTGCAGGTGCTGCAGATTGCTCTGGCATGCGTAACAAAATTGCCCGAAACACGCCCCAACATGGATGAAGTAGTTAGAATGATAGAGGAACTCCGGCAATCCGACACGAAAACTAGGCCGTCCTCTGAGTCTGAATTTGATGTGCAAACCCCATGAAAAAACTTTAGTTCTTTTTTCTATTTAAGCAGTGTCATCTTGTTTTTGGAATGCAATTGGAAATTTGGAAATAATGTTCAATGTTATCGTGTTTTCAGCATCACAATCTCCAACATTAATTTAGAACTTGCATTGAACAAGATGGTATATCGGTTATAACTCCGTATGTCTCTAATCGGTCCGAGGTATTGACGGTGATTCTCAAATATTGCAGAACAGAATGTGATATGATGAGATAGAATCCAATAGAAACAAAGACATAAGGAACAGGTTTTCTTAATCATAAAAGTGATAATATTGAAGAGAGAAACCGAACACAGAATCTCGAGTGGAGGGTTCTAACTCGACCCCCTAAAAATGGTATAGTCATAGTTAGGTACGTAGAGTCAAACGATTAGACTTGAAATTACCTCCAAATAACATGACAACTAACGTAGTTGCTAACAACAAACGTAACAACTTATATTTTGCAAACAATTGGACGTACCAGGTTTGTTACACCATTGATCAATCACAGACAATCAATTTTTTTCTTCTCATGATATTTCAGTTCGGTTTTTTACAACTAACCACGTTGTCATATTGTTGTTATGTTTGATCCAAATAAATTGTCCAAATATCTGATTATTAATGTGTTAATTACACCTACTTATATCACAAAACAGCTTTGCTGCCGTTTTGTATAATTTTCCCATTTTTTCTTGAATCGACGTCCGCCAATTTATTTTTTCTTTCATAATCCCTTCCTTCCATCATCTTAATCTTGATTCCTGGGTTTTTTTATTTTTTTCATCATCCTCGGTCGCAGATTAGGCTTTAATCACCATGGAGATTAAAGCTTGTCTGAGGTAATTCATCTCATTAATCTAAAACCCTTCTCTTTGTTTACGTAATGTTGTTATTTAGAACAACACCATTATCAGGAAATGAATACAAGAAAATGAGGCAATTAATCGAGGAATTACGAACATGGTTCTTTTTCGGAGGATTTTTTCTTCGTGTCTATGCAAATTTAGCTAATGTCTCTGGATCAAATCAACACGATGGCCAGTCACAATTGCATATTTTGAATTTCTGACAAGGTTTTTACTTTTACTTTTGTAGATGTTTCTGGTAAATATATTCCCAGTTCATCTGTGCACACCCAATGGGAAGCTGCTGCTCTGTGGTAAGTTTCTTTATATGCACACAAGGATCATTTAAAACCATCCGAGATAATTGGCCTTTTTCCGCATTCCATCTGAGGAAATGCTTCGATTTCTTGCAGTGTACCGGATATAATGTCGATGAGGTTCATCAAGAGGGTCATCATCTTGCCGGTGGAAATGTGCACCTTATAAAGACCATGGACAGTTGGGAGGAAAAGTTGTCAGAAGCAATCAAGGATGGAAAGATCGTAAGTTTTTCTTGTTCTTAATTTTGTCATGAATTCACATAATATACCTTTTCTACGCCGTGATAAAAAAACTTCAAATTACTGAAATTAGCGTCGTTTATGAACAAATCTCTAATTAGTTCTTGAGCGAAAGGGAGAAATTTCAAACTAGTATTGTCACAAAAATAAAATTTTTGCTAACCTTCGTGAGCCGATGTTGCAAAAATCGGACTTGCAACAGATAATGTGTAACCCTAAAGCCAAATTTTCTCTCTCACGAGATCCTCTCTCTTGAACTGTCCAACAGGTTGTTGCAAATTTCAGTGCATCTTGGTGTAGGCCTTGTCTTGTAATTGCACCAGCCTACTGTGAGCTTGCAGATAAATATCCTTCTATCGTATTTCTAACCGTGGATGTTGACGTTCTCGCTGTAAGTGTGAATGATTTCTTATTTTATCGCATATTTTGCGTAGAACAAATGTATAGAAATGCAGCTGCCAATGAAATTTTCCTTCTCGTTTTTCCGGGGTTGCAGGAGTTGAGCACTTCATGGGATATAAAGGCCACTCCGACCTTCGTTTTTCTTAAAGATGGAAGACAAGTGGACAAACTCATCGGAGGAAACAAGCCGGAGCTCCAGAAGAAGACAGCAGCAGTCGTGGCTCAGTTAGCAACCAAGTCTCCTAGTTGACTCTATGGTGATGAATTTTTTCGTTTAGCTTTTCTTCGGGATATTCTCACGAAAATCAATCCGGCCTCAACATGTAAAACGATGTCCTACAAATTCGTTATCTTGATTCATTACATAGTTATATATTCATATCAGAAAATTTTTAGATCTTCTCTGTCAGGGGTACAACATAGATCAATGTCGTTTTGTTGCTTGCAGGACAAGGTTGTTGGAGCTGAAGGCAACTGAATGCTATTTTAGTAACCCTAAATAGACAAATCTTGACACGCATACTCCGACGCACAGAAACTCATAAAAGTTGATATTACATTCAATTTGGAATCGAATGAAAAAAATGATAAGACAATCGCAATCAGACAAAATTCAGCATTATTTGAGAGGAAATCTCTAAGAAAAGAAGAAGTTACATACATCTGAATACGTTTCTTGTATGTCAAGCTTTTCTCAAACTATGTATTGGTTCAGCCTTGGCAATTGTGTACCAGACAAGAAAGAACAGAAAGAGACAGAGAGTTACATAGAAAACTTGTCCCAGAGATTAGTGTCCTCTAGGTACTAACGGCTTTTCAAACAAATTAATCGTTGATCACAATGCGAATTTCTCGAAAATCTTCCAGAATCCAAAATACAACAGAGGTAATCTCCGCCCCTTTGATCTTCTTAAATCATCAGTCATTTCTTTAGCAAACCCTTCCCTGGCTCCCTCACTCAGTCGCCAAAAAAACCCAACTTTCTGCCATGGCGGATGGAAAAGAAACCATCTTTTCGACTCTCGACAATGCCAAGACTCAACTTTACCATTACAAAGCGATTGTCATTGCCGGCATGGGGTTTTTCACCGATGCTTATGACCTCTTCTGCATCACTGCGGTCACAAAACTCATAGGCCGCCTTTACTACTACGACCCTTCGACCAACAAGCCTGGCGTTCTGCCTAACCACATCAACAATGCCATAACAGGGGTTGCTCTGTTCGGAACCCTAGCAGGGCAACTCTTCTTTGGCTGGCTTGGAGACAAACTTGGTAGAAAAAAAGTTTACGGAATCACATTAGTCACAATGGTGGGATGTGCTCTGGCCTCCGGCCTTTCGTTTGGCCACAGTGCTCAAGGTGTAGTCACAACTCTCTGTTTCTTCCGATTTTGGCTCGGATTCGGAATTGGAGGGGACTATCCCCTCTCAGCAGTGATCATGTCCGAATACGCCAACCAAAAAACCCGAGGCGGGTTCATTGCAGCTGTGTTTGCAATGCAAGGAATTGGCATTTTGGTCGCAGGAGCCGTAGCCATGTTCGTGTCCAAACTATTCTTGCTAGCCTACCCAGCTAATGATTTTTGGACTAATCCTGTCCTCTCCACTCAGCCGGAAGGCGATTTTGTGTGGCGAATCGTGCTCATGTTCGGCGCAGTCCCCGCGGCTCTGACCTTCTATTGGAGACTAAAAATGCCTGAGACTGCAAGGTACACTGCCTTGGTTGCAGGAGATCAGGACAAGGCCAATGCTGACATGGCCAAAGTCCTCGAAAGGGACATACCGGTCGGAGAATCTGGTTCCAAAACCCTAGTTGATCCAAATTCCGCATATAAGTTGTTTTCTAGGGAGTTTCTTAGGCGGCACGGCACCCATCTTCTCGGCACCGCCACCACCTGGTTCCTGCTGGACATTGCATTTTACAGCCTCCAGCTCACTCAGAAAGATATTTACCCTTCAAGTGGACTTTTACCTAGACCTTCCGCAATGAATGCAATTGAAGAAGTCTACAGGCTATCCGGTGCAATGCTGCTCGTAGCACTTTTTGCCTCGGTTCCCGGTTACTGGTTTACTGTGTTTACCATTGACAAGCTTGGAAGAAAACCGATCCAGCTAGGCGGGTTTTTACTGATGTCGATTTTCATGGGAGTTCTAGGGTTTCATTACGGAAATCTCAGGGGAGTGGAGTGTGAGGATAAACACTCCACCTATGAGTTCTGCAAGGGTCACACTAAATTGTTCACTTTGTTATATGGGCTGACATTGTTTTTCGCAAACTTTGGGCCCAACAGCACGACTTTCATCGTGCCGGCCGAGCTTTTCCCGGCTAGGTTCCGGTCCACATGCCACGGGGTGTCAGCGGCGGCGGGCAAAGCGGGTGCTATACTTGCTGCATTTGTGCTGCAGAGTTATACTCGTGAGGTTGAAGGGGTGCAAAAGGCGATCAAGGCGCTTGCAGTGATTAATTTGATCGGATTCTTCTTCAGTTTCTTGGTGCCAGAGACCAAGGGGAGGTCGCTTGAGGAGATTTCCGGGGAGGACAGTGATTTCGGAGGCAACGGTGTGATAGCCGTTAGTGCAAATGAGAATGCAGCTGAAACTAGTGCTGCCATTGTCATCAAGGATAAAGTTCCGGAAGCTGAAACGGGAATGGTTTAGAGGAAATTTTTTAGTGTGCCGGAACACGGTCCAATACACTAAGTGTCATATTACAATTAGTTGGAAATTTTGTTTTTTAAAGTTTTCAACCAATTGTATTATCACCCTGGTGTATCAGACCGTCTTGCCGGCACATTAAAAAATATCTCTGTTTAGAGACCTTTGGTGCCTTTTCTGATTTGTGTATTTTAATAAAGTCTCATTTTCAATGGGGTTTATCGTTTGTTAAAAAAAAATAGGGTTAATAGTTTTCATGTCTTTCTTATTTTCTTAAAAACTAAATATTACAGTGACGTTATCTCAAACCAATTACTCACTGTTATGCATTTTAACTTTATCATATAATTCGCTTGAAATATCGCGATAATAGCATCAATGTTCCATAGAAGTCCTTCTGCATAAGACCATCAGCTCCATGGAGTGCACAGATGAAATGAAAAGTAATATTAAAAGAATAAATAAAATGTGAAATTGGGCTTAAATTTGTAACCTCCTCTGCTATGGTCTCCTCACCCTTTTAAACATTAGGGGCTACTTTTCGAATATTTCTTGACCACGGAGATTATTTATTGGATTTGACCTTCATTTATACACAAGCTTTTTCCAAAGCAGTCCTTAATTTCAAAAAATTAAGACATTATTTTTTTGAGTTGTTGGACTTATATTTTCAATTTAAATAAGAAGTTCTCAATATATTCGCAACAATGTATTTAAAATTATCAGAGCGGTTTAAATTTTAAACTCTCTTATCAATACTTATTCGTGTGAAAAATTGGCCAAGGTTTCCATTTTTGTTGTAGTTTTATCTAAGGATTTGGTTTTCTTTTTCACATTTTAGATGTGTTTCGAACGTGGATGAATTTTAGAAGAAACAAATCTTCAAGGATGCCACGACTATATACAATTTCTGTCGTTAAACTGCATCATAGGATACCCTAAATTGAATGTAAACATTTTTTTTTCTTTAAAAAAGGGGACTAACTGGTGGCACAGTCCTCTTGTTCGGGGGTCGGGAAGACTCACAGAGGTATATCAGCCTCCTCCTGGTCACCATCGTGAAATTCACCAGCGACAGGGATTGAACCCAGGACATGCTGTATGGAATACGGGCTAGGAATTCGACCACAAGGCCTGAAATTTGTCCCCAACCACTAGATCACCCCGTGATGGTTGAATGTGTGCATTTTTTGTTACATGACATCCGTAAGAGAGAGCGCTCAATGATATTAGAAGATAAAGGATGGTGCTATTCACACATTCTTTTTAATTTCGGTCGTCGGATCAAATGAATTAAATAAAATTTAAGAAAAAAATTAACAGAAATATATGTAAGGTGAAACGGGATGTTTGAACAGCACCACCCCAGATATATACTCATGCTAAATTTAAATTATCAACAACAACAAAGGAAGCTCTATTGAAAATTGCCTCATATTCCAAGGATGTAACCAAATAATTCATATACTATTTGTACCCAAAAAAAAAATATTCATGTTTACTATGCGCAATCAATCATTTTACCACACTATACAGTTCACACATATCCAATTGATGAACATTTGTTTGTTCTTATTCTCCATCACAACAACAACAACAACCACCAAATCTTATCTCATTAAGTGTGGTCAGCTGTATAACATGTAACGTCATTGTGGTTGTTTTAGCGTCTCACATATCCAACTGATGAACATTTGATTGTTCTTATTCCCCTACACAACATCAACAACAACAATAATCAAGCCTTATCCCACACCATTAAGTGTGGTCGACTGTATGAATCCTAGAACGCTAATGCGCTCAATTTTGCTCCCAATCTTCCGTTAGCTCCAAGTGCTCCATATGTTCTTATTCCCCTATATTATTTGAATTTTTTCCAAGGAAGTAATGAAAAATCCTAGGATCCTAGTCCTAGCTACTATTTCAGTCCACCAAAAGAAGCCGCTGCTTTTACAAGGAAGCCAAATAGCAGAAATGGGGTGGAGAACATAGGGCTGTGATCACTATGCAAAACATAGAGCTCCGATGGCGGCCACCTCTTTACCATCGAACCTTGTTGCTCTGGTTTCACGACATGGTCATGCAGCGTTTTAACGTAAACTCGTGGCACTTGGTCGATGACGCCGTCCTCCTCGAAATGGGCTGACGTGATTGCCAAGAGCGGCCCTGGCCTCAAAAGCATGGCAGCTAGCGTCGAATCCTAAGGAAAATAGGCATGAAATTAGCATGTGTATGACTTCTAATTTGTTAATGTCAGTCGTCTATGTATATACGTAGGAACGTCCTATAACAACGATCATTGTGAGACTAACATTAATCAATATAGTAAGAAACCAGCAAGAGTGCGTAGATAATTGACGTATCAAAATCTTAACATGTATATATTAATTATAGCAAGATTAACTAAAAATTGAATGAAAGTACATCAATCATGTGAAAAGCGATTTTGTGCATGGCATCCTATCTTTAAAAATGACAGAACGAGCTTAATTTAGCGGATCTAACGGTCCTTACCGAACCTAAATTTGATACTTAAAACCTAAAACTAAAGTAATTAACCATACTAGAAATAAAGTCTAAGTTTTACATGATGATTTTGCACTCCAAGAATTTACCATGTTAGTAACTTAAGTCATATCAAAGTTAAAAAATATTGAATAAAAAATAAGATTTTCTCACTATGCCGTGTCTATAAAAAAAGGCATAATGTGATGCTCGTATTCGAGAAGTATGATTCTTTCTCATTCAAATTTATCTCCATTTCCCTCTTCTTTTATTTGAACGGTCACGATTAAGTTACGTTAACATCTTATATTGACGTTATTACAGAGAGAAAGACAGGTTAAAGTGAGAGAGGATAAGAGGAGATGGGAGATGATTTGGAGCGGAGAGAATTCTACTTCCATATTCGAATTGATCATGTGAAGAACTGAATGTGGTGCTGTACATGTTCATGGCCATCCAATTTGCTCAAAAGCAAAGCAGAGGACTGACACAAAATGCCAAGAGCCCACCACCAAAAAAGGAAGAAGAAAGGAAAGCCTGGGCAACCTATTATCCGTAGGCACAAAAAGTCTATGATCGATCGACCAAGTGCATCAATACAACTGTGATAGAATTATTGGTTTATATGATGATACCTCTTGAGGACTCAATTGGTATGAGATTTTGCGTTGGAATTCTTTCTTGACAATGGCACTTGTTGGAGGTTTATCAGCTCCCAATCCAAACCCTAACTCATATACATCACCAAACTCTGATAAATCTGGCACCCCCTGTTACACACAAACATTACTATCAGGAAAAAAAAAATAATAATTGCAAAGACATGTAACTCAGTTAACTAAGAGTATTCGACGTTGCAAAATCGAGGTTTAGAATTCGATTCTTCTTCATCCATTCTCGCTTGTATAAAAAAATAAAATAAAATAAAAAATAAAAAATAAAAAAATAAAAAAATAAAAAACTGATACTAATTGGTCTCATCTTAATCATTTGGGCTTGATTGGAAAAATGATGCCCTAATTTGAATATATGATTGCTAATTTGCTATGCAGTGTGATAGAATAAACAATTGAAAAGCTACGAATGACTTTGTAATCCAAATTTAATCACTTTCCACACTCATCAACTATGGGTTTGTCTCCTCACCAAATCTGCTTTAATCAGACTAATATTATAATTAATTGTTTAATTATTTCTTAGTAGATAAGGCTTAACAACCATTTTGTTTGTCATGGCAGTTGGCAGCCATTACCAACATTGGGATCTTAAACCTTACTAATTTCCAATCAAAGATTCAAAACTATAGATAAATTCAACCTGTCATGCATGACTGCCTACTCACAGTTTAATTCCCATGTTAAATTCAAATTGAATCATCATAAAAATATAGCCTATAGTTAATTATTAAAAAAGGTATTAAGTAGCAATTTGAAAAAATGAATTACATCTTTGAAATCTTGATCAGTGGAGAACCCATGTTTGAGCATTGTTGCTGCAACATATACTGCTAAGAGAATTTTCTTTGGGAACTTGAGAGTGGCCTGAGTTACATTCAGCCCTCCAGCACTGTGTCCCACCAGAATTACCTGCATGGAAACATATTAATTAGGCAGACAAAGCAATCCCCTAATCATGTTTCCAATAATCAAACAATGAAAAAAAAAATTTATTAGCCATGATTAGTGAAGCAAAATAAAATACCTGTTCATTCTCAGGGAGAGCAGACAGCAAGTCCAGGAGTGGCTTGTTGTAATCATCAAAAGAAAGGACTGAGTTCGCATCAGATTGATCGATGCCGGCACTCTTGAGATCGACACACGATACCTTGTAGCCAGAATTCTCCATGAGACACCGGATTTTGTACCAGCACCATGCTCCATGACTTATGCCATGAACCAGCACAAAATGAGTAGTCTTCAAGGGTACTTCTGATAATTCCATCTTCTTCTCTACCATGGTTTCTTCCTCAGGCTTCTCCTCTACCATTCTTTCTGCTTCCCAAAAGCCCCTGCTCCAAAGTCCTTTTGTTTTCTTTTCTCCCAGAGCCCCTCTTGACCTCTCTATATATATGCGTTGAAATAGTTAATTTGCTGCATCGGTCATGGTTTTTGCTTTTATTCTAATCATGCACATATTCAAATATTAATTTAGGTAAAAGGATATATAGCTTGATGATGTAGGACGGGAATCAATTCTTACCAAGAATAATGACTTATATGAAATAAGATACGTTAAAATGAGAGAGTGCTCAAACCAATTATACAACGTCAAATGAAAGATAGTACTGTCACTTTAACGTCTCCATTTGATAAAGTCTTTATCCTTAAAGGAGTAGATTTTATCTCCCCATCAATTCTTACAAAGCAAAAATATTTTTCACAAAGTCACTTTGACGTCTTTATGTCTAAAGATATTTTTCATATACAAGCTATTCAGGCGACGAAAGAATTAAAAACAAGGTCTCAAATGCATAAAGAAATGGTCTAAACCACTTGAACTTCAATACCGTTACATAAAACTTGATATTTTTCATGCTATGGTATGGATTCCAGCAAGAACAACATATTGACTTCCTATATGTGCATGAACAGTAAATACCAACTCTTTTATGCAGTTAAATAGACAACACAGCCAAGCAATGAGCATCACCAATGAATCTTTTGGACATCAAAGTCGCATGCCACTTGGCACCATGTAGAGTCACTTCCACACAGCTGTTCGTATGCTGCATTCATATGCTAGGCATGTTGGAAATAAACAATTAGGCAGTCCTAACAAAAAGATGTCTTTGGAAACGGAGACGTTGTAATTGCATACGCAGGAAGAACTTTTGTAGCTCCTTTACGGTTTATAAAAATAAAATAAAACTGGACCTAATAAAAATATCATTTGTCGGTTATTTTAAATTTATTATCTGCTCATCTGAAAGACAGAAACACAAATTCCTTGTTATATGATCCATACATTGCAGGCGAAGGATATCCTGGGACTTTTTTATTTGTCAATGATTATCTGACTCTAATTAATGGGCCGGTTGTTATTATTATTGTTTTTCCTCCTTTCCGAATTTGAATCGAGATTTTCTTTAGATCTTCAAATTCGGAATCAATTGACTCAAAATTGAAGTCATTCAAAAGAATAAAGAGAGATATGGACAGTTAATTTGTGTGAAGTAGGTAAGTGGAATAGAAAAATAAGAGTCGTATAATTTTAAAGAGTAGTCCGTGGACTTGAAACAAATAAATCAAAAAAGGATCCCAATTCTCCAAATTTGACTTGAATACACTTCAAAAAAGCTATTTTTCACCAATGTCATGAGGATAATATAAGCGCAATCAATGTATACTTCTTTTATTTATCTTTTCTTACATCATCAGAATTTTCATTCAAATTTATGCCAAATCTTTACCAACATTATTGATGTAATAAAACATTTCCCAAGGTAAACAATCACAGTGAAAAGTGAATGACCCAGTTGACTGTTTGAGCCTCCCGGAAGTTAGGAATCTTTGGGGACTGAAAAGATTAGCTATAAAAAAGCTAAAAGGTATTTTACCAAAAAAAAAAAAAAAAAAAACCTAAAAGGTAAATCATGATTGAGCAATTACATTAGTGTCTCTCCAGGTTTCATCTTTTTCTGAAAAAGTTGAGACTGTGAAAACGACTTCCACGTTTACCCTAGTTCGCAGAAAATAAAGCTCAATAATACAGCTGTTAGGAACGTGAAAAAAAAATGTCATGGAAGAAAGGGAGAGAAACGTTAGGTAAGTGTGGCTGTCGTATTTACTTATTATACACAAAGACTTTTGACAATTTACTCTATACTCATTTGTCACGGGTTTATGTCCTTCGGCTCCTTTTCCGGTTGCATTAATATTGGTAGTCAACTTCACCGTTCATGACCATATGTGACTAACTCCATGCATGGTTGCATTTAGATCGAAAGGTACCGGAACGGTCTATATATATGTGACTAGCTCCATGCATGGATGCATTTTGATCGAAAGGTACTGGTGCAAGTGGACACTACTTGACTCAATTTTTTTAAATGAGTCATTTAATCCATAGACAGTCTAATCTCTAATATGCGAAAATTATATTTGATTCACAAAATTTAACAATTCTTCTTCTTAATGATAGAGACTTTGAATATCAGGATTGGTGGTGGTTTAAGTTGAATATGGGACTGCAATGCAGATGTACTTGGGAGAAATTGATCATCATCACAGAAAATGAAGTTGTGTTTGGTAGTTTTTCTCTTTGATTTGATATGTCTACTAATTGTCCCTTCGAAACGAGAAACTGGCAAGGACTAGAAGCTAAACTCCATTGGCATTTTTCTTATTTCCACTCACTAGTTGGTTTGGTTGAGAAGACCACTTCCACGTTTGAAGAACGTGACAATGAAAACGACTAAATTACTGCCATTTGATCTTTGATTTTAATTGAAGTACCGGAAACGCGGTTTCTGTATTATATATAGAGACAAAAAATTTTTGCTTCTCCATTTCCTAAAGCAAAAGCTTTTGCACCGTTTGCATTGGCCTTTTGCAAAATCCAGGAGGTGATTATTTGTTGAAGCAAAGAGATTTGTCTTTCCATTGTAAAAGGGAATCTGAATGGAAAATGATTTCTGCACTCATTTTTCTTCTTCCTAAGCACACTCTTTTCTTTTGTTCTAATTGTTGGATTGAACAAATTAAAGGAGAATCAATGAACAATAACTAAATAATAAGTGCATGAAGAAAAAACGAGACTGCAGAAATCACACTCTTTTCTTTTGTTCTTATTGTTGGATTAAACAAATTAAAGAAGAATCAATGAACAATAACTAAATAATAAGTGCATGAAGAAAAAACGAGAGTGCGGAAATCATCTTTTAACTTGGAGTTTCACTATATAAAGTTCCAAAGTCAACATAATTTTATTTATGTTATAAGATTATGTACGTGAGACTTGGATCTTCCACCGTACCATTTGTTTGAAACCAATGATTTCTATATTGCCATTACCAATGGTAATTATTAGCAGAAGCTAAATGGAAGAGGACGACGAAGGAAATACCAATAGGCAATAGGATGCCTCCATGACTAATCCACTACAAGTCAAGGATTGCAATTTGCAACAGGTGGGATAATAATTTAATTTGGTTCTTTTGCTAATTTAATTTGGTTCTTTTGCTATAGATAGTATGTGACAACAGCTCCAAAAGTTAGTGATCTTAATCAAAGTCATGTACCCCCACACTGGAGAAGTAAATTGACTCATCAAATTCCAATATCTCTAAAGGCATTAAAAAAAGAACAATGTATATTTGTTAATCAAGGAATAGAAAAGAAACATATACATGATGAAAACTAGGGGCTATGTGATTTTAGGGTCACTGTGCGGAAGATAGTAAATTGATTCTTGTATAAAAATTCCTGTTACAAAGCTAATTTATATGTCTATAGTTGTATAAATAAAGGATCTAAATGGAGAATTATTACTTGAGTTATAGTTCAAATCAACCAAAATCATGAAAATAAATAAAAACAAATTTGAGCAAAGCCAGCAGAACTAAACTAAAAACATAATAGTGGTTTCTCTTATGCATGTGAAAGCAATATTTCTCTTATTCACATGCATAACCTAGAAAATTTCCTAAGGATGAAGTTTCTTTTTTTGTTTTTTTGCCACAAACCAAGTTGGTATATATGCTGATGATTTCATCTTTTAGGGGCCTTTAAGATTGGGCACCCTGTGCAAGGGCACCTATTGCACATGCCCAAAACCGCCACTATGAAAACGCTACATAACATGTTTACAATTGAAAAAAAAAAAAAAAAAAAAAAAACCCTAAAATCTCTAACAATATAACAAATTTCCATAACTTAGAATTCCACTTTTATCCCATCCCTCCACAGGGGATGGTACAACTACACTGCTGATCAACTTGACTAGATTGTCAGCATTCGAAAAACCTGACATTAACATTCGGACAAGAGACGACCTGTGTAAATGTTTATAAATTATACGAAAAATTGCAGAGACCTCCAGCCTAACCACTGAATTTGTAATTTAATTAACCAAGAATATGTAGGTTAATTTTTAGGAAAAGGTTTGTTTGAAGCAGCTGCATCCTGCATGCACATGCAAAAAGCCTGTCGTTCTTTTGCGCACGCATAGTTCTCCATTAAAAAGAAAACAGTGCTGCATTTCATAGTCCCCAGTACGTCCAAATGCAGTTGTCGGAGCGGTACTGGTGGCTGTGGATGGATGAGAATATATATACACGTGTTAAATAACATATAATTTTTAGGACGAGCCTTGATGCAATGGAAAAGATTGCTCCTTTGTGACTGAACATGGCCGTAGAAACAGTTTTTTTACAAAATAAAAGTAAAGCTGCGTACGATAGATGTTGCCTCCGACTCTTGCAAAATGAAGAGTTTTGTCGCTTGGAGTTGGGGTAGCCCTTTCATATATATAATATTTGCCCCACAAAAGTTTCTTCCAAAATAAGATACCGAAGTGGTAAGTCACTAAGTCCACGTTCGGTTGTCTCCACCATGAGTGCCTGACCAGTGACTGCATTTTCACCTGTCTCATTTGCGTTGCGGGAAATTTGAATTGCTTAATAAAATTAAAAAAAAAAAGAAAAAAAAAAGCAAAGAATGACAAGGAGGTAGGCCGGTGAGGCCCTTGAAGAAAGGAAAGCATGATTTGAGCCCACTTCTTTTTTTCTGTTTTTGGGTCAAGAACTAGAGCCCAAATCTTAACATTTTTTTATGAGTTAAAAATTAGTTTATTTAAATGCCACATATAGAATTATAAATGCAGTTTAAAATATTCTGAAATGAGAGTAGCGAAATTCAAACTCCGGTGTGTAAAAGAAAGTACATCTATTTTAGCAAATGTGACCACGGCCACGTATGCAAATTAAGAATTGAGCTTCAAATATAAACATTGAGTGCAAATTGAAAAAAAGGTTGGTAAAAGATAAAATTTGAAAGATAACAAATTATCTATTTAAAAGTCAATCAAAACAAAATGATAGAGATAGACAAGTCTAACAAGAAAAAGACTAAAATTATGAAATTAGATAAAATATGGGGTCATATGTTTTGAATAAGACTATGATAAAGTTCCAAAACAAATAATTTTGTTTAGTTTGTGTGGATTCCCACCTTGACCAATGATTATTGTGAAAATAATGGGAAAAAAAAAAAGAAGATAAATCTATAGATTTGCACTTTTAAATTAGATAAAAATACCAAAAATATTTAAACAATTTCGATGTAATACAAATTGTCAAATTCAACTCTAATTATTTTGTTGATAAAATTAAAGTCGCTTGATGATATATTAGTATAATTTTTCACACTTTCGAGCTTCGTGTCAATGTAAATAGAAATAAAATAAAGAGAAATACTAAGGCGAGTTCCTTAAAGTGATATTCTTTATAAGATTTCTATCATTCTATAATTTAACATTAATTTTTACGCTAATAAGCAGATAGTTTATAGGGAGTTCTTTTTAAATGTCTTTTTAGCATTAAAATAAAACCAGATTTTTTCATTAAATTACTTTCTTAAGTTGGAATGTTTTCCCGCCATAAATCTTTGGTTGTTCCGCTGGCAGGGACGGCAAGCCGCTTGCCCACCATGCGTAGCGGCCCCACCTCTGAGGGCTTAATTATTGGAGTAGTTCGTTAAGTTACGACAATACCCATTACCAGAATTTACAACATGAAAATGATTTGATGTGTAGGAGGGCATTTTCGGACCATAAAAATCAGGGACAGAAAACGCGGGATTTTGAGCCCTTCCCACTCTTTCTCAGCATTTTTCTCGCTGTCCTCAACCGAATGAATTCATTTTGAATTTTGAAAAAAGCCGCTTTTGGCTTAAAAGACAAAAGCACCGATTAATCGCTTCGCTTATCCTTCTGATTTTTCCAGGGCTTGGATCTGGAGCTTGCTCTCTCTCTCTCTCTCTCTCTTGAGTCTCTTCACCTGTGTCGCAGCAAAAGGTCAGTGACAGTGAGCTCACTCTTCCATGCTGACATAATCGATTGCATACAGATTATGCTTTTTTAAGAATCGCTTTTTGGTTTAATTTATTGAATTTTCATGCATCTGGTTTGGTATGCTTAAATTGATGATTTGAATATTGATAAGAGTTAGTGGAAATTTATAGGGAAAGAAAAATCTTATTTCTGATCTGATTCATTGGTGTACTTGATTTGCTTTGATTTTGTGACTTTCACTTTAATTACTTTTTTTTTTTTTTTTAATTTATGGGCATCACAATTGATAGGTGGATTACTGGAGCCATCGAAATTCCTCGTCTTTAAGCGCTCGTTTGGTGTCTAAGATTGGGTTGGATAACAGACTATATTAAAAATTGTGTTCAAATTGAAAGTGAAAAAATTGGGGTATTACTTGCGAAGAAAATGTATTCCTTCAAATCCCCACAAAATGGTCGGATTACAAGTGATATGCTTTCTTCGTGTCTCATATCTGATACTCATCGGCTATGGTACTCGTCAGATACTCCCGAATACTCGTTGAATACAAGTGTTCGGCTTTTAGGATACTTTACACTTTTAAATGAAAAATTAAGAGGAGAAAATTAATAGGAAACAAAGATCTAGTTGAAAGTGATTACTACAAAGAGCTTGGCTCTAATTAAAACAAGGAATTTAACTTTCACACTTGAATGAATTAGAATATTTTCTTGTTAAAATATGTTTTAAATTATATATTTTTATTGTCGTATCCATGACGTTTGTATACTTAGAGATTTTACGTATCAGCGTGTCGTGTGTCATTGGATTTTGAGGTCTTATGTGGTTTATTTTATATCATTTGATGTCAGTAGATGGTTGATATGGAGAGAACAGAACTGAAGAAGTCAGATTCAGCAGGGTTGGACAATAGTATCTCTCCAGATAGTTCAATGTGGCTGGTAGAAAATCTTGAAGGTAAGTGGTTATTTTCGAGCTTGTCTTGTTTGTTCTTGCTGGTTCAAATTGTTCCTTACTGTAATTTTCTGTGACGATTTGACCTAATAAAATGTTTAAAATGCTGTATCTTACAGAGATGGACCAGAGCATTAAGCAAATGATGAAGCTGATCAAAGAAGATGGTGATTCTTTGCCCAACAAAGACCAAACGTTTTTGCAGAAGAAGCCGGAATTAGTTCAGGAATTTCAACGGATGTATCGTTCACTGGCCGGGTGCTATGAATACTTGAACAAAGCACCTAAGGGGTTTGGAGATTCTGAATATGGTTTCAACCAAGGCTCTCCTCTGCTGACTCCCGATGCTAGAAATGGTTTGCGGAAATCCGACGATCAAGTTGTTGGTTTTGATATATCACTAAGCTCAGATGGTTCTAGTCCAGCTCTTACTTTAAAGAATAGCGCTGAATCGTCTTCCTCTTCATCATTAGGATCCGAGTCAGATTCTCCTAATTCCCCGGTCAGCAATTACTTGGTTCCACCTCCGAGCGCTGATTTTGACAGTCAGGGATGGCAGCAGAAGATTGCTGAGCTTGAAACTGAACTATCTAGCTTGAAAGAGAAGCTCCAGATGAAGGAGTCTGATCTTACAATGGAGAAAATGCGTGTCTTCGAGCTGCAAGAACAGATAGTTGAGTTGGAAAATCGTGCATCAGACAGAGATAATGAGATTCGGAAATTGATGGAGGACTTGGAAGTGACTAAAGAAAGGCTTAAGGGGTCAGACGAAGAGATTGCGAATTTGAAGCATGAACTTGCCGATAGAATTTCCGAAGGCGCTTATCAAATGCAAGGTCTTGAATCTCAACTTCACTTGGAGAGAAAGCATGTCTCGGAGCTGCAGGAGAGGATTGTGAGGTACAATGCTGACATATTTGGCCGCGATCTTGAGGTGATGCAGCTGAAGAGCGCATTGCATGATGCACAGGAACAATTCTCGCTAGAGAAAGCAGACCTGCAGGCTGACATTTCAAGTTTTGCAGCGAAACAAATTGTCTTGGACACGAGAATCGAAGAATTGAGTTTGAGAAACAAGAGGTTAGAAGACGAAATAAGGCAATGTGAAACGGATAAGATGGAAATGGAAAGACTGCATGCTGTCTATGAGATCGCATTGCAAGATGATATAAGCCACCTGAAGGTAGAAGTTGCTGATAAAAATGGACATGTGGAAGCTGTAAATAAAGACTTGGACAGGTTTAAACTGAAATGTGACATGCTGATGGCGGAGAAAGACGAGCTCAATGCTAGGGCTCAAACGCTTATGGCGAACGTGAGTTACCGCGACAATCAGATTCAGGAAATGGCGGGACATCTTAGTCGGTTACAAACAGAACACGAGGGTCTGATTGTTGGATCCGAAAGTGCTCGTAGGCTAGTAGATGAGCTGAAAACAAGAGTGGAGGAGTTGCAGCAAGAGGTGAAAAGGCAGAGTGTTGTGATCTCGGATGGGGCTGAGGAGAAACGAGAGGTGATCCGGCAGCTTTGTTTCTCGCTGGAGTACTACAGGAGCAGATACCAAGAGCTCCGGCAAGCATTTACCGGGCACAGGCGGCGTGCCGTTGCCGCTGCATGAAATCGGTTTCTTCTATGAAATGGTCTAGTATGTTTCTGCAGCTTACTTCACTTGATGTGTCTTGCATGATGTGTTGTGTTTGTATGGAAGACGTTATTTGTTTAGGGTAATATGGTCAATTCAGGTCGGATGTTGTCAATGTTTAGTTAATTACAAAACTAAATGCTCTAGATTTTGAATGTTAAAGAACAACGATGGCATGGAAAAGCTTTGCTAATTATTATTAACTAAGGTGTTAAACTCAGGCGTGTTTACGTAAGGGGAATGGAGTGAGAAGAATGAGAATTGCATTCATTCCAAATGATTCATTTGTTTACTAATATTAGGGAATGAAATTGTACATGGGAGCCACTAAAAATAGGAATCAGATTCTTGATTTGCATGGAATTGAATTACCAATCAATAGGTGGTATTTGGATTCCGGGAGAAAGCCTCAACCCGGAATCAAAATTTTCTACCCAATATACCCTGATCTCCTTCCCGTCTCCGGTAGCACAGCACCCATTCAAATCAAAACCCAATGAAGAAGTAGACAAAAGAGAGACAGAGGCAGAGGACCAATATAATAAATAAATAAATAAATATTTGGAATTAATTAGTTATTTGGAAGAAGAAGAATCAGAAGAAAGAATAATCAGAAGAGAAGAGGAAGAATCAGAAGGGAAGGAGATGGGGATTTAGAGGGCAAGGAGAGGAGGGGGAGGGCTGTGTTAATTTCGTTGTTTTTAATTGAAGGCGTTCATACAATTGGCATACGGTGGGGGATTTTTATACGGTAAATAAAGATTTTTTTAGGATAAATAATTGTATTAGTGTCATATATGCAAAATAATTGTATTATTAAAGGCTTCTTATATGGTAATTAAAGGATTTTTTTAGGATAAATAATTGTATTAGTTTTTTATACACAAAAGAATTGTATTATTAATTAGTTAAATAAAATTTATATCTGTTTTGTACAAGGGTATTTGAGTAATCACACTGTTTTTTATTCCGATTCATGTGAATTGGTAAACAGTAATATAAAATATGCATCATTTCCACTCCGATTCCATACAGTTTTAATAAATAACTTCAACATGAATCTGATTTTGATTCCACATCAATCCAATTTCTCCTCAATCAATTTCCTTCAATTTGATTATGGATTAGTAAACGCGCTATCATTGTTCTCACTTGCTTAGGGGGCAAAATGGTCAACCTACCTATTCCTCGCCAGTGAAGTTGGGGTTTTTGACTAAATCCTAATTCAGTAAGGTAAAGTAACCCTCATTCATTTTCTTGGGAATTCTAGGGATCATGTGACCGTGACCGTTTATAATATATTGTGTGATCATAAATCATTTTAAAATTTAAAATTAAATATAAATAGTATCTAACAAAAACTGATCGCACGATGTACGATGAAAAATTACTATTATGGGATTCCTAGGATTCCTAGAAAAAAAGATCCGGCAAGGAACATTTTCCATTCATTGCAGGTGCTATAATCTAAAAATCTATGATATCTTTCACTTTCACAGTTTTCCGGAAGAAGTTATAAGCACTTTTAAAAGTCTACTTTGTGCTCAATTGTGTATATTATTTTTTGAGTTTTTAATCAAAATGGTTTTCGAGAATGACATAACTCTTAATTTAGATCTCTATCATTTAAAATTGATAAAATTGATCATGAGTTTGTTCATTGTAAATAATTTAGTCATTCCGTGAAAATTTTGTCAATATTCTTATTGAATTATTCCGTAAACGACCATATAACTATCTTTTTAATGATATTTTTTGTTTGAACTTAACGAGAATATCGACATGATTTTCACGAAATGATCAAAATTGTTTGCGATGAACAAACTCAAGAATTACTTTTATAAATTTTCATTGTTAAGAACCAAAATAAAAAATTATGTTAATCATAATAACCATTTTAGTTAATAAAAAAAAAACTTTATTTTCTTTATATTCTTGTAAACAAAAACTGCTCGATAACATTTTTAGTACGTCAATATCAACTTATTTTTCCAAGTAGAAATTATTGCTGTGAGTTGTTATTAGGTTGGACTTGGTCAATGCCCATTGCGATGCTTACACAATTGTTTAATAAATAAAGTACGTATAAAAGTTAAAAGCTCAGTGGCCGGCAGTTGAAGGATTCTTTGACACCCACACAACTGACACAAGTGCCACCAATCCATATTCCATAACCTTGACCTTGACCAGGCCTTCATTTTTATGCAACCCAAACATGCAACTTTAATTTAAAACGAAAGAACAAATTACTTTATATTATGCATCTTTAATTTAAAACGAAAGAACAAATTACTTTATATTATGCATCCCTTTGTTGAATTGAGTAGTACTCACGAGTGACTGTAGACTGTTGATTCGTTACGATTATAAGTGCACTAATTTGCTATAGTGACATTGTAGACGACTATGCTAACATTACTCTATTTTGTGAGCTTTACACGTTATCGTGCTACATTTATAGTGCGAATGACAATGCTAGCATGTGAATCTTCAATGGGGTAACCTGACCACGTTCTTGGTAAAATCTCTCGCAAACAAGCAGGACTCCCTGCATTTGAGTTTCACTTGACTCCACATTTCTTTCTTTCTCTCACCTCCCACCCCACACACACACACACATATCCGTGAAAAAAAAATTGTGGTTTCACTATAAAACTAATTGGCAATATGGAAAATCGCTCAATTCCTTATAAGCCCTTACTAGATTTCTCCTTTCATGATGTGGGACTGTTCTTTCACCACACACTTGTTCTTATCTTATAAATTTCACAATGTAATACAAATTGAAAGAATCAGTCCTCTTCTGTTGAAGGATTCCTCATATAAGTTTATTTGATGGGTCATTTGTAGAGTTCACTCCACATCGTATTTAAACGACCCACTTCACATCTTTTAGATATTCCCTAAAATTCATCTTTTATGTCCTATAAGATTACTTCTTCTATTGTTAATTAATTTTCTGATAAAATCTCAACTTTTTCAACTCTTTTATTTTGTGTGATAAAAATTTCTTAGTTAATATTAGTAATTCACATTACAAATGACGTGATCAGCCGCCCAACTGAAGATTCTCTTCATGCTAGCATTTCTCAATTTGGTGAGCTCATATAAAATTAACTTCACCTCACATTGCGTCCAAATGCACAATTGACTTTAATTTCCCAGGTTTTGTGAGTTACCAACAAAGACAACAAGACATGCAAATGCAAAGCAAAAGAAAATACTTGGGAACACAAACAAGAACAAAACAGGAATAAAGAGAAAGCAAAAAAGACAACGAGGAAGATACCGATGTTTGACAAAAAAAGGAGTTATTTGGAAATAGAAAGTGTTTTTTTTTTTTTTTTTTAAGAAGCACAATTAGTAGTAAGTTACGATTATCCATTATTTTCGATGGTCGGAAAGATTCACAAAGACATTTCAACCAAGTTCCTGCTCGGAAACATTCATGTCGTTAACACGTTGAAGTCAAGTAATCATACGGACAAATGTGAAACCCTATTTCACTTGTGAATGCGAAGCCATGCTACCAAGCCCGAGCGGCCACGTCTTTTTCCAAGAGGTACCCTCGCTTCCAAGAAATCTTTGGTTTTATACTGAGACGTTTACGCAATATAATCTGTTCACTCATATTGTAACGTGTTACGGTGTTAATTTATTTATGATATTTTCAATTGTCTTCAAACACTGACTAATTAATAAATTAGTACAACACTAGTTCTTTTATTCCAAAATTTTGTTTAGTGCTTTTGTTACTAATTGACATATTTGCCGTTCTTAATATATGTGCGTTTGAAACACTCCATGACTACGACAGTGCCATACCAAAATATGAGTAAATTATAGTAATGGTCCCTCAACTTTAACTCAATTAGAAAAATGGTCCCTCAACTCATCAAAACGTGCAGCTATAGTCCCTCAACTAAAAATCAATTACCAATGGTCCCTCAACTTTAATCTAATTGGAGAAATGGTCTCACAACTTTAACCCAATTGGAGAAGTAGTCCATTTACTTTAACCCAATTGTAGCAATGGTCCTTCCAACATAACTCATTTTGACAAAATTCTGACGAAGTTGACGAAAAGAACCATAACTATACGTTTTAATGAGTTGAGGGACCATCCAATTTGATTAAAGTTGAAGGATTATTGCTACAATTTACTTCCAAAATATTATCTTCAACCTATTTCTGCGTACTATTGTAGATGTAAGAGGAATGCTAAGGGGACTCTCTCATAAGTTGACTATCTATCACCTCACAGTTTAACGTCAATTTGCGTGGCACCATTATAAAACATTTTGGACAGAAAACATAATGCTAAAGAGAGTCTCTCAAAAGTGAACTACCTCTATCACCTTATTTTTATGCATAATATTTACAGTGTTGACATGCAAATTGACGTTAAACTATAAGATGATAAAGATTTCATAAATAATTTTGTTTTGAAAGAGTCTTTTTAGCATTTTTTTTTTTCTTCTCATAATTGAAAATTGTGGTTAGCCTAATAATTTGATTTGACTTGGTTCATGTGTTAAACCCCTAATTTGGACCCACACATGAAAATATACCTACTCTATACAGTGCAGGATGAATGCCACGCGTGAGAGACAGGCCATACAATTCCAGAGGTTTGACTTTGCAGCCCTTTTTCTATTTTTATGGGATTCCTCATAGCCAATGGGGATTTTTGACGTGAAAACTCCCCTGGGATTTCTCAGCTAGAAACCCAGAAATAGCAGTTGCTTGTGTGGCTGAGGCAGTTGACTTTGACTTGGAAACCTTCGACTTTTGGAAAAAGGATCCGGCGACAGGGATTTTATAATCGTGTTAATTCATCATATATTGTACAGTAAAATATTATTTAAAATTTAAATATAAATAGTATTTAACGAAAATTGATCGCACGATATACGATGAACGGATACGATTGCTGAATCCTTAAAATTTCTAAAAAAATGATCCAACAATGATCCTTTTCCAAATAACCCGACCTATATAACGGTCGTGCTAGTGAGGGAAGAGTGGTTGGCTGAGAAATGCTAACGAAAATCTTTAGATTTTTCATGAGCTCTTCACACCTTATGTTTTATACATAATATTTTATTATATTAATATGAAAATTATCTAAAAATATAAAATGATGGAGAGACAGTTTGACTTTGGAAAGTTTTTTCTTAGTATTTCGATTCTCTTGTGCCAAATGGTAAATACGGATAACGGGATAAGTGTTTTGCTTTGCATTGATTGCTTTGAATTATTGGGGGGAAGGGGAGTTGGTGGACAAGGGCCTACCTACACTACAACGCTACCCTAACTTTTTGAATTAATAACATAAATATTTGTTTTACATTTCTTGAAAAAAAATATATATATGATTAGTTTGATATATCGTCATTTTAAAACACTCACAACCAAAAGATTAAAAATGATATTCTTACCACTTACTTGTACTATCTTTACAATAGAGACGAGACCTACATGTGTTGGCGGACTCTAGTTCTATTAAAGAGATGATACAAATAATGATACAATAGATGGTAGGTGCATCGTTACTCCCAACAGATTGCCTTGTGCTTTGTTGGTGAAAGTGGGATAGCAAGGGACGTTATTATATGGGAGAACCCTCATGTAATCAAAGACACCACGTAACAACCGTATTAAATGGTTGCAAGTAACAAATATTTATTGGCGAGGTTACGCATCTCGAACTATGTTTTAGTACCAAGAGATAATCTTTGCTATAATTACAGGGGGCTCACTAGTTTGTGTGTGGGTATTCGGATGACATAGTTCTCCGACTGAGCACGAGAATTTCTCGCAACCTTGATACTTCCGTATCAAGTAAGTTAATCTCGGAGTTAGTAACAAGATGACATGTCAAGACGGACGCTTTAAATACGGCGGGCAGAGGTATCACTCATCTCTCTATCTTCTCTCAATCTCGGAGTTAATAACAAGATGACACGTCAAGACGGACGCTTTAATACGGCGGGCGGAGGTATCACTCATCTCTCTATCTTCTCTCTCTTCTCTGTAGTCAGTCTTTGAGCTTGACCGGGTTTCTCACGGTCAGCGGTGATCTGACCAGGAAGAAGCTTCTTCACCACGAAAAAAGCAGAAGACCAATTCCAAATCCTCATCGATTCCTCTGCTTGGAAAATCACAGACTTACCCCTTCACGCACTCCCAAGACTTTGACGAGCTTTGCCAAACAGTACACACCAAAGATAAGATTTTTTTATTTGCTTTTGTTTTCAACGTTTTTGCCAAACACTTCCATTTGCCTTGCCTTCTTCACCCATTTCATGAAAACCAAACAGACAAACAAATTCACTGCCTTTTTTCTGTCTGTCTCTCTCTTTTGGATCTCTCCGAAGTCTGAGGTTTTGCTTCTTCAGGTACTGCTTCCTTAATTTCCTCAAATTCTAGCTTGGAATGTTCCTGTTTTTATGTTTTTTTTTGTTATTCTTGTTGTTGTTTCATGGATCTTAGAAAAACGCTTTTAGTTTTTTGGAGAATTTGTTGGAACTGGACACCCTTCTCTTTGTGTTGCAGATGGTGTTTGAAATTCTATAGCTTCCTTCGAAGTTTGAGACTTTTTTGCTGGAACTGGAAGCCCTTTCGTTTGTGTTGGGCAAAGATGTCTCCTGAACTGACAGCAAATGTTCGACTTGTACGATGTCCGAAATGCCGGCAGCTTCTTGCCGAGTTGCCGGATATTCCGGTCTACAAGTGCGGCGGATGTGGTGTCACTCTCCAAGGTATTAAACTCAAACCATCTCACAGATTTAATTTGCTAACTACTTGGTTGTACTTATAACTATGGTCTGGTATTCCTCTTCACTTGAAACCCAGAGGTCTTAGAGGTCTTAAGTTCGAATCTCGTGAATAGCGAATTCAATACTAAATTAGGTTGCTCATTGTCTGGCTTAGCCCAACTCCCCTTTCCTGATGTACTCAAAAAGAAAAGAAAAAAAAAAAAAAAAAAAAACTATGATACATGTGTAGAGAAGGAAGGAATCAGCTATTGGGATTTTCCGCGATATTTTGGTTGACAAGGCGATATTCTATTCTAAACTACTACAATTTATTGACGAGGGATTTGAACTCGGGTGCATGGGACCTGGCCAACCGGCCTAACCCCACATTGGCGAGATTGTGTTCTTCGATTTCTTAGTTTGTTTAATATGGGAAATCGCATGTTGGACCAATCTCATTTCTGTCTGTTGATTCAACCTTCGGAGTAATTGAGCTCTCTTTTTTTTCACCTGCAGTTTTATAGATAACTACTTCGACATATTGTTACTCAGTTTTTTACTTCATTGTTCGAATTAGTTTCCTAAATCATCCTTCTGAATGCAGCAAAAGCTCGAGTAAATGGATTGAGAAGCAAGAGCGCTAGCTTAAATGACACTGAGGCAGCTCAGAGGATTCGTTTGGATCACGCTTCTGAAGATAAAAAGTCCAGAAGTTCAGCTCGTAATGCAACTCTTTCTGAATCCGGAGAATGCTCTTCAGACCAAGAGAATGCGAGGGATCAGAAGAAGTCGTCTGAAGGCAGCGAGTCTAGCACCTCAAGTACTCCTAAGGCTACTTATCCTGAATCAGGAAATTGCTTTTCGAACCAAAACAATGAGAAGGATGAAGACAAGCCTTCCGAAGAAGAGAAATCTAGCAGCTCGAGCCATAATGCAGCTCCTGGAGACCAAGAGAATGAGAGGGATCAGAAGAAGTCGTCAGAAGGCAACGAGTCTAGCACCTCAAGTACTCCTAAGGCTACTTATCCTGAATCAGGAAATTTCTTTTCGAACCAAAACAATGAGAAGAATGAAGACAAGCCTTCCGAAGAAAAGAAATCTAGCAGCTCGAGTAATAATGCAGCTCTTCCAGAACAAAACGACGAGGGGGATCGGGGTAAATCTTCAGAAGACAACGAATCTAGCAGCCCAAGTACTCGTGAGCTTACTTTTCTTGAGCCAGGAAGATACTCTTCGGACCAAAACAACGAGAAGAGTGAAGATAAGTCTTCTGAAGTCAAAGAATCTAGCATCTCAACTCAAAATGCAAGTCTTTCAAACCCAGGAGAATACTTTTCGGACCAAAACAAGGAGAAGAGTGAAGATAAGTCTTCCGAAGACGAAGGATCTAGCACCTCAGGTCATAATGCAAGTCTTTCAAAGTCAGGAGAATGCGCTTCAGATCACAACAATGAGACAGATAATCCTGTCATTAGTAAATCTTCAGAAGGTAATGAATCCAGCAGCTTAAGTCCTAAGGCTACTGTTCAAGGAGAATGTTTCTCGGACCTAAACAATGAGAAGGAGCAGATTAAGTCTTCAGAAGGCAACAAATTTAGCAGCTCAAGTCCAAAATCTACTTTTCCTGACTCGGGAGAATGTTTACTGGACCAAAACAATGAGAGGGATCTAAGTGAACCTTCAGAAGGCAAGCAGCTTAGCAGCTCAAGTCCTGAGGCAACTTTTCCTGACTCGGGAAAATGCTTCTCAGAACAAGACAATAAGAAGAGTGAAATCAAGTCTTCTGATGACAAGGAATTTGGCAGCTCAAATCATGGCGCTACTCTTCCAGACTCAGGAGAGTGCACTTCAGATCAAACCAGTATGAAGGGTCCCAATGAGTCTTCTGAAGATTGTGATCATGAACAAGCTGGAGATATAAACTTACCAAATGAAGACCAAAATAATCAGAGTGATCAAAATGATTCTCGTGATTTTGATAGTGAGAAACTTGAAGTTTCCAATGAATTTTGTTCATCGACTGAGTTTGCACGTGACGCAGTTAAGGAGACATTACCAAAAACACGAAAAGGTGCAGAAGTATCAACGAATGATGAGAGCTCACCTTTAGGAGAAACAAATGTGGACGTAGGCATCAACAAGGAGATTGATTCTGATTTCCAGAGCTCAAATACTGTAAATCAGGGAGAAGTGAGGGGAAATAGTTCAATTGTTGCTGCTCATATGGCCGCACGGGAAATCATTTCATCAGATTCCTTTGAATCTTCTCACAATGAACAACAGGTGGAACCTCGGAATAGTGTTCCTAATGGCTTTGATGTTACTGCTCATATGGCGGTAAGGGAAAGCATTGCGGCGGATTCCCTGACATCTTCTCCTAATGGGCAACTGAAGGAACCTCAGAATAGTGCTTTTTCCAAAGGCTTTGATCATGTAGGGTCTCCTGATGCATTTGGAAATACGGAGTTCTTCCCCAGCCTTGAGCTTAGCGGTGCACCTAGAGATCTGTCGAGGTCCCCAGCAAATAGAAGTCATCATGCTTATGATGCCAGTGTTTCTTCTTATGATGGCATGGATGATCAGTTCTTCAACCGAAATACACGTTCAAACATTGTTCATTCTGAAGAAAGAATCCGAAGGGATAAATTCATGGCGAATAGCATGATGACTAGAGATCCAGGATTGCAACGTCAAGCAAGGGATCCCTGGTCAAATTTGCCTGTGAAGAATGATCATGCGATGAAATACAGAAAGTGGGATCAAGATGCATTACTGCCACCTAGAAGACAAGGCCATCCAAGCCAAGATTGGAATAGATTGCAGAGTGATGAATATATGTCTAGGATGGCATTCCGTCGAAGAGTTTCCCAAGGCGGATACAAAAATAGAGGCCTTACAAATCAACTGCATAACGAGTACCAGCACAATTCAGGCTACCAATCATCTGAAATGTCTGTGGAGGACAAGAGGACACTATTGAGAATGGTTTATGAACTGCAGGACCAAGTTAACAATTTGAATGGAAAGGCGAGTGGAAGGGATGCGAGAGGAGCCACTTGGAAGGAGAAGAGCATGGCCCAGTACCGTGATTATGAGGCATCCGAGGAGGAACTCTATCATGATCCAAACTATCAGAGGTATCTGAGAAGACACATGGCAGGCAGCCACTATCCCCCCGAACACCACTGTAAAAACATGCGTATACCTTTCTCAAGTGAGGCAACAACCAGCAGGCACCAAGCTGATTCTTCATATTTGCACTATGAACCCCAAGACTGGCAGTGCTCAGCACCTTTGCCTCAACCCGTTCGTTGCTGCAACAATGGGTTATGTAGGGTTCACCCTGGTCACAGTTGCTGGACATCCTATGACGAGTCTCATCCTTCAACCCCCGAACAGTATGTGGAATCTGATTTTCCTCTTTGGGGCCGTGAAACAATGTCTGATGATCTGAGGCACCAAAGGCATGATGTGAATAAGCTTTACAGACAGAAACAACATTTGGCTAAGCGACATTTCCGACCCATAGCAGGTGGAGCCCCTATCATAACTTGTTACAACTGCTCAAAACTACTGCAGATACCTGCAGATTTTCTCCTTTTCAAAAGGAGATACCATAGACTTCGATGTGGGGCTTGCTTGGAGGTGCTCAGATTTTCGCTCCGAAAGAGATCGCATATTGTCCCCTATGAACAGAATGCTATAGCCCCTCCTCCGAGTGAGGTTGGCGACTATAATGCTGCCGCTAATGGCGGTAACTTGGCTCAACATGCAGATACCGTTTCATGTTCGGATGATTATGGTTACGGACCCTCTTACTACAACGGTTACTCTACTGACGGTGATCCAGGAGCTCTCGCACCCTCCAACTCTCCCCGAGGCGATTCAAAAAACCGGAATATGTCATATACTTCATTGGATCAAATGAAAGAGAGGAAGGAGCTTGTTTTGAGACAGTCTCGGAACAAAGATAAGAATCCAATTGAAACATTTGTGCCAGCAAGACCGTCGTTATCCTCAGAAATCGAGGAGCTGCCAGCAAAGTCGAGTTCACCACTTCATAAACTCATGGGCTATGCTTCGCCAAGCCAGGTGATTAGAGGGTCAAGGAAGTAACAGATTTCTCAGAGTATGATAACACGAAGCTCCGAGGATTCTTCTCAAATGGAAGAACTTATTCGTCTCACATACCGGACCCTGAAGCATTGCAAAGTCGGAGAAAGTGAACAGAACCCTGACGGAAGCAAAGGTTTCCGGGAAGTGATTCGAACACAGACATTGCCGTATTTTTGCCATATCTACATGTTAGGACTTGAAAGTTTTTCGCGAAAGGACTCTTCTTTCGTTCTTTCTGATATAGTATATCCCACGAGTGAGTATATGTCAGATGTAGAAATCAAGTTTTCGATCGTTGTGTGTATATACGAGTTTACCAGAGATTTCTATTTCATTTATTTGTTTATATGCAGCATATCCTGTGCAACTATACATAAAACCATACATAAAATAGGAGAAGAATCTCTCAACACTTGTGATCAAATTTAAAGGAGAAGCCCTTTTATTTGCTTCTCTCCCCATTGGTGCAGTTTGTGTAAAGCGAAGGAGGAGAGTGTCAACCACATTTTTCTTCATTGTTCTTACACGATTCAACTGTGGTGGAAATTGTTTCAGGAGGTTAGAGTTAGTTGGGTCGTTCCAAAGGGTTGTTTCGAGCTTCTAAGTACCAATTTTTAGGCTCTAGGAATTGGGAGGAAAGCTAAAGCTTTGTGGGGCTGTCTGGTGTCGGCAGTTTTTTGGAACATTTGGTTGGAGCGTAACAAAAGAATTTTTGAGGATTATACTGGTGTGGGGGTAGCAGATCTATGGGGAAGAGTAAGATATTGGGCAGCCCTCTGGGCTTCAGTTTCGAATGATTTTAAGAATTACTCTCTTTCTCACATACTGTAGGATTTGTTAGCAGTCGTAAAGTGATTTGGTTGAGGTTTTCCTGCTTGTAATCAGATCCTCTTGAGAGATTTTCTTGTTCTGTTCTTGGTGGATTTCTTATCCACTTCTATGTATTTCACTTTTCTTTTTTTCATAAATTGTTATAGTTTCTTCTCAACAAAAAAAAAAAAAAAAAAAAAAGGAGAAGAATCTGATATGATCAATTCCAAACAAAAAACGATACACGCTTTGCTTTCGTATAGTGGAGTACAATATTCTTCTTGTTCTCGATATCGTTCCTATTGAATGTACCTCCGAATGCTGGAGAACTTTTTATTTACATTTACACAACCTACAAGAAGCTGCATCTGCACTTCCTAGGTTCATCTGAAATTGTTCCTGTAGTTGGTTCTTCGATTAGAAGCGATGGAAATCCTTTGGTCTTGGAGCATATTCAAGTTCGGGGCCAACAAACGGGTGTACCGATCAAAATACAAAAGCTGCTTCAGGAGAAGTGCAAACTCTCGTGGAAATTTCAATCCATATGATTCACTAACCCGAATCTGAAATAAGAACATGCGAGCAGTTCGTGGCTTCAGAACAATTTGCCAAAAGATGGCATAAGCTACAGAAGCAGCGCTAAATCATGCAGGCATGTAAACCTAAAGGGAGTCAACAGCGTACCACATCGAGAAAAAGTGCATTCATTTGTCTCTCATCAACAACTAGATTAGCAGAGACTGCAGTTGCATTCGTTGATGGCTCCCTGGCAGTTGCTATGACTACTTCAGTATCCAAATCCTGCACATGAGGAGTTGTAAGAAGCAAATGTGATTGTTATCAATAAGCTGATTTAGCCACTTCCGTTCTACATTCTAAATCCGGCTATTGCCACTTCCGATTCAACACACCTCTTTCAGTTTGAATTCTTTTAAACAGCACAATATTTAAGGGCAAGGAAAAGGGGTATCTTTTGGCTGCACCATTCTGCTAAACATGAATTTCCCTTAGCTCTGAAATGGTCTCAGAACAAGTACAGACCGAAAAATTAACCTTTTTGGAAAGCAAAACACAATCAGCAAACTCCTGAATTAAATGCTTGCCTTTATTGATGAGAACATCTTTTCCAAGTCTCTTGCAAAGGCCTTAGTATCAACATTTGTGTCTGTAGCACCCATTTCAATCAGCGCAGATGCCATTGATTCATATTCTTCAGCTGCAATTGATGCCAAAAAGATTTCCATGGCACCCCATGTTTTTGGGGATATACGGCCAACAATTCCTGTAAATTTAAGTCAAACGCAAGCAAAAATACTTCAATAACATTTGAAAGATTGGACAAATACAGAGAACTTCTAAAACTTTCAAGCAAATGGTAGGTACTGCATCTTGGGACTATGCACAGTTGTTAAAGAACAAACATTAGGCAAGTCTTTTTCTGCATAGTATATATTATATAAGGTATAAACCTTTAGTCATATGTGCAGATATTGTATAAGCAAATGAAACATTGAAAAAAAAAAATACGACAGACAATTAGAACTATAAGTAAGCAATGAGTACAATTAGTGCATGAAGATGTATGAATACCAAAATCAAGAAACCCAATGCGGCCATCGCGCAACAACCACAGGTTCCCTGCATGCACATCTGCGTGGAAGCTTTCACAGGCAAGCAAACTACCAAACCTACAGAGACATTTCATAACAAGCGACAAGGTAAAAATTTTGACAAATAAATGAACACAAAAACTACAAGCACTGAATGGTGGATAAAATATTCAAGTCCTACCACACATTAAGGGCAGTTATGAGACTGGTCTCCGGATTAGAGACAAAGGAACTTATACTGTTTAAGTCAGTAAGAGGAACTCCGTACAGCCTCTCCATTGTTAAAACTCGTTTGCTGCTGCATTGGTGATACACTTTTGGAGCCGTAGCCTGCCTTGTGAGTCCCATGGCTTCTAAATATCTCCTAAAGGACTCAATGTTTGCAGCCTCCTTATAGAAATCAACTTCTTCAAGCACGGACTCCCGTATATCTTGCACGATACCAACCTACTGAAACGATGAACAGATTACAAGGGAAACTTCTATCCACCATCATTTCGCAACACATGAATGCATACTAGATGGACATTTATTCTTTTGAGCAAGGCAGGATAGAAGAACAAGCATCAAAGATGCTGACATTGTCCCAAATTATTTCACTACTCATAGAGTCCAAAGGATACTAATAATTACACAATCAGCTTAAATGTTTGTGCTTTCACAGAATAAAACTTGTAACTAAAGAAATTGGCAGTGTAAATGATTTAAAGAGTACGAAAATAATTAGTATGCTTATGCTTGTCATCCACAATAAGAGTCAAAGTCAATTGTTACAACTGCAGAAATTTTTGTCCACATACCAATGAAGCGCGGCTTATATCAGGACTCAAGAATTCCAAAATGCGGACAACAATGTAGATAAAATTTAGATCTGCAACCAACATATCTTCTATTCCGGGTTTCAAGATCTTTATAACTACATCTTCTTGGGAGCCTCTTAGCCTTGCAGCATGAACCTAAACATAATATATCACAAATCTTATTACTAAGCTTACAGAATGATTGAGGAACATAAGAAATTTGATAGGAAGAGAAAAGAACTTGTGCTATTGAGGCTGAAGCAAGCGGGGTTGGGTCAACATATTCATAAACACTGTCAATTGGTCTCCCCAATTCCTGTCGCAAGATTGCTTGAATCTCCGCAAAGGGTACTGCAGGAGTTCTGTCAAAGCAGTTCTGAAATTCTTCAACATATTCTGGTGGGAACAATGTTGGTGCAGATGCAATGAACTATCATTTGTAAATAGCATAGCATTAGTGATTGTGTACATTGAATGAATAAAGATAGTAAAGTAAAATAATAATCATTTGCTAGTTTACACTGGATATAATGAACAAACTTATGGAGTAGCAATCAAAAAACTAAGAATAAAAACAAGATATACCTGACCCAACTTAACGTAGGTTGCCCCCATGCGCTCAAACAATCTCCTCAAATAAAGGGGGGACACCAATCCAAGCTGCAGTTGCGTTGGTAATCCGGCAGATGAGTTTGCTGACTACAGACAAAAGGTAGGGTCATTTACAAGTATACTCCTGAAGAGTTTGCTTATTCAGATAAAAGGGGCAGTGTTAACGGATGCCTAGGTGTTAACAGAACACTCAATTGAGTGAAATCTTAATCCAAGTTATTGGAATTGGTTATAACAAACACATGTTGTCATTGAACCCTTTCAATTGGCAATTGCACAAGGTGATGGCCAAGCAAGCAATGCAACAATCAAATGCTCGTGTACAGAATAAAAAATGAGAAAACCCGAAAAAAATATAACTAAAAGGAAAGACTTGAGCAGTAGGAAACAAAGTCTATTGCATAAAGAAAGTAAAACCATAAAAATTGAAGTTCCTGTTACCTTTGATACGTCGGCAAGCCACTCCCCCCCAACCCCAATAAACGCCTGAATACCCTGGACCATCCTAAGAGCGCCGCGTGGGCCTGTGCTTACTGATGTTTGGAGAATGTCCTCCACCAGTTTAGGCAAGTCTTGAAACCTATCTGGTAAAGACATGAAATTCCAGCTTCATCTTAAAACCTCAAACGAATAGAGTGATCAAGAAAGAAAAGAATTCAAGCCTAAAGAACACAGATGCCCATGCCCGGGTCTAAACAAAGGCGCAAATCAAAGTTTCCTTCTCACTCTGAGAGGTGATGCAACTAATGGATAACTGTCTGCCAAACAGAAGAGTTGTACTTCTGCTTCAGCAGTTTTTACACCTAAGTTTCACTTCTGTACATCCATGAAAAAAGCAACAGCCAACCACTCACTAAAAGAAGTGAAAAAATGAACATTTTTCGAGGTACCCATTAAGCAAAACACCAAGAAGTTCACATCTTCATGATTAAAAATATCAATGTGAGCAGAACATAACCATTAGCAGAAGTATAATCTACTATTTTGTTCGCATGGGTAACAAATAAATTATCAAAAAAACCCACAAATCAAATAAAGATTTAAGCTTGAGATAAACCCAGAAACCAAGATTCAAACCCAAAATTCAAAAGCCAAAGGGAGAGAGAAATTAAGAACCTTGAAGGCGGGAGGAGTAAAGATCCTGAGCTTGAGAGTAACGGGCAAAGAGAGTGAAGCCCTTTGAGTTTGAGCTGCAATTAAGCTGCTTCGATGATTTTAACGAACCCCAACTACCAATAATCGACGAGGAGGAGGAGCTCAGAATCATCTGACGGCCGTGATGACGGTGAAGTGCCGGCAAACGACCGCCTCTCACGGCTGAGACCATCGAAACAGCCATCTCTTCACCTATAAAAACAAAGAAATTACCAAAATTTCTGGAAATTAAATCGGGGCTCGGAATTTGCAAGTGTCAAAGCGGAATTTGGAAACTTTCACGACGTCGTTCTCTGTCAGCTTGTGAGCGCCTGCTAATTACTCTCGCTCTGTAATTGCTGAGAAAA